GTCTTTGTTTCCCGCAGTGTCTTCAGAAACCCCCGTGCAGCCTTCAGGACAAATGCCAATTCTACAGGCACCAAAGATCGTTAAAAAAGCAAAACGCACAATTCTACCAGGTGTTGCTTGCTGGTTGCAACAGCAACAGCAACAGCAACAGCAACAGCAGCAGCACAGGCAAGAAGTAGAGCAGCAGCAACAGCAACAGCAACAGCAACAGCCGCAGCACAGGCAAGAAGTACAGCAACAGCACCAACAGCAACCGCACCAACAGCAACAGCAGCAGCAGCAACAGCACCAACAGCAACAGCAGCAGCAGCACAGACAAGAAGTACAGCGCCCGTTGCTTACCGAGGAGCGTCCGCAGCTGCAGACGCAGCTGCCACACGAGCCGCAGCAGAAATCGCTGGCTTCTTCGACTCCAACGTTATTGAAACCAGTCTCTCCATCGTGCAGCGCAGTTTCCAGCTACTCGGAGACCTCTCACTGGGTAATGCCTCTCAAGGAAAGCACTACTTCTCAGTCTCAAAATGCTGCAGGCAGCAAGGAGGATGTCTCTACGGGCGGAGGCTTCATCGCATCTGAGAGCTCCCCCAGCAGTCATAGGACGACGTCTGTCCTCGCTGGAGTCTCTTCTGTGACGCATGCAGCACAACGCCTCTCACAGCTGCCAGATGCTGCGAAAATCGGGGAGGAGCTTGAAGCTTTTTACTTCATTTGCCGCAGCAGCGCTCTGCAGGACCAGAGTGCGGTGCTTGCAGATCTCCTGGCAACGGCAGAGAAGGAAGCGCAAGCCGAAAAGGTGGCATGTTGCTGCTGCTGCTGTTTATGCTGCTAATCTTTATGCTGCTAACGCTGCTAGTGCTGTATATGCTGCTCATGCTAATGCTGCTAGTGCTGTTCATGCTGCTAATGCTGCAAGTGATGCTAATGCCATTGCTGCAACTGCTAATGCTACTAGTGCTGCTAACGCTCTTGCTGCCAGTGCTGCTAATGCTACTAGTGCTGCTAACGCTCATGCTGCCAGTGCTGTTTATGCTGCTGCTGCTGCTAGTGCTGCTAATTCTAGTGCTGCTAATTCTAGTGCTGCTAGCGCTAATGCTGCTAATGCTAATGCTGCAAATGCTAATGCTGGTAGTGCTGCTAGTTCTAATGCTGCTAATGCTCATACTAATGCTGCTACATCGCGGGCTGTTGCTAATGCTGCTATTGCTAGTGCTGTCTTTCCTTCGTGGTGAATTCTATTCCTCCGCAAGGGCCTTCTCCGTGGTTTGCTGCTCTTCAGAGCACTGCAGCGTTGCGGCGGGAGCAGCAGGAGCTGCTGCAGCAATTGGAAGACGCGATCGAAGCGGAGGATTTTACGGCTGCCGCAAGCTCAGACGAGCACGTTGCCACTTCTAAAGAGCAGGTAGGAAAGATCTTCACGAAAGCGCCTTCTACAGCACAAGTTTTTCCCCGTTGCTGTGTGTGGGTGTGTGTTTCTGTCTGTTTTCGTCTTTGCTGTTCTTTTCCAGCTCAGCGTAATTTGGCCTTGCGGAGTTCATGCCTCGCCTCCCTTCCCCTTGTGTGCCTCCTGCTGCTGCAGCTGAGCGACTTACAGCAGCAGTCCTCCCGCTTCCAGCAGCAGCAGCTGCAGCAGCTGCAGCGGCTCACAGACATCACTGGCACCGTGCAGCAGCAGCTGGAGCAGATGCTGCAGCAAGCGAAGCGAGAAAGGGATAAACTTGTGGATCAGGCGAAGCAGCAAGTGCTTGAGCAGATAGCAGGGCAGCAGCGCCTTAGAGACACCACACAAGAGGTAAAACTCGACGAATACGGCTGTAGCTACACACACTCACACACAATGCTTTTTTGCACTTGCTTGCTGCTGGTGCTGTTCGAAAGCAATCCAGCAGGCTGGCTGGCTCCAAGTGCTGCTACTGCTATCGCTGCTACTGCTGCTGCTACTGCTGCTACTGCTGCTACTGGTACTGCTACTGCTGCTGCCGCTACTGCTGCTGCTGCTACTGCTGCTGTTGCTGTTGCTGTGGGGTTCGCTCCTGCCCGTGCAGCGGCTGAAGCAGCTCGAAGAAGAGGACGCAGTCTGCCGAGCAGCTGCAACAGCTGCCGCGGAGTCCGTGCAAGCAGCAGAAGCGCGCATGCAGCAAATCAAAGAAGAAGAAGGCGCTGTGCTTTCAGAGCTGCAGGAAGAGCGGCAGTAGGTTTTTCTTTTCTTGCTTCGTTCTGCTGCATGTGCTGCTAACAGCCGTTGTTGCTGTGCTACTTTTTTTTTCTCTCTCTCTGCCTCTTTGTCTCTTTCTCTCTCTACGCTTTTAAGACATAGTCCATCCATTCTTCTTTTCTCGAGTCGCAAGTCTTGTGCAAAAGGGCTTCAAGGGGCTTTTGCATGCGCCTTTCGTTCTGACAAGCAGCCGTTAGTGCTGCGCTGCCTGCGGCTTCAGACAGGTGCAGCAGCAGCTGGAGGAGGCACAACGCCGACTGTCTGCCCTAGAGGAAACCGAAGAGATGAAGCGAAACGTCTTTCGAGTGTAAGGAGATTGAACCTTGTTCTCTCTCTCCCTGCGCCTGTCCTACGCGGCTCTGGTGTACTGGCCCCTCACTCTGTCTGTCTGTCTTTCTGTCTGTCTCTCTGTTTGTCTTTCTGTCTGTCTATCTGTCTGTCTATCTGTCTGCTTCCTTGTGCCTCCTTCAATCTGTCTGTCTGTCTCTGTTTGTCTCTCTGTCTGTCTCTCCGCTTCTTTGTGCCTCCTTCGATCTGTCTGTCTGTCTCTCTGTCTGTCTCTCCGCTTCCTTGTGCCTCCTTCGGTTTGTCTGTCTGTCTGTCTGTCTGTCTATCTGTTTCGTCCCTTGGTCTGTCTGTCTGTCTGTCTGTCTGTCTGTCTGTCTGTCTGTCTATCTGTCTGCTTCCTTGTGCCTCCTTCGGTTTGTCTGTCTGTCTGTGTGTCTGTCTGTCTGTCTGTCTGTCTGTCTATCTGTTTCGTCCCTTGGTCTGTCTGTCTGTCTGTCTGTCTATCTGTCTGCTTCCTTGTGCCTCCTTCGGTCTGTCTGTCTGTCTGTCCCTTATGCCTCCTTCTGTCTCTCTGTCTGTCTGCTTCCTTGTGAACCCCTCTGATGCTATACGAGCTTGCCGATCTCTCGTGTTTGCGCTTCCTCCAGCAAGTCTGCCTCTCACTGTCTGTCTTTGAGCAGCCTTCGTGTTGCTTCCTATAGCCACACACAGCGCACACGCATGTACCAACCCCCTAGCACAGCCGCAGCTCTTCACTTGCGTCCGGTGTAAATGCTGATGCAGAGCATCTGTGGAAGCGGCAGCAGCGGCAGCTGATGCGATACAGCAGCAGCAGCAGCTCGAGATGCAGCAGCAGAAACTCACCGAGGAGAACCTGCAGGTACACCTCCACAAGCGTCTGCAGCCGCAGACGCGAAACAGAAGCAACCAACGAGAGGGCAGGAGCAGCACTGGGAGATGGGTAGTAGGATGTCTTTCGTGTCGTTGTTTTCTTTCCCTCTGTATGTTTTTCAGCTTAAAGAGCAGCTAAAGGAACTCGGATTCGCCACGGAAGCCTTGGGCAAGCTTCAGGAGGAGTGCGTACTTGATGGCGTCTTGCAGTTAGCGCTGCCTTCTGCCTCCCAAGGCTTTTGTCGATTTCTCCTGTGCCTCTTGCCTCTCGACTTTCAGATCGCTCTGCCAACACATTTTCGCACATTTCCAATCGTGATATCTCCATGAATGAGGGGCTGCTGGAATGGGTGCCCAATGCATGAACCTCTGGAAGCCTGGCCTGGAGCGAAGGGAGGGTGTGAATGTGTGTATGTATGTGTGTCTGTGTGTATGTGTCTGTGTGTATGTGTCTGTGTGTATGTGTCTGTGTGTATGTGTCTGTGTGTATGTATGTATGTATGTGCATGTATGTATGTATGTGTGTCTGTATGTATGTGTCTGTATACATTTATATGTATGTGTATGTGTATGCGTATGTATACATATATGCGTGTGTGTCTGTGCGTGTCTATGTGTGTCTTTGTGTGTGCAATGCTGCTGGCAGCGCTCGCTTCTTTTGCCGTTTCTGTGTGGGTGGATCTGTTCTCAGAGGCGAGCAGCAGGCCGCAAAGCTGTCGTCTGTTTGCGGCTTTTTGGAGACTAGGGAGGCTTTTTTCAGTGCGCTTCTAGCTTTGAGAAGGAAAATGCACGACAGTACAAGCAGCGCCATGCAGCGGCTTGTCGAGCAACAGTAAGCCGCATGCGCGCCCCCTCTCCCGCCTCTTACATTCGTCCCTGTGGCATCTTACTCTGCTCCCTTTGCATCCATCTTTCGCTTCGCTTGGGGGAGACAAGGGAAAGCAGGGCAGGTGCATGCTTCCGTAGCCATGATACACCCTCTGCGCGTGGGTTCTTTCGGCGTTCTGTGGCGCGCTGCCTCTGGCCTTTAGGGACTTGTTGCAGCAGCTGGAGAGACGTCGGAAAGAGCTGCAGCAGCAGCAGCACGAAGCGCAGCAGCAGCGGCTCCTGCTGTGCGCGGAGCAGCAGCAGCTCGAGTTGCTGCTGCCAGTGCTGCAACAGGAGAAGCGGCTGTCTGCTCAGACACGTGACTTCAAGGCCGCAGCCTCTCTCGCACAGCAAATTCAGGTGTGTTTTGTTTGTTTTACTTTTTCTGCTTTTAAAAGTGGTGTCTCTGTCTCTGGGGTTTTTGCCCATGTGCCTTTTTCTGCCCTGCGGGAGGTGTTTTCGCGCTGCGTGCTCTTAGCTGTTAGCTGCTGCTGCCGCTGCTGACAGGCTGCCTGTGTGTATGCGTGGAGGATGCGGCTTTTTTTCTCGCGCTCAGGAGTGTACTGAGAAAATCGCCGTCCTCAAGACAAAAACTGCGAGTCTGGATGCAGAGAGAGCAAGCATTTTGACGGTCCGTGGCGGCGTCTTGTTCGCAGCGTTCTTTGTTTCCAGGAGAGGTAGCGTGTGGAGTGTTTTCGACGGCTTGTTCTGCAGCCTTAAGTGCTCCTGTGCGTGAGCATGCATGCAAGCTTTGGGGCTTGTTGGTTTTTGTTTGAGCACAGGCACTGGAGCAGTTGCAAAAGGAGTTTCCGGAGGCGGAAAGTGTTGTCTCTCGGGAGGAGGCCGCAGCGCGAGTCGCTCGCCTTCGTTGTCTGCTGCAGCACAAGAAGAATCTACGAAGACTGCGTGCGAACTGCCCCAAGGACAGAGACGAGGTGAGCTCGGTAAAGAAGAGGTAGGGACGCTAAGCGGGAAAGAGGGCAGGAGCAGTCTCTACGGTGAGGCGTGTAGCCGCTGGTGACAGGCCCTGTGCTGCTTGTGTTGTCGCTGCAGCTCTTGTATCAAAGTCTCGATGGAGAGACGCGCTTGTACGAGCAGCTGCTGCAGATCCTGAAGCAAGAAACGCGAGAAGAAATAGAGGATGAGGAAAAGAGGGAGGATGACGAAAAGAGGGAAAGCTTAGACGTCTCCGATATACAGCCAGGAAGAGGGGAAGTTGCGAGTTCTGCCTTCGAGGAGAAACGACTCGAGCAGGCAGACGTCGAGCCGCCCTCCGGAGAAAGCGAAGAGGAGGTTTTGACGCCACGCAGTGTGGCAAACGCGGCCTTTTCAGCAGCAACGGGGGAAGAATCGGGAGTTGCAGAATCGGATATTGCGGCTGCTGCAGACTGCGGGGAGTGCCTTTCTGAAAGCACACCGCATTCGCTTGCTGCTGCGGAGTTGGCAGCAGCCTCTGCCTCTGGAGAAGAAGCGGGGAATGCTGGAAAATCCTCAAGAAGCCTTTCTCCAAGGGGAGACGCGAACGCAGTCGCTGCAGAAGCGGGGGTAGTAGCAAGCATGCATCGAGGAGAGCAGATGTCTCAAGGATGTGGGGAGGAGCATGCAGCTGCAGACTCAGGACCGCTGTCGGAGCCGTTGTTGCAGCAGAGGGCAAAGCAGATGTTGGCAGCAGATGATGAAGGCGAAGCAGAAACAAGTACAGAAGAGACGGCCACAGGCATTGTGGGGAAACTGCGGAGGCTGCACATTCCCCAAGATGACGCTGGTGTTTATGGTGGTGGTGATGGGGCCTCCGCGTCTCAGAGCGCCGAAAGCACAGGCACTGTAGACGTGGAGAGGCAGCTGCAGCAGCAAGAGGAAACGCAGACAAGAGCGGCTGGCAGCTTGTTTGCAGGCCTTGCCCTCAAGGCTTCTTCAGGTGTAACCGGTGTACTCTCGAAGCCTCAGCAGCAGCCTCAGCAGCACGAAGCGGAGGAGGAAGAAGCGAAGGAGGAGCAACAACAGCAACAGCGGCGAGAGCAAGGGGAGGAGAAAGAGAAGGAGGAGAAACAAGAACAGCAGCAAGAGGAGGAAAAGGAGCAACAACGGCAACAACAGCAAGAGGAGGAGGAAGAAGAGGAGCAGCAGCAGCAGCAACGGGAAGAACAAGAGAACGATAAGAAGTTGCTTACTCCGGGGCCTCTTCCGACACAAATGGAGGAGGCAGCCTATGCACCAACGCCATCAGAAGACGCAGCGGCTTGAAAAGAAATACCCCCTAATTGTCAGAGCGAACTATCCCGCAGGACGCGCAGCAGCACACATTTGGCATTTTGCCGTGTTCAAGCAGCTTGCAAGATCGGCGCATGTGGCGTTCATAGAGCTCTAAAAGCGCTGGGGATGCCGCTAGAGACGCTCCCACGGTATTCGCTGCAGCTTCCAGAGTTGCGTCTACGCCATGGCGTTTAGCGGAGTCTTATTGTACCGGCATCTAGGCTTCCTAGGACTCTCCAAGTGGCGTGGGTATGTGTATGTGTGTGTGTATGTGTGTAAGGGGAAGGGGAGGCGTGTGTTGGGGAGGCTTATTTGTGAGAGGGTGTTTTTTTTCACGCGTATTATGACAACTGAGGCCTCCGGCATTTTTGAACACGACGCGCTTGTGGAGCTGTTCCTTCAGTGTTGCCTTTTTACGCGGAGGCGGCTTTTGTGTGGTTCGCATCAAGTGCTGAGCTGCTCTCTTGAGGACGGGAAGGCTGTTGCCTTCGAAAACGCTACAGAGCAACAAGCAGAGGGCCTCCTTTCTTAGCAGTTGCTCCCTGTTTGGACGCAGAGGGGGCAAAAGTTTTGCTTGGTGGCTGCGTTGAGGGGGTTTCCCGAGGGCAGCGGACGGTGCCTGTCTTTCTTTCGAGTTAGGCAGTGTGTATATAAGCTGCTCTCTCTCTCAGGAAGCTTCCTCAAGAGTGCTTCCTCTGCATGTTTATCCCGCGGGGAAGGAGGGAAAAAGGAGGAAAAAAAGACGAAAAAACGGGGGGCGTTGGCGTTTCGCACTGCGTTTCTGTGGGCATGTATGCATGCGGAAAAGGAAGCGGCCTCTAGAGGCCCCTTTGGGTACTAGTAGCTAGACATTTTAGGGGTCGACGGATTCAGCTCCACATCTTCTATTTAAAGTATGTGCGTCAGTGCAAATAGGCATATATAGAATAGGAGGACGCGAACGCTTGCCTCTCTGTGCAAAAGGCCCCCTCTTACATCTACCAGTGCAGCTTAGGGGGGAATTTTTTTTCCGCTAAGGTGTTTCCATTTGTGCAGCGTTTTGTTTGTGTAATGCTTCATTTGCCAAAGCAAATGCCTTTGAGCTCTCTGGAGATGTGCATGCGAAGCTGCCGCCGCCTCTATGTACAAGCGGCGGCCTGGTGGGGTGTAGCACAAGCTGCCCTGCAGCAGCAAGCGCACGACAGCCTTCGCGGATCTAACTTCGCGAGGGGCCCCTACTTTGCACCCTTCCCAGGAACGCGAGCTAGCAAGCAACACCTCACTTTAGGAGAGAGCGCCCTATGCCGCGTCTGCGTTTTTGCACTGCTGCTATCGCTCGTGCTTCTTTGGCCTTCCCAAGCCTCTCCCCGCGCGCGGCAGCCAAGAGGCAGCAGCCCCCCTTGAAAGGACGCCGCAAGAGGAGAGGCCGTGGAGGGAAGGCGGCTGCTGTCGAGCGAAAGGGGCAGACGCGTTAGAGTGAGATGGCTATTCTTTCCGTCCCTCCCGCGCAGCGGAATCTTTCGCATGCCTTGCATAGTGTGCAGGCTTGCTGCCCAGGACCTCCTTGGTCGCTTTTGAGCCGCTTAGTTAGAAGTACATTTGGTTGATGCGTGTGGGGACGCTGCTGCTTGAGCACCGCCAGTTTGTGTCGCTGCTGCCGATGCGGCTAAACAGCAACTGGCCGTGTCGCACTTGCTGCGGGAGCAGCGGCGGCAGCACATGCTGCCGCAGTTCCTGCAGCAAGCCTCGTTCCACGCCCTCCCGAGCAACGCTCTGTGCGGGCTGTACACGCGCTTTGCACGCTTGACGGCGCCGCGTAGCGCCACGCAGCCTTCGCCTCAAGAGGAGCCGCAGGGGGCGACGGCTGCGGGAGCAGCGGCAGCTGCTGCGCCCAAAGAGCTCAGTCTTCATAGAAGCGAGGGGCAGCAGCGCTGAGCTCCTCAAGCGATGCACAGAAGGGGTTTTCTTGAGGGCCCCCTGGGGCCTCTAGGCTGAGGGCCCCCGGGGCCCCGTAGACGTAGCGGAGGCCCCCAGGCGGATAGGGAGTGCCCCTGGGGAGGCCCATGGTCTGGGGGCTGCCGTACGCTCGGGGGGGCCCCGGGGGCCCCCAGAAGCCGTTTTGACTGTGCATCAAATGGAACCAGTACTGCGTGTCGAGGCCCCCGGCCATGGGGCCCACCTGCGGATACACCGCGTGCGGAGGGGGGGCCCCCGCCATGGGGTAGTAGGGAGAACCCCCCGCAGTGAGCGGGGAGAGGGGGGGAGCTCCCATGCCTCTAGAGGCCTCCTGCTGGTGCTGCGCCAGCAGCTGATGGTGGTGCTGCTGCAGTTGCTGCATGTGCTGGTGCTGCTGCTGCATTTGGTGCTGCACCTGCTGCAGCTGCTGCTGGTGCTGCACCTGCTGCAGCTGCTGCTGGTGAGGCTGCTGCTGCTGCACTTGCTGCAGCTGCTGCACTTGGGCCCGCTGCTGCTGCTGTATAGAGCTTCGACCGCCGTTGCTTTGGGAGGGGCCCATGCTGCTTCGCCGCGAGTCGGATTCGTAGTACGGGGAGACTCCCCGCATGCTGTCTGCCACTGCAAAGGGCCTCCCCCCTGCCTCTTCCTCGGGGTGCTCATGCTGCTGCTCTGCATCCGAAGGCGTTGCCGCTGCCGCGTGCTCGGCAGCCGCTCCAGGGGGCCCCAGCTGCCGGCTCTGCGTGCCGTGCTGCAGGTTCGACGACAGCTGCTGCTCGAAGGGAGAGGCCTCCGGCGCGTTGGACTGCTGCTGCTGCTGCTGCTGCTGCTGCAGCAGCAGCAGCTGCTGTTGCCGCTGCCCCCTCGTCCCATGCTGCGCCTGAGCGCCTCCTTCCCTTGAATGCGAGAAGCGACACTCGGCTTCCCTGAAGCACCCACCCTTCCTGTTGATGTACGGACAGAGGAGCTTCCCGTCCTGCTGCTGCTGCTGTAGATCGCCCCCCCCCGGAGGGGGCCCCCCTCCCCCCCCGCCTGCTCTGTGGTGTGGCCGCTGGAACCCCCCGGGGGGGCCCTCCAAAGGCGCACACCCGTATGCGTCGAGGGGCCCCCCCCCAGGGCCCCCTCCTCCTCCTGCGCTGCTCTGGTTGTGGTGGTGATGGCGGCGTGCAGCAGCAGCAGCAGCAGCAGCAGCTGCTGCTGCTGCTGCAGGGCCTCCTGGCGCGTATCGCGACTGCCGCTCTCCTCCTCGGTGCGCGAGGTAAGGAGGCTGCTGCTGCTGCTGCTGCTGCTGCTGCTGCTGCTGCTGCTGCTGCAGATTTGAGGCCCCCTCGGAATACCCCTGCACTGCCGCTGCTCCCCCCCGTACGAGGCCCCCCACCCCCTCTTCCGCGCCTTGAGATTGCTGCTGCTGCGCATGCTGCTGCTGATGCTGCAGGGGGCCCCCCCCGTGCCGGCCCCACCCCCTAGGATTCGCCGCTAGGCTGCTGCCATCCTGCAGAAGATGCTGCTGCTGCTGCTGCTGCTGCTGACGCGTTCCCGGAGGCATCCTTTGCGCATGATGAGGCCCTCCGCCTCCCCCCCCTCCTCTGTAAAAGAGGTTCCCCTGAGCACCCCCCCCACTACTGCCGCCCCCTCCACTCCCACCGCTGCTATTGCCACTGTTCCCCCCACTACTACCACTACTGCCGGCACTGTCTTGGAAGTCGCCTGGGGGATGGCTCCCTGGTGTTGGAGCGCTGTCAGGCCCCTGCGAGACTTCCGTGCTGTGCGCAAGCGGAGGCGGATAGGCTTGCTGCATCTGAGCACTTCCAGCAGCACCGCTGCCTCCTGACCTCCCCTGAGATCCGCTTCCTCCCGAAGTCAGGCTGGCACTGAAGCCTTGCTGCTGGTGCTGCTGCTGATGCTGCAAGCGCGATCGCGCAGAACGCAGCTCGTTTTCGCTGTGCGCAAAGCTGCATTGGGTGCCATAGTTGCATCGCCCCTCAGGATACCACGGGCACATCTTCAGCCTGTAGACAGCGTTGTGGGGGGGCCCCTGAGAGACCCCCCCCTGGGGGCCCCCTCCCCGCTCATACCCCGCCGTGGCACAGCGGTGGTGGTGGTGATGGTGCTGCTGCTGCTGCTGCTGCAGACGGCCACTCGGGGGCCCCCAGTGACTGCGCGCTCCGTGCGCGGGCTGCTGCTGCTGCTGCTGCTGCAGCAGCAGCCCCTGCTGCTGCTGCTGCCGCTTGCTGCCAGAGGCCCCCCCGCTGCTGCTGCGACTGCCGATGAAGGAGGCTCCAGGAGCGTTGGGCGAGGAATGCTGCGCAGTGGGAGGCGATCCGCCACTAGCCATCCGAGGAATTCGCGACATCCCCGAAAGGGGGGCCCCCTTGCCCCCGTGCTGCTGCGCTGCCTGAAGCGGGGGGCCCCCGCCTGCCGCTGGGAACGCCTTGGAAGGGCCCCCCCCTCCCCCCACCGCTACTGCACTGCAGGCAGCGACCCCGCAGGAGGCTGCTGAAGGGGCCCCCCCCTCCTCAGCAGCCTCCTGCGAGTGCTTCGCATGCTGCTGCTGCACGGATTGCTGCTGCTGCTGCTGCTGCTGACCTCCTAAGGCTGTGGCAGCGGCGGAGAGACGCCCCTGAGGAGGCTGCACTTTTCCCGTCGCAGCGACAACGACGCTTGCAGCGCCATGCTGCTGCTGCGGCTGCGGCTGCAGCGGCTGCTGCTGCAGCTGCCGATGTGGGGATTCATTCATTATCAGTTCTCAAAAAAGAGGCTAAGGACCGCCGGAGCGACTAAAAACGGCTGGAGCGAGAGACGGGGGCCCACAGGGTTGGGGGGGGCCCCCGTGCTGCAGAGTTGCGTGGAGTGCTGCCAGAGTGAGGCATACCTGCAGCAGAGAGAGACGCGACAGACACGGGTACACACACAGACACAGACGTACAGCGCACGAGGCATTTGCGCCACTGCTAGAGCCAGCACATACATGGAGGCGGATCTTTCGGAGTGGAGAAGGGGGCGTGGAGTAGTAGAGGGGAGGGAAAAGACACGCTATTTTCTGCACTGCAACACCATGTCTAGAGGCATCTTCAGCACAAGCAACGCGGAGCAAGACACAACAAGCCATGAAAGCCTCCACTAGGAAGGATCAAGGCAAACGGCGAAGAGCAGCCTCCCCGCAAAAGAGAGATGAGGTTGAGTGAAGGCTGTTGGCTGTGCGCTGGCTCCTTGCAAAGTCTCGCCTTCATTTTGAGACTACAGTCATAGTGACGCCGCTGTTTTTGCGCATGGGCATGTGGTGCAGGTTTTGAGCCGCGGCGATATGAAGGCTACATAACGGAAGAGCATCGGGGTTGCCTTACATACATTTATGAGGACGCTGCGGCAGAGAGCCTCAGGAGGATGAAGCCTTTACCAAACAGCAACCAGAAGGGGGGCAAGGGGGGGGAGGGGGCGCCACGGCGCAAGGGGCAAAGGCGGAGTCGACGAAGAGGTTTGGCGCGAAACTGCTGACCAGCTATATCCTAAGGGGCAGGCAGGCAGAAAGGCAGGCAGAAGAGTAGCAGGCATGGAGGCATGGAGGCATACACACACACACACGAGACAGCTACATCCGTGGAGGAGCATTGGGGGAAAGAGTCGTGCGAATGCGACACAGCTGTAATGCAAAAGGTCTAAGGGCGTCTTTCCGCATGCAGAGCCGAGCACGACGCGAAAGGGGGAGTCTACGAGGGAGGGGAATGCAAGACGGCTTTTGAGCGGCAGAGCGGAAGGGGCCCTCTGGGGGCCCTTCCGTCGTCTAGCGAGCAATTGAGGGAGACTCTACAGAGCCAAATTGTCAAAGGACTGGCGACTGAGCGGCTAGAGGCGCTGCTGCAGCGCCTCTAGCCGCTCTCTGTCGTGCCTCCCCGCCGATGCAGCCGCTGCTGCCCCAGAGGCGAGGAAGAAATCGTTGAGGGAATTTTTCGCTCAGAGTCGCTATTTCGCATTTAATGAAGCAACGGACCTGTTGAGCAGGAGGGCGGAGACAGCAGAGGGGTGGCGGAGGGCGTAGCAGCACACAATTTCCCTGCGAGGAGTATCCTTTCGCTGGCGCGTGAGAAGGTAGACGGAGCACGCACAGGGAAGGGGCGTCTCTCCCTGCTTCGTCCTTGTTGCGGCAGAAACAGGCGCAAGAGGATGTCGACAATGAAGTCTGGACGTGGGAATTAACAGCCCTCTGAAGAGACACAAAATGCGCTGGTGTCGGTCGCTACACTGCGGCTGTGGTGTTTGCATCGCAGTCCTACGCTGTAGCGGTGGACGTGCAGGGGCGAACGGCCAAGAGGCGTTCCAAAAACGCCACACACAAGGTTCTTCTATAGGTGCTTCGATTTCGCGTGAAAAACAAACACAAAACCTGGAAACGAACGGCATTGCAGCCTTTCTTTCGCTGCTGCTGCTGCCGCCATTATATATATATATATGCAGCTGCGCCCGCGCTCGCCAGGGCAGCAGCCACGCTGCTGCTGCACGGCACAAGTGAGAAGACGGTAGAGGCGGCTCTCTCTGCATCCCTCCTTTCGTTTCTGCACATAAACATTAACTCCTTAGCCGCTCCAGAGGGTCTAATCTCACTCACAAGCAATTTTTTTGCTCCATCTACGGCCCCCTGTGGGGGGCCCGTGCCGCCCCGAGCACAACGCAGGCGGTGAGTGCCACGACGGGAAAGGCGGCGATTTCTTCCAGCCGCGCATTTTAATTATGCGCCGTTTCGCTGTTCGTTGCAATGCAAATACAGAGAAGCGATCTCCCCGTAGCACATCGGAGAAAAAAGCCTCGAAGCTTCGCTGCATGGACGGGGCGAGCACGAAGCTCGCGCTGGAAGGGGCACCAAAGGAAGTTGGCCGCTCTGCCCTTCCTTCCGACTGTAGAACGCAGCGAAACAAAGGCATTTAAAAATTCCCCAGGCTCCTTGTGCGGCTGTGTCGATGATTTCCGATCGCTTGATAGTCCTCGCCCGGCAAAGCAGGACGGATACACCAGGCCTGTCGTTACACGAGCATCGGCGGCAGCCTGGAACCTCCATACCGCGCCAGCAAGCGCTTCCGCGGACTGCACTTACGCCACTCTCTGCACACACAGCTACTTCCTGGAGAGCACTATTAGATATCCCTAGCGCCTCCAGTTGCACACCCCACGCAGGGCACTATCCCCTTCACCAGGTCATAAAAAGAAGGCAGCCGCGCTCTCAAGGGCCTCTGTAGGAAGATGCCTCACTCCCCGCTTAAGGCGAACTCATAAAACGTCATTGGTCGCTTCTCAAAATAACACCGCCCTCCCTTGTCCATGCTCCTCAGTCTCGCACGCCAGGTAGAGGGACAGCTAGGAGGCGCAAAATATCTGCAGCCTCTAAGCCTTCCCGGCTCGCACAGCTCGTTGCACATAGCCTCTATCGCACATGCACACAGCCTTTCGCGTCTTCTAGTAAAGGCAGGACTCTGCAATCATTCGATTTGCCCACAAGCAAACAATTCAAAAACCTCTTGACTACCTCGCAGATAGTATCAGTAGGGTAGCGTGCTGCAAAGAAGTAGAGCGTAGTGTAGTCCACGCCACCCTCCCCCGACTTCCAAAAAACGCCGTGCTCTGTGCCTGTACTTAGCTCAACTGCGTGGAGGACCGCGGGCTGGAACCCGCAGCATATATCCCCACTAACCAGGCAGGCAGAACTGTTATATGAGTGCTAAGGAAGCAAACCTAGTGCATATCGGCTGCCAGAGAAAAAGACAAGTGGTCTTTCACCGAACTTCACCACAGAGGACGCGTTGGCCTCTCCGACACCCCATCCGCGTGGCAAGCATCGTTCTTCTTCCCTTGCACGGCTACGGCAGATGTTCGTAAACTGCGGCAAACGTGGTGACCGTTTCCTTGTAAGCGCCTCTGCTCTGTCATCGGCTTGCTTAGGCTACACGTGCGTGCTCAAGGTGCTGCGTGGGGACTCTTTCCCGTGAGCTGCCTGTGGGAACGTGAAGCAGTGCGAGTGGACGGAAGCTGTGCTGTCTACCCCGCGCCTTCCGCGTGCTTAAAGAAGCCCTCTCTCTCCTTCCGCTCCCCTCTGAGCTCTAGAGAGACTACCACGTGTGCACTAGCGAGTCTCGCTGTTGCAAGCCGTCCAGGCTTGTCCCCTACGCCCGTCTAGCGCCTCCTCTTCGACCCGATGCGCCCTCGTCCTAAGGCTTTTTTGTAGATCGCAACGCGCGCGCTTGCCTCTGCTCCTGCTGCGATTTTCAGTGCCGCCCACCTTCACTCGCCTACTACAGCCCCCTGTGGACAGCACGCATGTGCACGTCTCTGCAGGAAGGTTGCTGAAGCGCTATTCAGTTTTCAGGCTTCAGGAGTGTCGCTGGAAGAGTCTGGAGCAGCTATGGCGAAGGCAGGGACTGCCTCCGATTCGGAGATGCGGCCTATAGGACTACGTACAGTCGCGCGCAATTCTTCGCAGAGACTCCTACTACTGTTTTCTGGAGAAGCGCATGCGTGCAGGAGAGCTCTATCAGTCAATGCAAGCCTCTGCTACGGCCTCCCAGACCGCCTACGGCAAAAGGCTCCTGGAGTGCTGAAGACCAGCACTACTTTTGAGGCAAGGTGCGATGAATGGCTCGCACTGCCGTAGGTGTCGCTTGTACATTGCCTCAGACAGCCTTCTCAGCTCATTTGTGCAAACTGCCGGTACGTTACAGAGACTCCAATACGGCAGCCAGCACGCCTGCCTGCTCTGCAGGAGCAAGATCAGCAGGCAGTCGCTGGCACAAGCCTCACGAATCAGTCCCCCGAAAATGCAGGAGCTCAGGAAGCGTGGTCACTGTCTTCGTCTGTCTCAACCTCAATGAGGAGCACAACACAGTTGGGAAACAGACCCGCATCTTCCAGCGTCCCTTCCTGCAGCACACCATACACAAGACAGTGCAGCCGCTGCGCAGACGGACGCGTAACAACTGCAGTATCTGCAGCCAGCAAGTATCTGCAGCGAGGCAGCAGGCGGCGCGAAGGCGCTGCACAAACGATGGCTTGGCGATTTGCGATGGTAGGGAGCTCCTTGCCTCGAGGAGCGTCCTCTTTGGGGGCACAATGAGCTCAAACCTCTCAGGCACCGAGTGGGAGGGCTGCTGCTCAGAGGACGCACAAAACAGCAGTGGCAGAGCAGCAGCAGAGTCTTGCCACAGAGCAACACGTTCTGCATCCTTGAGCACGATTGCCCTTGCAGGAAACAAGAGGGGCACAGAAACGGGAGAGACGGAGCGCAGCGCCCGACATGTTTATTATCTGTGCATGTGTGTATAGGTATGGGTGTGTGTATGTGTGTATATATATGGGTGTATGTGTACATGCACATGTACATGTACATGGGTGTGGTACAAGTGTAAACAAAAGTATGTCTATTTGGTACATACACATACATAGATACACGGATATATATGTATATATATGTGGATAGATGTGTGTGCAAATATGTGTGGAGAAAAGGAGGAGAGATTGGCAAACAGAGATGGGAAGGGAAGGCAGGGGTAGGGAGAGGCTTTTTAATGCATGCGCGGAGGGAGAGAGGCAAGGATCCTGCTGGAGAACGCGTCGTGTGCAGCTATCCGGCAATGGCAGGGAATGCCACAGGCAATCCGCCAGAGCAGCGGGGAGGCTGCAACGGCGAAAGGAAGGCGAAAGAAGAAGCGCGAAGACAGAGGCGATGCCGCAGGACGGCGTGTGCAGTGTTAAGGCGTGCAAGCAGAAGCAGCTTGGTGCTTCTTACCGCGCAATACTCCGCAGCGCAGCCAGCCCACTGGTGGAGGTGCCTCAGAGAAGCACCCCTGGGGAAGACGCGCGTTGCTCGCAGTCCAGAGGGAAGTTTGAGGCAGATCTGAGCAAAATACGCGAGGTGAATCCCCCACAGAAAACACACCAGCCAAACGCACTGAGCCTCCTACAATCCTTACTGGCTGGCTGCAGCTGCGTCTGTGTGGGCTGCTGCCTCTGCATTGATCCTCTACGGCTGCGCGCATGCGCAAGCGGCCCCTCTCACTGTGGTTCTCTCTTCTGGCGAAAGCCTCTCGCATTCTGCATCCTGCGTCTTGAACTCTGCCGCAGCAGCGGCTCGTTGCTGCCGCAGCAGCTGTTGCCGCTTCAAGCGCTCCTCCCTCTTCTGGAGGCGACGCTGTGCTTCCTCCTGCTTCTTCTGCTGCAACTCGGCCTGCTGCCTCCTTTCCTCGCGCTGTCGAGACAGCCTGGCAGCAGCAGCAGGATCAGCAACGCGAGGCACCACACAACACGCATACCACAGCAGGCGGCTTAACGCGGGAGCAGCAGCAGCAGCAACCCCATTAGTGGCAGCAGCAACCCCATTAGCGGCAGCAGCAACGCCATTAACACCAGCAGCAACGCCATTAGCGGCAGCAGCAACCCCACCCCCACCAGCGTCAACATGCTAACGTCAAGAGAGAGTACGCGGAAGCAGATCCGCAAGTTTCACTGCAGCGGCAAAACGGCCAACCTGAGAGATTCGTGGCGCTGGATTTCTTCGAAAGCAACTTCTTGTTCTCGACGTAGGCTGCACGTATACATGCGAACATACATACACACATATACACATACATGCACATATTCATATATACATACATATATACATACATACACATATTCATTCATACATACATACATGCATGTATCCATACATCCATCCATACATATATACATACGTACATAGATACATACATACATATATACATTCATACATACATACATATATACATGCATAGATACATATATACATACATATACATATACATTTATACATACATATATGCATACATACATATGTACACCTATACATACATACATGTACACGCACATCCCTGCATACATATGTACACATATCCATACACACATACAAATATACCTATATATACATACAAGCAGAGATGCCGACACGCATGCACACGGCTAATAGCTGCAATGTGAAGCCCTCGATCTTTCCATGACGCAGAGTCTATCCAGCCTTCTCTCTAGCCTATTTTCTCCCCCTTGTTGCACGTTTGTGGACTCAACCGTCTATCGCACGCTGTTAGTTCCCCTTCCACCCTCTCTTTCCCCCTCCCCCTCTCCCTCGGTGCCTTGTGCTTCACATTTGATTTTCTGCCGCCTCTTGCTGGCGTCTTTCGCACTCCTTCTGGAGCTCCCCCAGGTGATCCACGGCACTCAACGCTTGTGAGACAGCTTCAGCCTCTCCCCAAAGCCCCTGCAGAGCCTGAGAAAGCGCGTAGGCAGGAAGCAGGGGAGAAAAATCCCGCAGCCACTGCTGCCGCATGCAGCACACGCACCCCGAGCGATCGCCTCCGCAACGGGAGAAGCAGCAACGCTTCCAAGCGCTCACGCTGTGAATCCACCTCTGAGCAAGAACCTGCCACTTCACGCGAGGATCTCTTGGGGGGGTTCTTGGAAGCAGCGGACTTGGAACGAAGAGCAGCAGGCACGGCAACTGCTGCACGCGCAGGAGCTGCTGTAGCCATGCGCCTTCGCTGCAGCTGCTAAACAGACCCACAAACAAGAAGTTGTGGCTTTGCTGCACGAAAACAAACAAACGCGTCTGCATATACACATATACACAGAGAGAGGGAGAGAGAGAGAGAAATAGAACAGCCAAAGATACACAAACGAAAGCCCCTACACATACACGCCCCTTCTAGCCATTCAACAAGAACGTCCCTTCCCTGTTCTATTTTGCATCCTGCATGCATGCGCATGCATGCAAGATGCATGCAGGGTGCCAAATGGAAGACGCCTTTCTTCAAAAGCGGCAAAGCGGCACACAATCCGCAAGGCAGCTTCTCATCGAAGAACTCCCCAAAACAATGCTGAACGTCCACAGCGGCACGCGTAACCCCCCTGGCTCCCTCCTCTCAGTTCCCCTTCCCCTGCATGACGCAAGAAAGTGGCTGCCACTCACAAAGAGTTCAATCAGCAGCGAACTTCTGAGGGCCCCCTGGCAGACGGCTTCAGACAAAGGGCCCCCCTCGTCGATGTAGACTGCCAGAGGTTTCTGCGAGCTTCGCGCTTCCAGAAAAGCCTGCAGCGTATCCATTCTCGGAAATTCGCGAAAAGACTGCGCAACGTCAGCAGGAGCGAGCGAGCGAGCGAGCGAGCGAGAGAGAGAGAGAGAGAGAGAGAGAGAGAGAGAGAGAGAGAGAGAGAGAGAGAGAGAGAGAGACAGACAGACAGACAGACAGACAGACAGACAGACAGACAGACAGAGACAGAGACAGACAGACAGACAGACAGACAGACAGACAGAGACAGACAGACAGAGAGGAGAAGGGCGTCGCATGCAGCCGCAGTTTGGAGGTGATGTTGCGAGCTCTTTTTTTTCTTACGTCTCTGAGGGATCCTTGGAAGAAGGGGGGATGTCTGTCGCCGTATCTGCTCTCGAATGCCAACAGAAAGCTTGGAGGGTAGAGGAGTCTCGCTGAGCAGTCACGCAGGACAGGTGCTCGCAGGATTCTGCAGATGCGTTTTTGTGTGGAATGTGGGTGATTGCAGAATATTACTACTGCCATTCCTGCTGCTGCTACTGTTTCCGCATGCAGAGCGCCTCTTAGAACCAGAAGCACGTCGAAAAAGAAGCAAGAAACAGCGCAACAACGAGACACTGCCTAGCTGCCGCTGCTGCGAGAAAGAGATATATATATATATACATATATATATATATAGGCTCATGGCAGAGAGGCCATAAGAAAACAGAGACTCTCTCGCGTCGCAGTGCAGACAGACAGACAAGCAGACAGGCAGACAGGCAGACAGTCCTCCTCCTCTCTACGCCCAAGAGCTTGGAAGCCTACTCATGAACTCGTGACTTTGCAAGACTATCCTTCCAAATGCCGCTGTCACAAACTCGATGACTTCCCAACACTGCCCGCAGAGAGTGGCGACGATGCTCGTGAATCGCCATAGCAACGCCTCGCTTTGCCGTTCATCTCGCGAATGCCTGTCGCCGTCCTCTTGGAGCGCGATCGCGTCAGACACCCCCGCAGCTACAAAAGAGGCTCCCCCCTCAGTTGAGACTTCCTCCTGCACCCTTCGACTTCCTGGAGAAACCCCTTCGTTAGTCGGCGAGCCAGAGGAGGCCCTCCCGATCTCTCGATGTCGCAGCTCGCTCATCTGGGAAATGCAGAGCAAAGAAAGAAAGAGAGAAACAGAATGAACCATCGGGAGCACGAGCAACCGCGCAAGCTTCGACAGGTATCCGCATGCCCGTAGGAATGAAATACATTAAGATAATATACATATGTATATATGTATGTATCTACATCTGTATATATGTGTGTGTGCATGTATATACATACCCCTATGCATAGATGCCCATGCATGCATAGATGCATACATTTATACATTTGAATAGGCATTCATACACGAAAATACTCAGATAGGGGCGAATGGACTGGGGCAAGAATCCGTAGGCAAGCGCCTGCTGGCTACACAAATACACGTGTCTTGAGAGATGTGTAGGAATGCTGCCATCAGTGCGCAACGCTTCCCTGCATGCATGCGCATGCGCATGCGCATGCATGCAGGGAAGCGCAAAAATGAGGCCACATCCTCAAGACAAAATCAAGCAAGGCCATGGGCAGAGGGGTGCAGCAGCCACCATGACATGGCGGAAGAAAGACAGGAGGAGAATGTGTCTGCTGCTGACGGCTGCGTGACCAGCGCGAACGCACGGGTATTCTGAATGAAAAGCGTCTTCTGTGCCTTTCTTCCGCCTTGGATTGGATTAGAATTCGGCAGAGCTGAGAGGCCTCCTGCAGGAAGAAGCAGCTGACATGCGACAGAACGGCGTCTTCGCGTGGATCTCCTAGGGGCCTCCTAGAGCTCCCAGCGTTGTACTTGAGGGCACTCCAAGCCTTTCTAAAAGCTCAAAAATGCAGGTTCTTAGTTCCCAATGCTTCCGTCTTTGCCCAAAAGCGAAGCGCTGTGCTCGGCAAGCGGTTCCGTGATAGCCGCCCTAGGGAGTCGCTTGAGCTCCCGACTTCGGAGGCGCAAACCAAAAACGAGGCAAAAAGGCGTTCGGCTGCCTCCATTCGAAAAAATGAAACGTGAAATTTTCCTGTCTGTGCTCCTATCAATTCGGGGGGGGCCCTCCTGCCTCCTAGGGGGGCCCCTCCCTGAACTGTTGCTGATGGGAGTCTGCAGGGGGCCCCTTGCACACGTCGCTGCCCCCCTGCGCGCTGGTAGAGGGGCCTCTGATAGGATGCGGTGTAACCGTCTTTATTTACTCGTAAAACTGTTTGATCGCTTGCTGACGACGCTGCAGTCTTCCTTCGTCTCTCGCAGATAGCTGCCGAAGAAGAACGCCTTTTTCCAATGCGCACTGCTGTACTCCGCCTCTCGCGAGGGGGCCCCCCTCTGAGGCAGCCCGCCGTTTCTTTTGTGGCAGGAAACGGCAGCGCCAAGCATCTCCTTTGCCCCCTTGAGCGTCACGGGGGAGGGAGAGCTGCTGGCTTGGTATCCTTCGCATCTCTCGGGGGGGGCCCCCTGCGCGCCTTTACGACGGGGGGCCCTCGAAACGCCGAGCAGTTCACATCGTTCGGAAACAGGACAGTGCCGATTGAGGAGAAGGAGAAGCTCGTGGGAGGCGTGTTTGATTCCGTTGCAGGTGAGGGGAGCCTCTATCTGCAGCTTTCTTGAAGAGGACAGCTCACATCTTCGCTTCTCCCTCTCCCTTTTTCCTCCCTCCAGTTTCGTGCCCCCTCCCTCCCCAATGCACCCCGCTTTGCAGCGTCTTTTTCACGGCCGTTGCGTGCCCCTCTTGTGTGCAGAGAAGTACGATCTCATGAACGATCTCATGAGCTTCGGCATCCACAGGCTGTGGAAGGACCACTTCACGGAGCTCGTCAATTTTCCCCCTCTTCAGGAGGCTAAAGTGCCCGCGGCGAGGCGCTCTGCAGAGGAGGCCTCTGCGGAAGCCGCCGATTGCGAGGCGGCGACGCCCTTTGCCGTGCTGGACCTTGCGGGAGGCACTGGAGACATTGCCTTTCGACTGATTGACAGGGCGTTGCAGCAGCTCGAGGTGTCGCGAGGGGAAGAGCAGAAGCAGCGACAGCAAGAACACGGGTGTAGCGGCGTGGAAGTGACAGTGTGCGACATAAACGCGGAAATGCTGCGTGTAGGGATGACGCGGGCTTGCGAGCGCGGTCTGCCAGTTCGCCCGCTGGTCGACGCCTTGGCACCTTGCGCAGACGAGGGGGAAAAAGACAGCAACAGCAGCTCCAAGATTCTGCTTCCGCGCTCCTCTGACTTTGGACGGGTGGGGCCTGTAGGCCTGCGGTGGGTGCGAGGCAGTGGCGAGTGTCTTCCTTTTGCGGCTGGATCTTTCGACCTTGTGACGATCGCGTTCGGCTTGAGGAATTTCACTTCTCCGAGCAAGGGCCTTCGGGAGGCGATGCGCGTTTTGAAAGCTGGCGGTCGGTTTCTGTGCTTGGAGTTTTCCGCAGTTGAGAACGCTGTTCTCAAGGGGCTGTACGACGTGTATTCTTTCGCTGCGCTGCCGCTGCTTGGCTCGGCAGTCGCGGGCGACTCCGGGGCGTACAGATATCTGGCCGAGTCCATTCGCCGCTTTCCTCCGCAAGCAGAGCTCGCGAGGATGATGCAGCAGGAAGGCTTCAAGCACGTGTCTTTCTCGAACATGACGGGAGGCGTGGTGGCGATTCACTCGGGATTCAAGGGGTAGACGCTCGTGTGTGCCAAGGAAAGCGGAGCAGAGGCTGTGTCGCGCACTAGCTAGCAGAGAGCTGCACGTTCCACTGAACTGATTCCTCTACAAACCTCCCTCCCCACCCGACGGCGCAGTACGGCCAAACAAAAACCTTGCAGAGCAGAGGAGGCCTCGCAGCAAGACAGCGCCCTCCCATTAGAGGGAGCACAGCCCGCACAGTGCACTCCTTTCGAAGTTCCCGCTTTTCTAGCACCTGCCTTCTGCCTTGGCAGAGAACGCTCTGCCGTGTAGCGGCACTTTTCTGCGGGCTGCCTTGCACAGAGAGAGGCGAGGCCCCTCCAACGCGGGGAGGCCGCTGGCTTTCACGGAAGCAAAAAGCAGCCAGAAAGGGGTACTGGAGGGAGGGGAGAAACTGCAGGGAGAAGGGTTAACGCGAAAGAATTTCCCGAGTAGCAATTTAGCCGCCATCTCGCGGCTGCCGTCACCGGGCATAGTAATAGCGTCCCGTGCATAGAGTACGGAGGCCACGTTGCTGAAGGAATAATTTTCACGTGTTCCTACTATTTTGAGACTAGGCATTGTATTTTAGGGATCTTAATATTTGTTTGAGATCCTGGAACGCCTCTTTTTCGCCCTCTTTCTCTCACTCGCTCTTCCTCTCTCTCTGTCTACGGCAGCGTCTACTGCCGCCAGTGGGCTGGCAGAAGGCCCTGCCAGAGACGACGTCGCAGGATAGCAAGTGATGCGTGCACTGAGCGCTGTTCAGTGCGGAAAGCCAGCTCACGACAGAACCGCAGAAGCGCCAAGGGAGCCGAACGATGACTGCGCGATCATGCACATGGGAGGATACGACACCGACATGGTGAGATTCGCAGTTTAAGTGCTCCTAAGGCTACCCCTGTGCGGAGCGGCTGCTTTTGCCGCATGTTGACGACGCACGCGCCCAAGAGAGCAGCGCTATCAGCAACGGCAGAATCAGCGACAGCCACAAGGCACTCCTACCATGAAGAGGGGGGCCCCTGCGGCGATGTCGTGTGAGGCCTTCATGAGGGGGAGAGCTGCAGCGGCGGATGCGGCGAACTGGCTTGTCTCCCTGTAGCCAGATATTTCACTCGTATCCAGGGGACGACCCGGAACGTAAACGCAGCCCGTTGAATTAACGCGCGTTCCGTATTCGAGCTGCAAGCGTCGCAGGTGTCAGAGGGAGCAGCACAGGCAGGCAAGAGGGGGTGGGATGTGCACACGCGCTGGGCAAAGCTTGGAAGTCACGGAGCCGCCAAGAGAGGGAGTAAGGAGGAGTCTCCTGGATCACAACAACTAAGGCCTTAAAGAGACAGGCAGCGGGCTTCTTCGAAGCTGCACAACGTGAAGTAGAGTACTCTGGCCTTTAGGTCGTGATGACACTTCCAGTTGATAAAGACGAGAGCACCCTGAAGCAAACGAGCGTACAGAGAGCACCTCACGGGCAGAATGTAGGTAGATAGGTGGGGGAAGGAAGACGGGACGTTCATGACTGTAAGCGGGCGAGGCACCTCTCTGCCACTGGCAACATGAATGTACACAAGTGCGAAGGCAAGAGGGGGTGGGAAGGCAGCACGTTCACGCGTTGGCGTGAGGGCGAAGCACTGAAGGCGAGTGAGAAGATGCGCGTTGCTCTGCTAGCGCTGGACTCAGGAAATGCAACGAAGAGAAGGCAGACAGAAAGGAAGGAAAGGAGGGGAAGATGCGCAGAAAGCAGAGCCGAAAATCTTGCCTTCCAAACGCAGAGGAAGATGCTAAAGATCTTGGATATGTCGTGCATGTCGGCTTCCGCTGAGCCTGAAGACGCATTCATGGCTCAGATGCAGCACAGCGCCGCCGTTCAAAGGTTTCGCATGGCAGAGGCGAGCCGCGCGAGTGCTCCTTTTGCCGCGAAGAAAAACATTGAAGCGCAACATACGCGGTCCCATGCAAAGCTTCGATCTTCGCAGCTTTTTGCACCAAACGAGGAGTATATATATATACATATATATATATATACGGCGAAGACTCACCAAGCCTCCACGCGTTGAGATAGACACGGAGCCACCAGAGATCAAAGGAGATGCCGCTGCACGATTAAAGACGCAAAAGCAGCAGCTCAGAGAGATAGACAGAGAAAAAATGCCCTTGCAGCCTTTTTGCGGCTAGGGAGAATGGCGCTTGATCTTCGCGAGTGCCGGTCAGGGTAGATACTACGCGCAAAGAGAGCAAAGACACGGCTCTGCTTTCCCCCTTCCTGTGCGCTTACGCGATGCATGCGAGCATGAGGAACGAGTAGCGCCCAAGCGTCCATCGCTGAGGATCTACACAAGAGCGTGACAACGCGCAGACCGTGGAAGGCAGGTGTTTACGTGTTATCCAGAGGGAGAAGGGGAGGGGGGAGGCGACAAGACGCACAATAGCAGGAGGCAAGACGGTTTCTTAGAGGACAAAGGCATTCGCAGATGCCAAGTGGCTGTGTGCATGCATGCATGCAAGGAGGCACACACAGCTGCACGTGATAGTGCCCGCACAAGCGCCGTTCTGCATGCGTGCGTGCATGCGCTTTTTTCTGTGGAGAAGGAGTAAAGTGGGCTCGAGATATTCGCGCGAAAAAAACAAATTAGAGGGCAAGGCGATGGGAATGCGAGAGGAACGAAGGAAGGCACCCAGTCCAAAGCGCAGATCCTAGAAGGGGCAGCGTTGCGTAGGTGCCAGAGAGGGAGCAGCGGATGGATGCATGCGTTCTCCACGAAGACAGGCACAGAGCCGCGTTCATTCACGTGGCGAGGGTGAGGGCTAATCAACAACAAGCGGCGCCGTTGGAAGCGTCTTCGTGGAAAAAAAGAAAGAGAGCTGCAAAGCTCTTACCAAGGTTATTCCAAAAGAGGAAAGCAACAATTGCCTGGTCTAAAAAGACCGAACGCGAAAATCCCGCGATGCTCGAAAGGAGAAATGTCAAAGCTACCGCATACTGGCTCGTCAGCTGCGAAGCAGATCGCAGTCATCATCAACAGAAAACGTGTCCGTGCTTGAAGTTCTCTCGCAGCCTCCCTAGCTGCCTGCAGAGACAGCCCTTGCTTCCTCTCGATGCCTCCTTTTTGCTGCCTTGGCCCCTAGTCTTGGGGATATTCCAAGCTGGACGCTCTCAGGAAGACTTACGAGCCACCCAGGCAGCTTCAGATAAGTCTTCAGATCGTCTAACTGCCTCGAGAGAATTTCTGGAAGCAGAAATATCCAGCCGCAGATGCCACCTCGCCCTGCCTCAACTGTGCAAAAGGGCCTATTCAGCTTGTCCAGCTGCAAATATATATACACATGTATATAGAGATGTTTATACACATGTGAGCATACTACATATATACATATATATTCATATATATACATGCATGCATTAACACTTAAACACATATCGCCGCCTGATAAGCTTATGGCTTTTAAAGGAACCTTCTACAAGCACCAGCTACTCTAGAGGTTAGAATCGTCCGCGTAAATTGGTGTGTTGGAAGCTTTAAGTGCGGGATGCAGCCTTGGCCTGTGTTGCAGCACATACTTCTTCTTGATAGTCTGACAGCTCCCGAATTTTCGCCTCTCTCCGCAGTGTGAACTCCTGAAGATACTGTTCGTACAGCGTGCGCTGCAAGCGAAAAGAGGGGGGCGCAGGAGCAACAGGGGGAGGATAAGCGCGTTAGGTTGCGAATGCATGGTGAGAGACGCTTTTTCGGACGCGATAAGGGCATACTGGCATACTACCCTCTGTTGCGGCTGCCTTTCCGCCGCCTTCTCCTTCAAGCTGCACTGCTGCGGCAACCTTTCGAGCGCAGAGAGCTTTTCGTGAAAGCCTCACACTCTACCGACCGCACATGCAGAGCTGAGCCCTTGAAGGAGCAGCCGCAACTTCTCCTGTGTAGATATTTATAAATATGTATATATATAAATATATATGTACCTTTGAGAAAATCCACTGGCAGGAGAGAATGATTTCTCCCGCATGGCCCCATATATCTTTCACGATTTCTCGTTTTTTCTGATCTGAAGGGGGCATGCGCAGGCGCAGGGAGCCGAGACACACACACAGACACACGCATGCCAAGCCACCAAGCCGCCGCAGGGGAAGCAGCCCGCCAAGGATGCACAGCGACTCTCCAGTCATCCGCCCTCAACGGCTTACCCGCTAAGTCTTCTAGCAGCACTGAGCAGTCGCCAACGAGCTCCTCCGCTCCAGACGCTGGATCTACCTTAACCAAACAGATTCGGAGGTCGCCTTCCCTGACAGCGATCTCGAAAGAAAACACTTCGTTAAAGTAACAGCTGCCGCCCTCCACTCGAGCAGGCGCTGTCTCGATGACTTGTTGCTGACATTCCAAGTGCACTTTGAACACGTCTGCAAAACGACGGAGAAGAAGGAAGCAGACGGGATTCCCCCCCTCGCATTTCCCTGCCACCTCCCCTCAATATCCTCCCCCAATACACCCCGCCCCCCCTTACAGGAGCTGCACGTCTTGCCGCCAGAGCAGCAGCAGAAGCAAAAGAAGCACGCGGCAAAAGGCACAGTGCTGTAGGCATGCATTCAATGCAAAACACAACACAAGGATTTTACCCCAAACACGCTAGAGCGTCTCAACTCGCGAAAAAAAGACAAACTCACCCCCGTCAGACGCCGAAGGGGAGCCCTGGTTTAAGTTGTGGAGTGAAGCGATTTGTGCCGTCAGTTTGCTGTCTTCTGCCTGCATGCAGAGGACAGAAAAGACGTCTGCAGCGCTGCGCAAATTGCCCCCACACGCGGCAGGAAGGCGGGGAGGTAGCACCTAGCGGCGAGCAAGGGCACCTTCCAAGCGTCCAAGGAAGAACCTCTCTCTCTCTCTGTGTGTGTGTGTGTGTCTCTCTCTCTCTGTGTGTGTGTGTGTCTCTCTCTGTGTGTGTGTGTGTCTCTCTCTGTGTGTGTGTGTGTCTCTCTCTCTGTGTGTGTGTGTGTCTCTCTCTCTCAGGCAGGCAGGCAGGCAGTCGAGCGGTAGGCATAACGCAAGAATGCAAACTTGCGAGACTCCAAAGCTAAAGAACACGGCTAAAATCGGCAGAGAGGGAAAGTGAGGCGGACAGCCCTCGCAGCCACGCCGGCAGAGCAGACTTACGAGTGCAGCGTTCGGATCTACTGCAAGATTCGCGAGATGAGTTTCTGCCTGCTGCAGCATCATCTCTGCACTGTCCAGCTCTCCGCGCGCAGACTCCAAGACAGCAACTAGCTCCCGCCTCTGCACGCACGCAGCATGGCCTTAAGAACCTGTGTGTCAAACTCGATGGTCAGACACGTCTTTCTGACACGCGGTAGGACCCCGCGCACAAAGCACTACTAGACAAGGAGCAACTGAGCAGGCGAACTCTCTCTCCCGTTGGCAAGGGGCGGGGGAGAGGGGTTGAGGGAGAAGATTTGCAGCGAGCACCGCAAAGGGCACACAAGAACAAACGCACAAGCGCATGCATGCATGCGTGCCTTCCCTCCCTCGATGCAGAAGCAAGAGCAGCGGCCTCTAGAATGAGGCTTTTGCGTGTTTTAGGGAGTTGTCACACCCGTTTCATGTAGGCCTCAATGAAGACACGCCCCGTAGTGTAGGCATCGCGTGAGCCCTTGTACGAAGAAAGCGCCGCATAAATGCGCTGCACCATTTCTTCGTCATACTGCCGACTTGAACTCTGCAAACGCAGAGTGCAGGCACTACCGCAAGGCACAGTGTGTTCGAGGCGGCAAGGATGGAAAGACAAAGGAAAACAGACGCCGACCGACCATACTACTTCTTCGCGCAGCGCAGGAAGCTGAGCGGGCAAAAGCTGGCGATTTTCAGAGGCAGCAGCACTGCTAGCGTGAAGTGCACACCCCGCAACCTTACGAAAGGGCTGACAGGGTAAGACATTAAGAAACGCAAGGATCATTCTTACAGAGCACATACATCCCTACAGAATAAGTGCGTTGGCGTACTAGGAATGCAGGCTCTCAACGACACACGCAAACAAGCAAGCATGAAAGTGCATGTATATATACACAGGTGTATCTATAAACAGATGTATAAATAGATGCATAAATAGAAGTATATGTAGAAGACTTATACATTGAGAGGTAGATATGTATAAAGCTTGATATATACTGAGCCACGATGCGAAGGGAAGGGAACTCCTGGGGGCGTGGGGGGAATTTCAATGATTGCGAGCGCTCTACCGCGAGAAAAGCTCAATAATCAGCGGTCGCAACTAAAAAGACACCCTCGCTCTTTTCCGCCTTTGCGGGTTGAGTCAGTGAGCACTTTTTTGCCTAGAAAGGCCTCGAGTGGTCTGTGCGTGGCGAAGGGTAGAGGGCTGTTTGTTGGTATCTTGGGGGAATGCAAACGCACTCGAAGGCGCATCAGAAGCTCTGAAAGGTTCAATAAGGACTCCGGTAAGATTCCACACCGCTGAAAGTCATCATAGAGCAGCCGCCTGCAGAGACGCGGGGAACACAGGTAGCGAAGGCGGAGCTGGAGGGGCTGTGTATGGAAGGAGCGCGCACATAGTAATGCCCATTGACGGACTCGACTATTGAACAGTGCGCCATGCAGAAGAGAGAGAAACACGACCGCTGTTGAGGGAGATGCCTCATAAGGTGAATCGTGCAGGGGTAGGGTTGTTCATGGACAAGGTGTCACTGTGCGCGCGCTTCAAAGACTGAGAGTTGAGAATGTCGATAAGATATGCGGAGATGAAGCAGCGCACCGCTCGACCTCCTCCATTGCATCTCTGCTTTCCTGAATGTTATCTGGTGGCGCTATAAAAGCATCTTCGATGCTTTCGCTAGTTCCTGAAGGGCGCGGTCCACACACATGCGAACGGGATGAGGCATGAGGCAGAGAAAACGCTCCAACTTTCAAAGGCATCCACGAAACAAATCTTGGCATGTTTTGACGTAGAAGAATCGCCTGCCAGCTAGGCAGGGGTAGGAAGCGCGAGGGTGGAAGGAAGCCCTCAATCCTTGTACTGTTGCAACAACCCCCTTGGCAGGTGGCTGCCTACTGGCAACTGGACCCAGCCACGAGGCTGCCGCTGCAGGTAATTTCTAGACTCTTGTTTCCCCAACCTCCACACGCCGTAGGATTCATGCACCACACGACCCTACTCCCAGCGATGGCCATCTCTATGCCGTTAACGCTCTGCCACTCTACAGGGGAGGGCGATCAGCCGGTCGGTGCAACTAAGGCCCTGGGAAACACTAGTGCCACCAATGGCGCAAAGGCTTCATGTGCACCTCAATCCGAGCAGCATGTTCAATTCCATGGGCCTGTGTATTGTATGCGCTGCGATGTGCCTCGCTAGCAGTGGCGAAGGCTGGAGGCCATCGAGTTTCCGACTGTTGCCTTTTTTGTGCTTTGACCTCACCGAAGGAGAAAGGCTGCAGAAGTTGTGCCATTTTCCTGCTCTTTGACGCCCTCGGGGCCTAGAAGCTCCGTGTCGGCTGCGCTCCCCTGCGTTTGTGTCTGCTGGTTTCGTTTGCCCTGCTTTTGAGTTCTGTGCTTTCAGCACGACGAGGCTTCTTCTGGGTCTATGTCATTAAATTTTAATCCCAAAGACATCGCGATTAGTGAAAAATTAAAAGAAGGGGGGGCAAGACTGGCAGAGTTTCAGTTCGCCGCACACAGGGCGGCGACGGGCGGGGCTGAATGGTCGGTTGCCTTATGAACAAGTTGACACGTAAAACAAGGATAAGTTATATTTGTGGAAACGGATCATTTGCTTTGACTCTCATGTCGCTGATTTTCATGAAAACTGCTCGCGGGCAGTGCATATCTTATGTGCCAATATCTTTGTGACGGTGTCGAAAAGAACCGCTCATATGTGTTCGGGGAGTTTCTAGGGACATCCCAAAGAATACACGCACTTTTCTTTACTGCGTTCTTAGGCATGTCGAAATTTTAGGCGGAAGGTCACAGCAAACATGCCGAATATTATTATTCCTTATGCGTTCTTTCGCCGTACTGGCCGGGGGTGTCCTGCGTGGGAAAGAGAACAGTTGAAGACCAAAATATATTTTCTTTCACACACGGACAATGAGAAAAAAATCCTTTTTCCTATGCATAGCTCACTATGCTTACCGGTAGCATAAAGGTTGCTTGATGATTCATATACTCGACAGGAGCTGGTGTATAACTCGGTGAGGGAGGTGGCGAAGGAACAAATTTTTTCAGTCTACAATTCCGTATTTTAGGCACACCGGACATATTGTCTGTCCTTTGCTTCTATGCTTTTGTCGCAAGTATTCAGACAGTCGAAAGCATATTTGCTGACGTACCCGTCAACTAGCTCAAGCCACAGTTTCCTCTCTTGGAGGCAGCTTTTAAAGAGGTTCCGGTATTCCAATTGGCATCGAATAATAAGTATGAGTACTTCATATACGTGCATTTATACCTAGAGTTATTCGATCACGTTTATGTTGTCTTGATTCGTATGCGAGTTGATGAAACAGTACGACACTTCTCTGACTAAACGGCTTGCCTGAAAAAACGAGGAAATCCTTCTCAAAGCCTTTTCACGTCCTTTGACATTACCTACTTTGATATATGCCCCATTTTGTTTAGGTGTGTGCACGCTCGTCGGGTGTCTGCTGCATTAGCAACGAGACTATTAAGGAAACAACGACGGAAAAGCATTGTGGAAGCATGAAGGCTTGGGGGTAGCACTTGGAAAAGAGCTGCACCGTCTGCTATGTACCGCCGGAATAAGTGTAGGAAAACCATGATGTATTGGAGAGGGTACATGTTTGTGACGCGGCACATGAGGTCCCCGTAGGGAGACAACAACTCTCCGATGAGTTTGTATCACTAGGGCTTTTTCCGTAGGGCTCTCTCCTTTGTCGTCAAAGTTCCCACATGAAGGGAACAATAAAGCCAGGATGTTCGCAGCTGCGTCATTGAAGCAGTTCGGAGCATTAACCAGTAGTGGCACACAGCATCCAGCACAGCAGCACAATATTGAGTTTCCTTGTGTAGAGCTTTCAGCCCTTTGTAGGGAATACAGTATCCAAAAAACTAACCAATTAGTCGACTATTTACTGATTCCTAGCTATATATTGCCGTTGTACTAGAGAGTGTATACGCACAGCTCATCTCACTACCAATAAAGTGTGGTGGGAATCTGTTATTTGATCATCTGATTTTATTTCGCAAAAGTCCGATGGGAAACTTTCTGCGTATAAAATGGACGATGGCACAACGCCCTGGGGTCAGAGAGTGGCCCGTGAGCTTATTTGAACGCAGTAGCTCAGCAGCTGGTATAATGGCATGATCTGTCAAGAGATAAACATTAATAACTGCGTCGCTAATGTATGTAATTTCAGAATATATGGCGAACGTAAGAATGGAATAATTATCGAGGATCGTATGAGCCACCAGCAGGTGTACTTTGCCTGCTCATCCAGTTGACGAAAAACGAATGTTCGATGCGGGCGGTGGTCGCAGGTTAGGCAGTTATTCAGCGCTTCAACAAGATGCTGGTGGGGCAATCACAAATAGTGGACTGTTCGAGGCTTACAAGGCAAATGAGCGCACATCCTGTGGCTTCAGCATGAAAGGAAGAGCTATCTGGGGGATTTTAATCTCATAATATTGCGGCTCTGTCAGCCAAGACTAGCTTACACTCTGAGGTGAACGTGATAAGAATGCCGGAGGGAACAAGCGCTCCTCTGCTGCCCTCCTCTTACGCATCTGCTAGTATTGTGTGAGCTCATGTCATATTATCCAGAACTGCAAGCGTGCAGAAAGCCAAGGAACTTGTATATGGGGGGAGTATGACTGGCGAGAGCAGGCTGCTTGGTGAGCATAGCACTTTCACGACGGAAAAGGCAAGTTTCATGCGCAGAAAGTCGCGCAGTAAAGGGGTCCACAGAGGCTATCGTAGTACCGGGGGGGCCCATCACGGACCTCTGCGTAGATTCAAGCTCGCATTGGTGTCATGAGTTGAGAGTTATACTTCACACTGGGTGTAACGCGGATTCATCATTCGGGAAGAGGAGCAAAAGTCCAATCTGCATGCTCACTCGTTAACAAAGTCCCGAAAAACAGTTTTGTTGACGGAAGGTAGAACGCAAGAACTGGCACGACATTGGCAGCTAACTCATGCTTAAAATCAGATTCTGGACCAACTCCAGGAGTTTTTAATTAAAATCCGGCACCTTGATATTTTCGTGGGTACTTCATGATGACTCAGTTGTAGGTGCACAAACAGCCACAGCTGCTCGCTGTGGAAGCTGGTTTGCTGGGCAGCTCTAGAAACAAGGAAATCCTGGTTTCCTCAGAAATGGTCAGTTTACCTTAGGTAGAGGGTAGAGTTGGTGGCTCATCATTGTGGGGCAGAGTCTGTAGACCATCGATTGAGCAGCGCAATAAGAAAATTGCTTTGGGCCTGCATTTCTTTTAGGCTCTGCGAATGGCTAATTATTAAGGATTTTCGATGACATTCTTAGATAAGCAGGGCAAATTAATAAATCTTAAGAAGGTTATTCATGCGCTAAATAATGACGAGGTGCAAGCAGGCAGACAATATGCTCTTCCTCCAGTCCACGTATTGAGCTGTAACCGGGATCTACCCCACACTACCGTACGCGCTGTTGGAAGCCCCACAGCATAAAGTAAAGTTTAAGGGGCAGAGTGATGATCTGTTGGAAAAGGCAAAGCAGAGGAATTAACCAGCGCATTGGGATGATCTCCTGTGCTGATGTCCGGAAAGGATGGAAGGTGGCGCATGTGTGTTAGCTTGAAGGCACTCACAAGATCACTGTAAAACAAAAGCTCCTGACAGTCCTTGGTGGCGAGTGGCTTGATAAGCTACGACGATACACACTTTACATGACATTTGACTTCACATGCGCTCTCTTTAATATCCTCATACACGCTGATGAGATGCGCAAGTCGGCGTTTCATACTCACCCTCGCAAACTCGGGTATACCGTTATGCCTTTTGGACGTGGCAGTGCCTCAGCTGGACTATAGCTGCAATCTGATTGGGACCCATGTGAGCCTACCTAGGATGGCTGGATGGGTGTGTCTCTGGACGATATCTTAGTTCGCAGCCTGAAAGTTCAAGAACACGGCCAGCTCTGAGGTGTACACCTCAGCTGATGTGTGAGATGCAGTAGTATTTGAAGGTATACAGTTGTTTGTTCTCATACTATCACTCGTTCTTCTAAGATTGCGTGCTCCGGCTGCAGAAACTAGAGTCAGATGCGGCAAAACTCAAAGCAAGCAAGGTGTGCCCTTTACTTTACGCGATTCAAAGAACATTTCGCGGAGCTCTGTGGGCTCGCATTGTATTGCCAAACCTTTAGTCCTGAATTTATTGGGTAAGCTCATCATGCGTCTGATCTACTTGAGGCGAAGCCGTCGGTCACCTGGACAGAGGACCGTGATGCTGTAGCAACGATACTAATCCACCTCCCGGCAACGCCTCCGGAATCGGCACTGCCTGATAATGAGCCTTATTTACTGCCAAAAAATATAACTAGTGACGTAGAGGTGAGTGGAGTTATTCCCGAGCAGGCTACGAGTTTTTAAAGCATCAAAATATTTATTATTCTCACTGCTTCAGCGGAACCGAGCAGTGGTTTTCGATAAGAACAAAATTTATTGTGCTGTGGCCGTGGCTCAAAAAAGCCTCTTTTATATAGATGGGCGTCTCTTTGTCGTCCACACGGAATACCAAGCTTAATTCGTATTGAAAAGAGATTTCGACTTCGATAACCCTGGAGACGTTCGCCAGCCAGGGTGCTTCCTAAGGAACGACTTCACAGTAAAGCGTATTCAGAGCATCACAGCGTGGTCCCCGGAACGCGTTAGTGGCGACCCAGCAATTCAGCTTGCGAAGATAATGCATTTAGTCCAAGATGTCCCGTGCATCTTGTGTAAGTTGTCGAAATCGTTTTCTTTTGACTGCAGGACATCCTAGACTATTGCTAAAAGGGATTGGCAAAGGCTCAAAGTACGAGCACATCAAGCGTGACTTGCTCTGGTTCAAAACAATGCGGGGAGACGGTTAGTCGCACATACTGACTTTGCTCCGGAGTGCAATTTTGCGCATAGCCCATAATCATATCTTCTGCACATGGTGTAATTAAAATACAGTACGAAAAGTTCTATGGCGACTTTCAGGGCCTCGGATGCATCCCGCAACAGTGTAGTATGCACTGTCGTGCTTAGATTACCAGCAGCTGCAGCTGCTCAATTCTTCTAAAGCCAGCCTTTTTCAAAGAACACCGGTTCCTGAACGGTTTTGGAGTGATCACTCCATGAAATATATTATTGAATAGCCAAAAACGAAGTGTCAGGATGATATCTACGTCGCTGTAGACAGCCTTAGCAAACATGTCCACGTCACCCTTGTTCCAGCTCTTTCACGAGTAAAAGACTCTCTTATTCTTTGTCAGCTCATGTGTGGAAGCTTCATGAATTTCCCGAAGTTACCACTACAAATCTAACTTAAAGGTCTTTAATACACAGTGGTGTGGCTTGTTGAGCCGCCTACATTTAACCACTAAACGGCCACTTTGTACGGTCCTAAGGCAGACGAGCAGACAGGGCGTGCCAGCAAAAGTTTTTGTGCTAGGTGCAACTCTATGCCCACACAAATCCGATTTCCTGACCTGACTCTTTTTCCCTGTGCTGAAAGACTTTTTAGCACGTCGCTGCACTCACGCATCCGTTGTTCTCCGTGTTTCGTGGCTTACTATGAGGAATGTCTTGTCTAGTCGGACCTGTATCTGGTGGGCCCCGATCGGTAGTTACCTACAGGAGCAGAGGGTTTCAGAGCACAGCTGGGTAGTGCACGCCAACTATGCACAAAGCTTATGACAACCAAAAAGGTAAATAAGGTAAGTGGCTGCCGGCAATATATTTCGCGTCTAGAGCCACGATTTCGGTTAATTGGCAGGCTCTCCAACGTGCATCAGATGGTAACTAAGTGAGGAAGTTTGCGGCCAGGTTGCTAGGATCATCTGCTGTCTTTGCATGAATCGATGTCATTTATTTCTCTACATATTCCTCAAAAAGCTTGAGATGACACAGAGCTAACAATATTGGCCTCCTGAAGGTATGTCATAACCTCCGGATCTCTCGCTGACTTTTATCGCAGGCAAGCGATCCGTGTGGAGGCGTTAGATGCACAGGAAACCGTTGATGCATTACATTCTAGATACGAGTGAGCGATGCTTACACAGTGAAAGAAATCGTTTTGAGATCGATTGAGGAACACCAACCGCAGTGGCTAGTCATTGAGCAGATGTAGAATCAGTTGCATGCCGAGAAACTCGCAGCTCTGGTTAGTTAGTAGAGCTAGTCACCGTGGACCTTTTCCCTCGCAGTCGGTTATTTGCTCCCCTTTCCCGCCTCAAACGCATATTTTGCCTGAAGCAGCTACCTACACCTATGGGTTTTCCTCGAAGCGTTCCCCGTTATTATTGACAGGGCAATTGTATACTTTATTTCATGGGCAGCCACACTCAGAGCCGGCACACACAGGAAGGTTGTCCCTATGTTTCTTCTTCTGCCCTGTTTTGGGCTTCGATTTCGACCATGCTTGATATCAGAGCTGTACCTGCATGCATCTATTGCTTAATGAGGTGCTTTAGCACAGCTGAACTAGTGTTCATTTGAATTGTTCTCATCACAACTTCAAGTTGTTCCGTGCTTTCTTGTAGCAGCAGGGTCACACGGCTCAACACTCTGACACAGGTGAGACAACACCGCAAACTCGGTCGTGTTGGTTTGGTCGCTCATTCTCTGTTGACTAGTGTCTAGTCTTTCCGTAAGTTCCACTTTAGGGTAAATGCTCATACTTTTCTTGTTTGCATCGTTCTCGCGTCACTTCCTGCCTGGTGAATGGCTATAGGGCAGGAATCCTCCAGCTGTCCTGCATGCAGCTCGTATCGACGTACAAGTATGCGTTCGAAACAAGGGGTAAGAAGTAGCATGCTAAGCTACACTTCAATACTTTTAACCACACCTGTGGCTAATTGGTTTGACTGTTCTCATATCTGCCATCCTGTAGAGTGCTTTTAAATCAAATCAGCAAGACGCAATGCAGTGCGTGTGTTTTTTGGTTGCTGTGTCCAGCTAGCTATGAGTGCTAGGATGCATGAGGGCCTAAGAACAACCTAGCTGTTCACCTCCCTTAATTTCGGAAACCCGAAGGTCGCAGGCAGGGGAAGGCGTAAAAGCTTTTTAGAGCTTGCTACTAAGCTTGTTTCGAGTCTAGAACTTAGTGTTTCCGTACGGAGACCTTTAATTGAACATTGCAATGGAGCCTATTGCCCAAGCTCACAGGAGCACAGTGTAATAAAAAGCTGCGCCAACCCTGCTATGCAACAAATCAGGTACCAGAGCGGATTTAACCACTATTTCTTCCTCAATATAGATGAAGAACGCAGCAGAAGGCTTTGTGTCTAGCGTGGCACCGTACATTCATGCACATTTGGGCTTGCATCAAACAGCGCTTCTGTAGGCTACTCTGTATACATGAGGGTAAAAACCAGCCACAGATGTGGTGTAAATCAAGGACGATACGGCAATCTCAGGAGCTCGTTACTTTTCTTTTTCCCTTGAAGGAACCATGGTGTGGCTGCTCTCATGAGATGGAACTAACTGGATTTGGAGATAACCACAGCGATTCCTTAGCACTTCTGGATTCCCATACAAGCATTTTGCACAGTATGAATGCATGTTTAGTGTATACTTGGTTTGCTCTCACTCTTTGTGCCGCATCTTAGTTCTGTCCATTTGTGCAGTTGTTGTGGCGAGTCAAGGGTAGGTGAGGGGTACTGATCTGCATGTGTAGCAGTAAAACATGAACCTTGGGCCAATCCTTGAGAGCTTATGACATATATACATGTAAAAGTGAGAATGTTGTGTCCCTAAGCCGCCATTTTCTTTCCCTACATTGGTCCTGGTTTCACATTTATGGACTAGGAGTAACGGTGGCGACGGCTTGTTGTTCGCTGGGAACATGGTGAATTATTTTGCGTTAATCTCAAGGATTAACAGCTCGATTTATTGCTTTTGGAATCAACTAGAACAATTCTTCCTGGATTCTGAGGTTGGTATCGCTTCATTGAGCAGAGGCCACGTTCGTGGCTGTTGTTGAATCGACTCAAGCAGCGGCCTCACACGAGACGCGGGATTAGCCTCCGTTTTCTCCCAACTTCTTTGGAATTTTGGCACTAAAGTGCGAAGGACAAAACTAGATTACATGGGCATGGGTCTGGCACTAGTACGTGAGCGTTTCTCCCTCATTTGCTCCGCCAAGGCCTAAACCGTGCATCCCCTTCCACTCCCGGTACCAAGAGTGCCAGCCTATGCTTCTTCAAAGCTCTTCCTCACCGTAACACATCTACATGATTTTGCATAGATACGAGTCTGCGGTTGGCTCTGGATCCTGTTGTTTTAGCTTGAGCTCCGCCAGCCACGAGCCTGTCGCATCGGCTCGTTGTTTTTTCGTGAACTGTGGTCAGAAAGTGTCCATCCATTCAGATAGGATGAGTGTCTATTTGCGATATCTGTTGGGGTTTGGCAATAAGGGATGCATAGCTTCAGTTCTGAGTGGTCGCTAATTGTTGCAGGCGCCCTAACTTGATGCCCTTGGCCCCGAAAAAGGACTTTGCGTCATTTTCTGCACCTTGGGCTTCGCCTCTTGCCGCATGTAGGTACGTTTCCTAGCAACCTGAAGTTCCTTAGTCCCTGTAACACCCTGTTAATCCCTCAGCGCAAGTACACATGTGCTGCTGGCAGTAGCTGCGCACGGACTAGCCGGCTTCAAATGAGGGGGCTGCCGCCGCTGCCATGTTCCGGTGGTGGCAGTCCAGAGGGTGCTTTCCAAACGCCCTACACGGTTCCCCCTCTGAAGGGGGGAGCGGGCCCCCCGCGCCGTCTCACCTCTCTCTTGGCAGTCCAAGGCGGTGTTCGACGGATGATGCGGAAATTTCCCTCGTGGAGGCAGGAAACGAGGGGGGACTGCTGAGAGGAAAATCGCATCAGCGGCGGTGTGGCTCATTCCCACCGTTTCGGAAGGCTCGAGAGACTCCCAAGAACCGCCGGCTTGCAAGCAGTTGTGAAGATCTGAGGGTTTTCGGAGGCCCTCAGGACAGCACTTTTATTCTGCATTCATCTCCGCCTGAAAAGCAGAGCAGCCTGGAGAACCCTTCTCTCTCGGCTAGCAGCTGTGGCTTGGCATCCAGGGGCAGTGTGTGGGGCTCGCCGAACGGCGAGGAGGAGTACTTGAGTGCCTGCAGTGGGCGCAGTGGTTCGCAAGAGCGATTCGAAGGGAAAGAAAAAAAATTCTGCGGGGCGTCTTCTTTCAGCCTGGTGCTTCCCACAACTGCAGATGGACTTGATCTGGTGCACCGAAGATCATCCTTTGGGGCCTGTGGGGATGACACAGTCGCCAGTGCACAGAGGAATGCCTCTTCTCCTGAGCTACCTGGAAGGCCTGCTCGAGAATGCACGGCTTCGGGTGTGAGAACTCACTCGCTGCGCTCCCAGCGGTCTGCTTCGGGCAGGTTCTGCGGGGCGCCCATGAGAGGGCCCCTTCAACCAGAAGGAACCGTAGGCGAGCAAGATTCTAGGAGTCTGCTCGTGCGGAAGGCTGCTGTTGTGGGTCCTTCCTGGTGCCGTAGCTCTACCCTTCGCACAGACAACATGACATGTACAGTTTGGCCGTCAAGGTTGTTAGCGGAGGACGTGCCAAGCGGCGAGGGCAGCCAGTCCTGTGCTGGAAACCCTGCTCTGCATGGGGTGTCTCCCTTCGGACCGGCGCATGTCTCTTCCTTGGTGCATCTTGGCTGCTCGCGTCGCAGCAGAGACACTGAGGAAGCTCTGCCCGGCAAGGAGGCGTTGAAGGCATCCGCGAAGTTGCTACCTCGTCTGGAACCTCCTGCATCAGTAGACTCTGGAGAAGAGGCGCCATGTAGGTCTTCCTCTTGGGGGGCTGTAGACACTCGCGCTTTCGTCGTCGAATGCGGGGCTGGAGCCTCGCTGTTCATGGGAGTGCCAGAGAGACACAGAGCTTGGCCGGCAAGTGAGACATGTGCTGATGTCACTACTGTGGAGGCGCCAGCCGGGAGAGAATTCGCTGCGAGAGGGGCCAAGAGAAGAAGTACGAGCTGGGCTTCTTGCGATTGGCAGGAGCGTTCTCAGCACCTGGTAGCGGCCACAAAGTCTGCTGAGGGGTTCCAGGGCTATGGAGCTGTGTGCAGCTACGTAGAAGCTCCCACAAGAGTGGCAACATGCACGGTGAGAGAAGCGGATACTTGCACGTGCAACGAAGAGCAGGGGACTCTAAAAGTGCCAGCAAAAACAAGAAATACTGTCAGTCCAGATGCCGTCGAAGGGGCCTCGAGTTCCAACAAGATGTGCAGTATGGGAAGCAGCGAGTGTAGTGAACATACTCACAATAACACGATCCTCAGTTGCAGCGGGCCTAGCCACCGCGGCAGTTGCAACCGAAGCAGGAGTAGCAGCAGTGGCAGCTGTAGCAGTTCCAGCAGCAGCGGCTCAAGTGGGGGCTGCAGCAGGGGAAGCGGCTGCTGCAGCAGGGGAAGTAGCTGCTGCAGCAGGGAGGGCAGCTGCTGCAGCAGGGGAAGCAGCTGCTGCAGCAGGGGAAATAGCTGCTGCAGCAGGGGAAGCAGCTGCTGCAGCAGGGGAAATAGCTGCTGCAGCAGGGGAAGCAGCTGCAGCAGCTGTTGCAGCAGCGCTCGTAGCGGGGAGTGGCCCAGCTCTAACGGCATCTGTAAAAGACGCAGCAGCAGCCAAAGCAGTCTTAGCAGCTTGACGGAATTTGAGAATTCAGCAGCATGCAGTAGCTCTGCAGCTGCGCTAGTGGAAGGATCTTTTGAGGAAGAGGAGAGTGCTGATGTCGGGTCTGAATGCCTTTCTGAGAAGGCGGTGATGCCGTCTCCTTGTGGAGCAGAGGAGGGAGATGCCGAGAGCGCGGAAAGCAACGGGTGCTTGAGCTGCAGCGATATCAGTGCAACCCGTTTCAACAGCGGAGGGCCTCATAGTGAGCTCCCGTGTCGAGGGCCGTCGTCGTCGGAGGCATCCGACGCATCCTGCAGTCGCACCTCCGTCCACTGTATAGACGACTCAGTCCCTGGTGCAGCTCAAAAAATTCAGAACGCAGATAGCTCTGCAGAGCACACCAGGAATTCTGTGGTAGTATGGGAGTCTCTGCCTGACGGAGACGGAGAGCGGCAGCCTGCGAGTGCGGGCTCAAGCGGCCTTGACGCAGCGAACTGGGGCCTTATTCAACGTAAAGAACTTAAGAGACTGCAGCCGACGGGCTTTGACAACATGGCCGCAGCGATGGTAGAGAGCTGCACGGATGAGCCATTAAACGGGCTATCAGGGTGCCCGCCTGTGCCTGAATTGGCGAGGGATGGAGAGGGGGGAGAGGCAGCAACGCAAAAGGAAGGCTCGGCAGCACTGCATGCGCTTCTTGTACCTACTGACACTTGGGCAGTCGATTCAGAGGGTTTGGAGAAAGACTTGCCTCTGGCTTTCAAGGGGTCCTCTCCCGTTGGCAAGCATATAACGGAGGCATCGGGTACGCCTGTGAAGAAATTGGGGCGTCTTGCCGCTCTGTTTGACCCGAAAGACAGAAGAAAGGCGGTTAAGCAAAAATCCAAGAGGCGTCAGTCCGGGAGCCTCGAGGGCGCTGAGAGGGACGGTATTGTGCACGTGGACCCTCAAGAGCAGTCTTTGGGCGAAACGAAAGAAGGCGCTTGCGCGTTGTTGATGGCCATGTATCCGGGGGCAGAAGAGCAATGCTTTACCTCGAATGATGAGGAGGATCAGTGTGGTGGGGCGAAAGTTCTGGTTGATGAGACGTCTGCCACACCGCTAACACCCTTTCTGATAGAGCGGCAGGAGAAAGTTTCGGAGCTCCTAGAGTGCAGCTCCCTCTCATCTTCCGTCTTGCTACCTGACACAGAGGGGAGGGCGTCGCACGACGGTAGCCGTCAGATCTCGCAGAACAATCAGGAAGATGAGAGTGACAAGCAGCCCCTGTCCAGCTCGCAGGACTGTCCATCGTTGTGGGCCTCCTTTGGCTCTGAGAATCTGGAAGATGAAGAAGGAGGGACGTCTTTCCAGGATGCTGCTGAGGCGTTGGAGGGGGACGCTGTGGGAGGGGAGGCGGAGCACGCAGGGGAAGGAGAGGCTGAGCGTGCGGTGGGAGGAGAGGCTGAGTACGCAGTGGAAGGAGAGGCTGAGCATGCAGGGGAAGGAGAGGCTGAACATGCAGGGGAGCTGTTGGCAAGCAGTAGCTGTCAGGTCGGCCAGGAGCCGCAGGAGGGCCAGAGCAGCGATGGTGGGCCTCTAAAGACATATTTGCATGAGGCTTCGCCGGCATGGGGTCTGTTGTACTGTACAACCGAGGCTAGTGAGGATCCAGAGAATTTCCAGGAAGTGGGGGAGGTTGAGGACGGGAAGCCTGTGGAGTCGCAGGGGAACGAAATGCGTGGCTACAGTTCTGAGATTTTTCGTACCGCTGAAGCGGCATGCCAGAAGGGGCAGTCGCACGAGGCGCGCCAGTCGAGTGACTATGGACTTTCCTTAGTGGACAGCTGCGGGAACTCTGCTGCTGAGCCAGAGGGGGGGCCCAGCTGCTTACTAGATGGCTCAGATGTCGGTGGTGGTAAAAACGTGGAGTTACCGGGGCAATCGTTCCGTAAGAGCAGCCGTCAGAGCTCCTTATATGAGGCCCAAGAGGCCCCGAACTGCGAGAGCAGTTACCATTGCCGCGAATCCAACTTGCATGTTGTTGCATCGCGTTGTGTCTTGGGTGACTCTCGTGCGCAGCTACATGAAAACGGTGCTGTACGCTTCCAAGATGCCTCAGAAATAGTTGACCGGAAGGCATCCTTAGATACGACGCACGAAGGGCAGCCTTTTTCGCAATGTGGCATCTGTCAGAGCTTTTCTCGATGTGGTGAGGGCGGGAAGCGCCAAGAACTTCTTCAGGCCGTTTTGCAAGAGCCTTTGACACGTTGGCATCTGCGTGAGTCTGGGGAGCCGTCCACAGCAGCGCTCAAAACCTTGCAAAACACGGCAGCATCCGAGTCAACAGAGGTAGAGCGGTGCTCGTGCTGCAGCGGCCCTCCAACGGCAGATATGGTGCAGCTGAAACAGGGACCTGAGAGCAGCCAGCGAAGCCACACTCCCAGCATACCCCTTGAGAGCTACCACGATGCTGCAGAGGGGGCGCATGGCGAGGTGCCTGAGTCTACAAGGGCAGAGGGGAGGGCGTCGCACGACGGTAGCCGTCAGATCTCGCAGAACAATCAGGAAGATGAGAGTGACAAGCTGCCCCTGTCCAGCTCGCAGGACTGTCCATCGTTGTGGGCCTCCTTTGGCTCTGAGAATCTGGAAGATGAAGAAGGAGGGAATTCTTTCCAGGATGCTGCTGAGGCGTTGGAGGGGGACGCTGTGGGAGGGGAGGCGGAGCACGCGGGGGATGGAGAGGCAGAGCATGCAGGGGAGCTGTTGACAAGCAGTAGCTGTCAGGTCGGCCAGGAGCCGCAGGAGGGCCAGAGCAGCGATGGTGGGCCTCTAAAGACATGGTTGCACGGGGATATGTCGATTTGGGAGTTCAGAGGCTCTTTCACACATTCAGCAGGTGTAGAGCACGCGTCTTTGGAGGCTAACCAAAAAGATGTTGAGGCCAGAGCAGCAGTCGAGTCTGGGGAAGAGGTGTCGTGCGGCGGCAGCAGCAGCAGCGAGAAAACGGAGCAGGCGAAGGGCCCGCAGGGCTGCGAGACACAAACATCGTGGCAGTCTGGCATGCATGGGGAGAATCTCTCGCTTTGGAGCCTGGATGGCAGGGCTTCAGTTGCATGCTCAGGTTTTAGACGTTGCGTTGATGACGGCAAGGCGGTCACTCTAGAGGGAGAAGCTGGGGAGCAGACATCGCGCGTTGCCAGCCGTCAGAGCTCGCACGAGAGGCAGGGCACCCTTGTCAGCAAGGACTGTATCCAGCTTGTTGAGGAAAAACTGGGAGTGTTCGAAGTTGGAGCGGAGGACCAGAAACCTACGCGCTCGGAGACGTTATCAAGTGCACTAGATAAGGCACCTGCGGAGGCGTCAGAGCCGAGGGGCCCAACGGAGGCGGCTATGGAGGTTGGGGGGCTTCGGTCTTGTAGCGTGCCTGAAGCAGATGCAGCATACAGACGCTGCATCATCGCGCACTTGTCCTTGTCTGAGGGGAGTCTTTCAACGCTTCATATCAACCTGCACGCTTCTCAGGGAGATACCGCAACCTTTCGCCTTACGCAAGGAGAGGCTGAAGCTTATTCAGAGCCGTCGACTCCGCGACAAGTCCCGATGGCTGCACCATTGTCTAACCCTAGATGCTTGTTGCCGGGAGACAGCAGGGACTGTTTTTGCGGGGGGCAGATGGGCTGCAGATGGAGGTCGCGCGTGCGCAGGCCGCTGGGGAGGCTGCCGCAAGGCTCACGAATTCAAGTCAAAGCCTCAGTTGGCAGCAGTAGGCAGCGATCTCATGGGGACTGGGTGTCGGCGACGGTACAGAGGGAGTCTGCGCCAAGAGAGGCGGCCGAGCCAGTCTTTCCTGCTGGTGCCGCACAGGTGCCTGCAGCTCAGAGTGCAAAAACGATGGGAGGAACAGACGCGTCTCATGAGAAAGTTGCAGAGGCGAACCGGCCTCAGCGTAGTTCGTGGGATGCGGAAGCGCGGCGCTCTCCTAACGTTGAGGCCAATCTGCACCCTCCTACGGCCCTTCGTAGCAGCGGAAACCAGCCGTCTCTAGCAGGGATGCAGCTGGATGGCACTCTACCCCCAGTACATCCTCCTGGCCATATGCATGACCAGCAGACTGCACCAGCCTTAGGGGGGCAGATGCCTGCGGAGGGAGGGCCTCCCGTAGTAGTGGTTGACGGGGGTGGCATGCAGACGGGCATTTGCGGCACTGAATTGTCAAATGCGTCCCGCACGAGTTCGTCAGAAAGGGCACCTGCGATAGCCGGGGTGGAAGACACTCGCGAGTCTATCGAAAGTGATGGCAGCGGGAGGGAGCCGTTGTCGCACAGCTGCAATGAGTCGTCTAGCGCCGGAGATGCTCGCCAGCAGAGCCACAGAGACAGTGGAACGGGGCGGAGCGCGCGCCCCAGTAGAAGCAGCAGCCTCAACGAAAGCGATACCTCCTCCTCTAGCGAGGACAGTGAGCGGCGCAGAAGCAGCAACGCCTCTGACACTAGCAGCAGCAGTGACAGTACTACTGGCAACCGAGAGTTTCTCGCCGAAAATCGTGTCAGCGATAGCAGAGCCCGAAACGCCTCGGGGGGCTATCAGAGATGGAGTTCACCTGGAGAGCTTCAAACTGCAGCTCATGATGCGGTCCCTTGTACGGCACTCGTAGACGGGAGGGAAAACCCCTGCGATGCGGGGTCTTACTCGCTTCCTTTCGTGTCGGTCTCATCTGAGGGAACGCCAGAAGGCACGAGTCAAAGTGAGAGCAGAAGAATGTCGCCGGGAGGGGAGAGTGAGCCAGTGCGCGACGAGGCCTTAGAGCACAAACCGGAACAGCCGCCGACGATGGCGCAGGGTGCTCCTGCGAGAGCAGCAGATGAAGCTGGCGCTAGAGCTCAGCCCCATACCCCACACGCCTCGGAGGTTCCTGTGCCCTTCGCTGCTAGCAGCGAGTCTTTAAAAGGCCTCGTTGCGAGTCGCCAGTCATCTGTCTCGGCAGCGGAGCATCCGCCTGTCGTCCGTAGGTCTGCGACTTCGGCATTCGGCTTCGCTGAGGCCTTCTCCTCTTTGGCGAAAATGGTTTTTGCTTCTCGCGCTCCCTCGCGGGCGGTTACTCACGAAGCAGCTAGAAGAGAGGAAAGCCACACTGGTGCTGGACACGAGAGCGTTGAACGCGAGGAGCGCCCTGCTGATGGGGGCTTTTCGACAGTTGCTGCAGGCGGGAAGCCGACTTCGACGCCTGGCCCTGCTGTGCAGCCCCTGCCTTTATCGTCAGCCTCCGTCCCCCGCAGTGCGAAGAGTGAACGTCCGACGCCTGCGTTCGCACTTACGCGCGCTGTATCTGAAATGACAGGAAGCCACGGCAAACACCACAGGGAGGCTTCGCCCGGCACCGAGGCTGAAGGCCCTCGCCAGATTAGCGAGGATTGTTTAAATGTACTAAAGCAGCGCCCGCTGCAGACGCAAGACGATAAGGGCACTCGGAGCGCTGCAAAACGCTACAGCAGCCTCACGGCTGATCCGGCTTTGCGAGAGGGGGCTGAGGGCTCCCCTGACCACGCAGGCGGGCGGGACCAAAGATATGAGTTTCTGGAGAACGCAGTCGCGTTCCACACCCAACCGTCGGGGGGCTTCTCAGACGCCATCGAGGAGCATCTTACAGGAGGCGTTAGCAGCTCGAAGACGTCCCACGACACTTCGGACGGCTCAGAAGTCGGCAGCGCTCCTTGCGAACATCTGCAGCCGAACCTGAAAGGCCCTCCAATTAGAGGGACCAAGGTTCTGGGGGGAATGCATGGGCATGGGGAGGCGGGAGACCAAAGCCCGTCAAGCGTGCATGCCTCTGAAGGCGCAGCTCCTACAAAGCAGCCCTTCGACGTTTCAAAGTCTGCGGAACGGTTCTGGAGAAGCACTGATTTCCGCAATGCTGCCTCGGGCATGGTGGGAGAACTGAGGCCATGTGGAGGAGGCAGGGCCTCCGCGGACCGCGCTGCGCAGCAGATCGAAAGAGACTTTTCCCCTTCTCGATCGAGTGAGAGTGAGTCTAAGAGCCCGTCTGACAGTGAACTGAGCGGTGAATCCTCGAACCAGGATTCCCTCGAATGGGCTGCGCGCATGGGAAAGAGGAGTTCTCCAAAAGCCTGGCGTTTGGCGTGGCCTCAAGGGCTGGAGTTCAGTTCTCAAGGCTCTGAATCTCCCGGAGGGCTAGCGAGCCCTAGGCAGCATAAGGCATCCGCAAGCCTCAGAATGGCCTCAGACGTGCCCGTAGATCGCTCTGTTGGTTATCCCCCGTGGCACCAGGAGAACGACTGGGATCTGGGAAGGCGATCAGTATCAGGCCCGGTGCCTAGGGCGTTTCAGGCAGCTGCTGATCGGAAAGTTACACGAAAGGGGGGTGCCTGGACGCCGAGGCTTCCTTTCGAGGCGTCGAAAGCCGCTGCATACGGCCAGCGCGGGGGATCGAGCGAAGGGGACGTGGAGGCGTCGGAGGCAGTGTTGCCTCCTCCAAGAACTGCCGCTGCAGCGCGACATCAGACGTCTCTAGATTTAGGTACAACGAACAGTATAGTGGAGAGTGCCATTCAGCTTGCAATCCACAAGTCGGCACCCCGGCAAGATATTCGACGGCGCGGCCGTCGCTTATTGCGGGACGAGAAAATGGACTTGATCTTCGAAGAATTCGGATGGGGGGCCTTCTCGCACTCGCCGGCCCTTGCGGAGGGGGCTTTAGGGTCGACGAAAGGCGGTTTCCTAGAAAGCCGTTCAGCGCTGTCGGAGTGTGCTACGAAGGGGACACTGGCGAAGCGAATAGCGCCGCCTCCCGCTTCGCTGGCATGCAGCCTGCCTCCTATCTTTTGTGGTAATGCGTTGTCTGACTCGTCTTTGTGGAATCTGCAGCTGCGGCGGCGTTCACCCGGCGGAAGAGCACTGTTGACGCGAGCTAACAGTTGTGCAATACTGGAAGAAGATTTGGCTCGAAGACCTGTGAGGCAAACAGGACAGCGTGGTCTCCCTCAGGCGAAGACTTTACGCTTCGCATCAAGAACACCGGTACTGGGAGGAGCCAGTGTGTTGCAGCAGACAGGCAAGCCACTGCAGCAAGCGTCTCTAAGCTCGCTCTTGCAGGAGCTGCTGGATGCCCCCGACACTAGATTAGGAAAAGCTGCGGGTAAACCGACAGTCTGTGCCACAATACGTGGGGTTGCATCCCGCGCAGGTAGACGAGAGGTTGGAAGGTTGCGTGCTTCTACAATGCCAAAGCCAAGGAGGCCCTGGGCCTGCGGAGAGCCTATCTCTTCCCCGTCAGCGGAAACTAATTCGGCGTTTCGCACTTATGTCCACAAGCCGGGTTGCAGATGCCCCTTGTGCTCCGTTGGCTGGATTTCTAAGAGAGCCTTGGGGACCAATGGCACCGTCCCTAGGGAGTACAACGGAGAGGCACTTGCACCTTGTGAGATATCTACGCCACGGCTGCAGGGAGGACTGCCTGTAGTGCCGCTTCCTCCGGGAGGCTATGCAGCGGCATCGCCGATTCGCATCGGCTCCTCGCCCATAGGCCCCCATCTGGGGTACGGGGTCTGTGGCGTAGGCACCCCCAGTTATCAACCTCAAGTCAGGATGCCTCATGGTCTAAGAGCCACTGCCATGACCAACGCCACAGGCTACTATGATCCAACTGCTGATGGCTACCACCATCATGGCACCGCTATGCAAGGGGGGGCATTCTCCCCCCGCCAAGAGCCACGGAGTCCGCGGGTGCAGACAGCTACTTCGGGGGAGTGGCCGCCTTTGCACGAATCCCCCAACAGGGGGCGCTTGACGGTGCCAGCCTTTGTTGGCTACCCAGCAGCCCAAGAAGACACCCAGGTTGACGACAAGCACTCGTACGGTACCCCTGCCTTTGCCACGTCCCCTCCACCAGACAGTGAATCGCAAGAGCGCATGCAGAGCAAGGAGCGGCCCTCTGTTAGCCTCAGCCGATGCGTCAGCTCCGAGGAGCTCGAAAAGATTAAACAGCAACAGCAGCAGCAACAGCAAGAGCAGGAGGAGCTGAAACGGCGTCAGGAGGAGCTGGAACTGGAGCAAAGCAAACAGCGAGAGGAACTAGAGGCCGAACGCCAGCGTCTGAGAGAGCAACGCGAAGCCCTCGAAAGACAAAAAAAAGACTTCGAACAGGAAAAACAGGATATCCTCCAGGCAAGACTTGAGACTGTTGCATCGAGCCACAGAAAGGCTTGTGGTGGGAGCAACGCGGAGCTGCCAGTGTGCAGCACTGAGAGGCTTCCTGTAGGAAGCGATTTCGACCTTCCGCGGAACGCAGCAGCGCATCGGCCCCTTCGACACACGATCTCCACTTCCAATATCGTGCGCTCCATCACGGGATCTGGTCTTGGGGATATGCACTCGGAAATCCGGCACGCGGGAGTAGGTCTAGAGGGCGAGGGGCTCGAGAAGGAAGGCTGGAGTACTGTAGGTGGCCGCCAACACAACCTTTCCCATCCTGGTCACTCGCACCGTTTCTTCAGTCGCACTGCAAGTATTGATACAGTAGAGGACAAGGATACCAGTAAGTCTGATGCCGTTCCTCGAGCACTGACCTGTGTTACAGACTATATGCAATTGGGCTCCACGTTTCTAATCTACGTGCCCTTGTTCCTTTGCACCTCTTTTCAATTTTGAACTATTGACGCCGCTTTCAAACACGTTCCGTTTTGTGGGTGCATTTCAGCTGCGAGCCCCCAAGAAGAGCTGCACACCGATCCCGCTATGGCGTAAGTGGCGAGCGATACACTATAAATCATACAGCAGCACTGCCATCTAGCGTTCGCCTCATAATAGGCCTGCTTCCTACGTTGCTCCTCTTCGCGTAGGAAGGATAGAGTGGCTGCTTAGCGCCACTGTTCAGCTCGGACTTTCAGTAAATTAGCTAGATTTCAAAATTCAGAATGCTGTAATGTAGACGACGTGTGAAAACAATGAAAGTTTGTGCACCGTATGGCTTTGTCTCAGACTATCTACTGCTCTAGACAAGGTTGCGAAAATCCGAATGAAGCTCGACACGTTACAGCAGCAACTTGAAGTGCAGTCCCATGAAGTTGCAAGCTACTATAGCTCTCTAAAAACGGTGGGTCCAGTGCATATTTCTATGAAAAACTTGCGCTGTTTTGCTTCATAGAGAAGCATGAATAGTCCACCCCTTGCTTACGAAGGAGTGCCGATGGAAGTGTGGCACTGCTGCGTTGCGTGACATACCGTGCTGCATATCTACTGTCGTGCTTGTGTGTCTTGAATACGGTGCCTTTATCGTGTTGCATAAATGTTTTGCCGATTTACCCATCTTGTGCATTTCTGTTGTTGCGCTACAAGGCCGACCAAGTTCACAGTTCGCTGCAGCAGACTGCCGCAGATTGCCGTGTCTGCTATGGAAGACGGCACACGCAGATGCAGGAAGTAGAGAAGCGCTTAAGTGTACTGACAGTAAGGCGCTGCCACTCAAACCCAGTACATCGCTTGTGGATTTCTCAGGATCAGGTAGTAAATAGAGAACCATTAGTGCCGAAGCCTTACAGGCTGCCTACACGCGTTGCGCATGTGATATGACTCTTAGGCGCAAGATCTACAGCCTTGCTCGATTGAAGAGCTTGAGGAACTCGCTCAAGAGCTAGAAGGAAGTGCGTGCAGCAATGTAGACATTTATGTGCTCCCTGTACTCAATGTTAATCTAGAAGGAAGCTAGAATAGTCGGTTACGCAGAGGTAATGCATTCATTCCACGAAAAGCAAATGTGACTTATTAAGCTGTAGTAAGTCTTAAACGCCATTGTATCCGTATTCGTTCCTGTGATCGGCGTAATGCATACTCTTCGTCCAACGAGCGCCTAGTGTATTCTACGGTGCGTAAGCATGTCTGGAGGGTCGTCTATGTCTTAAGTGTATATTTCTTCTGCAGCTCAGTACAAGCTCACAGTGGTCCAGGCCCAGAGAGCTGGGGGCTCATCAGAGGACAATCGTAAGAAGACCAAGCAGCTCCTACCCTATTCCTCCAGCTGCCTTCCAGATCCCAAGTCTTCGGTGAGTCCGCAGCATACTACAAATTCTATTCATACGCATACGGCTTATTTTGATTTGGGAGACGTAGTGCAATATTTGTCCATATATCAGTGCTAAGGGGCGATTAAATGCGTCTCCTGAACTGTCACTGAACCTCTGTCCCGCTATAGACGCTGAGTTCTTACCTTGACTCAGAGCGACAACAATTGCACTTCCGAAAAACTAGATAGCATGTGCTTTTGTCTTCACGTTTTGTGCCTACACTAGTCTTATTTTTCTACAGCGGAGTACATTGCATTTCACAAGTCGAGATGTTTTATCCTTTGCAAAATCCACTCAGCACATCTTGATTTAGAAGCTTTTCGAAGAAGCCCCTTGATTGAGCGCGTTTATTTTATTGAAAGGGACCACACAATACCAAAATCTGAGGGACTATTCGATTGTTTCTGCAGTTTGCAATCCCAGAGGAACCCGTTGCTAGGATTGGTCCTGACGACTGTGTTGCAATGCAAGAATCGGCCATGCAGGAGATTAAGGCTTTGGGAGAAGATTTGGAGCACATTAAGACCGTGCACTTTCAATACAAGAAGGCTTATAAAAGGCTGCAGGTGCGGTTCCTTCATAAACGTGGCCCACTATGGGCGTTCCTAAAACGTGTATGACTCCTAGAATACCATCAGCATGGTGTAGAGTGAGACCTCAACAGTGCGGTCTCACAGTTCGTAGGTCTCTGTCTTGCAAGGAATCCACTGTGGCATTTACACTACATAACCATACCATGATGCACATACGCGTGTAGAAAAGATTGGCTAGTGTTTATGTACTGGAGTACACAGGGCATCATGACTCAACAAGTCAACAGCTATGACGTCGACCTACAGCGCCTCGTCGCTATTGAGAAGAACCTAGAAGACAAATTGCGCAGACTCTTGTTCCTTAATGGTGACGCCAACTACTCCGGTATGCTGTCACAGTTAATCTACTACGTGCATTCATGTGTATGTAGCTACCATCTTCAAAAGTGAAACAGCAGTGTATCCTCCTCCGAGCGTGTAGGCTTTTTTTGTATGTAAAGCATTGTGCTTTGTGCCAAGGTCTTTGATATATAAACGGGCTTCAGGTCCAAAGTGTCTTTGTTTGAAGCCAAAATAGGCTGTTCTATGATGGAAGTCTTAGCATGGTCCTAGACACAAGGGGCCAATAGATGCATCAAACATATAGCCGCACATACGCTTTTTCTGCTCACGGTCAGACATCAGCATGATGTTCTTCTGTTCTGCGTATGTGTACCTGCAGAATTGTCAGACGCACAGATGCAGGAATACTTCCGTGTAGTAAACTTGTCGATCCGGAAGGTTTACAGAGAAATTGCCCTCAGAGAGTCCAATGACAGGAGGCAAAACGAGCCACGCGCCAGCGGTGGGTGGTTTGAATAGCCCAGGCCACTTGCGCAGGGAATCCAAACCAACCCGTAAGAGCATTAGTGCGATTGCCATTATCATGTCATAAGTAGAGTATAACTTGAATGTGTAGCTTTCAACCTCGCTACACTTTTCATAGCATTTCCCGAAATAGTTATCGCAAGTACAGGGATTCAATACATATTTTTGTACAATAAGCAGGCGTCAGAATTTTCCACATAAAATGCGTCCACTGATGGAGAACAGCTTACCATGGGTATGTAAACAGGATTTATTCATTATATGGCTAATGTATGTGATGGTGACTGTTGGAATGTATTGGCTTGTGCAGCACCCATACGCGGGGTACAGTGTTTCGAGTCCAAGAGCTGTGAGAGCAGCCACGAAGATCAGGATCATGCGCCGATCAACATTCCACTGTGGAACAGCGAAGAAAACCACGTCACTCTTTTGGCTTTCCCTGCCAAAAGTGGCAATCGGCGTGTGCCTCGCGACAGCTCACGAGAGCAGTCGGGTAGTTTAAGCCGCGTTTGTAGTTCGGTTCACATTCCGTTTGTTGCCGGCAGCAAAACCACCAGCCTCGTCGCTCAGCGGATGATCGCGCAAAGAGGGCGCTTCACCCATCACCGCATGTCTGGCTAGGGGTTCTTGCTGTGTCAAGGCGAAAGAGGATGCTTGACGAGGGATCAGGCTCCGGATTTTGTATTGAAGAATGCAATGGTGACAGGGCGCCTTAAGCCCTGTGCATGGTGTCTACATATTATTTACACACCCCGATTTACATAGAAGGCTTCTAGAACAATTTCGAGTTGTGTGTGCACTCTTGGGAGCTCAGAGAATTCGTAACACACCCGCTTCTCATGGACGCATGTGTTCTCATTTCAAAAAAAACATGCTAACGTCTGGAGCAGGGCATCAAGGTTCGTAATCATGGAGCTCTTTGCTGTATTTAAAGGAGTACCGCCCATTAAGGGGGAAGCAGGAACTCGATTGAATAGTGAAAATGGTCATATAGAGCGTATGCGTACTGCTTAGACAGTGACGAACGTTGGGCAACTGAGAGGCTCAATCATGGATATCAAACCTTTTTCATCTAACGAGAATTGTGAATTGAACTTGTATGGGATTTCTACGGGATTATGATGGAAGGAGTGTGAGTAATGCTTAACGTAGCCTCCTCATCTGTTAGCATATTCAGTTCGCCCCGGAAGGCCAACTAGTCCACTAGATCTAATGAAGGAGTTCAAAAAGGCCAGTACTTCCCATGCTGGCTCTCTGAAGGAACGTCTGTTCCATGTGAAACAAATTATATGTGTGGTCCCAGGGGCAGCAACGCAGAAATTCCTCATCAAATGATCCATTATAGTGCTTTTGCTACTACGTACTCTGGGGCACGAAAACAACCGAGAGAAATAAAAGTGGACTTCTCGCGTTGTGCAGGCTATGCACCTTTAAAACAATTGAAAGACGTCGTCTGTGAGGGACTGCAGGGCAGCTTCTTCTAGTTCTCTCCTCCTCTTTCTGATTTTGCTCATCTTCTTATTTTCTTCTTCGGCTTCCCGTTGCTGCTGTGCCGCTCTTGCCGCCTCCCGTTGCTGCTGAATGTCCTCTTCGTCTGCTGCCCAACGCCACAGAGCGCACTGCTCCTGCATCACTCTCTCCGTAGTCCATTTCCCTTGCACCCAGTCTTCAGGCAGCGCTGCGAGTGCCGAGTCGAGATGCCTCAAGACTCCACGCCTCTGCTTCTCTAGCAAACGCTGCTGCCAGTCAAAAAGATCAGAAGGCATAATGCTCTCTTGCAGGTGTGACGAAGTCTGTGCAAGCATGGTGCGTATGGCGCTGCTTAGGGGTCCTTGCTGGTGCTGCTGTGACACACGGACTGGGGGTCCTTGTGGCCTCCCCCGTTGGCACTCTGCAAAGCGTCTCAGATGTTCGTTTTCATCATGTAGCGGCTCCCCCCACTCTGCACCGACCTCCCCCCCTGGAACGGTGAGGGGCTTGTCGGCATCCCAGAATTCGTACATAAACTTCTGGTACATTTCAGAATCGTGGAGGTGTGCCTTTTCGGCTCTCCAGGAACAGCGCCGCGCGATCATTGTTGTTAAGTATGCAACGAAATCGGCCGACTTTTGCATGTCGAGGTGTGAGGATAAGGCGACGCTCTGCTCGAACTTGTAGATGATTTCAGCAGCTGCAGCGAACGGCGCGACACTGTCAGTCGGAGGCGTGGTAGCCGCAGCCTGGCGACTGCCTCCCTGATGCCTCAGTCGTCTACCCAGAGCCAGAGCGGCACCGAAGGGGAGAAGAGGCTCTGCAAGCTGCTGCTGCTGCTGCTGCTGCTCCTGCTGCAACCTTTCAAGAGGGATCCTCTGCGGCACAAGGGCAGAGGCCACGCGTCTCCAGAAGAAAACTCGCTGTGCATCCGTATGCCCCCCGACATCCACGAGGGAGTCCGAAGGAAACACATGATACTGAAATATTCGAAAGCCTACGACATGACTGACAGGGCCGCCGCACAATACCCAGCCGACAAGTTGATCTACTGCGTGGCTCTGTTGTTGCTTCATGCGGTTCTGTTGAGCAACGACTGCTGGATCGTCTCCTGGCTTGAAGGTTTCTTCCTGCTTTGCCCTCAGGAGTACTTGCAGACGACGGCGAGTGCGCAGCAGAGGCTGCAAGTAAGTGCAAACGAAGGCCAAACTCGGAGGCGTCAAGAGCAAGCGACTCTCCAGCTTCAGTTTCGCCAGAGAGGCCTTCTCATCGTCTAGCAAGGGGACCAGGCGATGCGGAAAGCGGCAGCCTATCACACAGCTCCAGTTCTTGCAGGCGCAACGTTCTGCGTCATCCCGAACAAGCAGTCCCTCGCAGTAGCACCTGGAGCAGCTACTCCTCCGTCTGCGCTCTGCCCTCTCCGTATCGAGCACCCACAACTCGGGCTGTTCAGCCGTTTTGGGAGTACTGCGCAGTTCTTCCACCAGCGTAGGTGTGAGCAAGCGAGTCTCCTGCAGCCACTGAAGCAGAGTCTCCTGAACGCTCACCCCTTTGAGGTGAGTTCTCCTGGATAGCGGCAAGAGAAGCTCGCGCGCAGTGCCCCTCCCTCCATGTGGTGTCTCGCCAGAAAAGGGGCCGTCGCCGTCTGCGTCTGGCTGCCTCTCCGCGGAAGGACTAAGCTCTTCCAGCAGATACTTCAGCGCTAGGATTGCCCATGAGGGGACTGCGCTTGGCAGCTGCTCGATCGAAACCCGCTGCAGCTCTGCAACTACACCCAGGGGAACCCTGCAGCAGCTGTTGGCGCACTGCAGCAGCAGCCGTTCTACGCACGCAGTCCGATCTGTCGGCGAAAGCGCATGCCACGGGGGAGGAGTTGCTGCCTTCCCGCCCGCCAGGGGAGGCAGCTTTTGCTCGGAATGCTGCAACATCAACAGCGACACTGGGAGGCCCCACATGGAGGGCTTTGCACTCTCAGGGAGCAGAATAGTCTTCGACGCATGCGGACCCTTTGCGAATTCCAGCGATTCTGCCAAGGCTTTCGCCAGAGGATCCCATCCCCAGAGCCTTCCAGGTGCCTCGAGCGAGCAGCCGACTGTGGAATCCGGCGAGGTCTGACACGCAGCTTCAGCAGTGCGCTCCGACAGCGGGGGCGCAGAAAGCTGCGAGGCTGCTGCAGAAACAGCTGCAGAAACAGCTGCAGTAGAGGCCTTAAGGCTCGGCGAAATACTCACAGCCGCCCCCTGTGTACTCCAAACAGCTATAGAAGACGCAGAAAGCTGTGACTCCCCCTCGCGTTCCTCGCGTTGCTGCTTAGCTCTGTCCAGCTTCTCCCAGCAGGGGGCTGCGAAGCCACGCGTGTCTGCAGCCGATGCAGGGATGCGGTTTTCAGCCTTCGGCAACTCTGCTGCTCCTGCTTCGTGTTCTGCTCCCACTCTGGAGCGCAGATGCGCAGTCGCTGTGGTGGCTCCAAGCCTTTGGGTGTACTGCAGTCGCGTCTTTGGCCTCACGAGCTGCTCCAAAAGGCTGTCGAGGGAGGCCCCCGCCGCAGCTGCCGCTTGCTCTTGAGAGCCGCAGTGCCCCCGTTGAGGTTCTTCAAGAGTGTGCATGCAAGCCACGTGGCGCGTGGCTTCGTCTTCCTCTTCTTCGTCCTCGATCCATGTGCCTGCGAACTTATCCGAGTTGCCGGACCCCTGAGCCTTTGTCGCGAGCGTTCTGGCGGCTGCGCCGTCATCGAAATCGCACCTCTCCCCCCCCCAATCCACGCGAATGTCTGCGACGGGTCTTAAGACGCTGTCAAGGGCAGCTCGCGCCTCGTTCAGCAAGGCTATATCCGGCTCTTTCCACAGGAACTGCGGCACGAAGGCGAACTCCCTGAAGCCTCCAAAAGACACCGTCGCGTAGCACACAGCACGCTGCATGCAGAAGGCGCAGCAGCGTTTCCTGGCTGCCTTCTTGCCAAAGCCAGCCGCACAGCGCGCTTTCCCTCCAGTCTCTGCTTCGGAGGCTCCGCTAAGGGCCCCGTGCCTTCCCTGGGGGTTGCAGGGGCAGACTTTGCAGCAGTAGCAGAGGCAGCTTTCGGAGACGAAAAGCGAGACTGCCGAAGCCAACAAAAACAGCAGCAGCTCCTCCAGATGGGGAAGAGGAGGCAGCAAAGATGCAGCCACCACGTCGGACCCCCCGCTGCCAAGGCCTGCAGACGTATCCCACTCGCTGAGACTCAGCAGCAAAAACTCTCGAGACTGACCTGTGGAGCGCAAGAAGGCAGCAGAATGCAAGACACACGCGCGCTTTGCGCCGGCTCTGCGCCTCCTTGGCAGTCGCAGACGCGAGTTTCGCGGAGGGGGAGCGCACCAGACGACGCTGGAGGGCTGCCTCTTCCCACGAAACGGGAGGCATGCAGACCTGGAGCACCTGTGTATGCGAAGATCGAGAGCAGCTATGAAGGTGCAGCAAAGGGGAGGAGGAGGAACAAGGAGAGGCAAGTGCAGGCGCGACTTAAGCCGACATGTAGGTTTCTTCGAATCGAGGAAGCAAAAAGCAGCAGCAGCGGCAGGCAGGCAAGTTCATCGAGGAAAAAAACATACTCTCCGGATAGAAGGGCCCATTGCTGTGGAGGATCGACTGCTCCGCAATGCGGCACACACGGGCGGTACTTGGCCTCCCCGTGAGTCTCCGCTTGCTCCTTCCCTCCGCATCGAGCGCGAGAAAAGCCTTCAGGAAGCGATGGGAAACACTGAAGAAGGGGCCCTCGTGTAAGGCGTAGCGGCGCTCTTCTCTAATCCAGTGGTCTCCCCCCCCTTGCCTATCCTGCACAACTTCCTTGGAGGCACCCGAGAGCGTTGAAGCGGAAACCTCTTTCTTGGGGGGAAGCTCTCTGCCAGCAGGGGCATGCGTTTGTTCTGGGAGTCTGGAGCAGTGGGCGAGGGGACGCTGGGTGCGATTTTCGTCCTTAACGCTCTGCGTTTGCGAGTGGGGATCTAGGGAAGATCCCTTCCCCCTCGAGATCTGTCTGCGCCGATTTGAAGAAGCCGCGTTTCGACTCGACAGGAGTGTTGAGGACGGCTCTGCAAGCGGATGGCGAGACGCTCTGTCGAACACCCCCGTGTCGCTCGCATCGGCAGTAGGATCCAGCAGCCTCCCTCTTTGTGGGGCCTCTTCCGCTGCGTCTCTCTCCTCAAGAAGTCGTTCGGCTCTCTCGAAATCCGCGTGCTGCATCTCCAGAAGCCTGCCCGACGCGGAGAGAGCCAAAGACGCAAACGTTCCGAGACAAGCTTCCTGCATGTCTGCGCCTCCAGCAGCGGCCTGGGTGCTTTGAGCCGCTTCCAGCAGGAGCTCCTCGAGGAGTCTATCTGCTGGTGCAGGTGGCTTCTGCGAGGCAGCCGCTTCTCCCTGAAGGAGAGCAGACGAGTGGGAGCCTGCGAGCGGTTCTGCAGTGCTGCTGCGCTTGTCGGCGAAAGGCAGCGTAGAAGCCCACAGCGGCTGACTGATGCATTCGAGTTCAGGTCCTCTCATCTCGCCTTGCCTCTTCCTCGAAGTCGCCAAAGTGACGGCATTCGCTGCTCTGTGCAGCCACTGCAGAAGCGCTCTGCGGTGGCTGTCTCCGAAAACGAGGATCTGCGATTTCCTCGCGTTCAGCTGCGCATGGTCAAGTGTGCAGTGTCTCCAATACGCGCTCACAACCTGCGTGGTTTTCGCCGCTTCTTCCAGCAAGCGTCTCAGCTCTCCGCTGGGCGCAGCGGCAGAGGCAACATCAGCCTTCGCAGGCGCGCTTGCCAGCTGCTGCGCAGTCTCCGCTGAGGCTGCCAGAGCGTCTATGCATTCTTCCACGAGCGACCTCCAGACGGAGAAAGTCGGAACCTGCAGCTCGCGCTGCTGCGCGAGGAAGCGCAGTCGCCCCTCTCCCTTCGCCCTCTTGGTGTTGGTGCCGCGCGCCTGCTGCCGACACGCACGCACTTGCTTGCTGCTGTAGAACTCCTTCACCGCTTCCGCAGCGCCTCGAATATCCAGGGGAAGAAGCGCGCGGCAGCCAGCGCTCAACAGCGGCAGCAGCAGCTCCTGCACTCTCTGCAAGGGGCCTGTCTGCTCTCCAGAGTGCCTGCCGCGGGAAAAATCGAAAATCCACCCCTCGCAGAGCAGCACATCCGCGAGGGGAACGCCGAAGTCGACACGCAGAGAAAAAAAGTGCAGGGGTCCTAGCGCGCTTGCCAGCTGCTGCGCAGTCGACGGATGCGTGAGGACTGCAGCGAGCTCCGCGCGCACCCTATCCATCACATCAGTTTGCGAACGGGCAGCCGACCAAACGCCTCGCTGCTGAAGCAGCAGCTGCTGCACTTCGTTTGGCCTTCGAAGCAGCAGCGCGAACAGCGACTTCATCACCTGGCGCGTCTTGCTGGTAGCTGCAGCGTTGTGGAGACTCCGCGCGACGAGCGCGTCGAGCTCCCGCACGACCTCTAGCCACTTGCTGACACATGCAGTGGCTTCGCTGCTGCTGCTGCCCTCTTCGTCGTGGGAAGAAGCCGACTCTCCAGCGAGCGCATCCGCAGCCTCTGCGCAGCCGTCGAAGAAACGGGGGATCTGCGCCGCAGGGAGGCTCAGGCCCTTCCGCCAGGCTCCTCCTTGAGAGGCTTCCAACATGCCCCCTGCACTCAATTCGACACACAGCGCGTCGAACGCCGCGCCAAGAGCTGCGTGCGCTTGCTGCTGGCGCTGCATCCACGTTTTGAAGGCGTTGCACAGCAGAAGTTTCGCGTTCTGCAGGACGAAGCGTGAGCCCTCCCAGCCGTGCGGAGGCATTCCAAAGAGAGTCTGCGGATCTGTTTCCTGGAGCAACGCCGCAGCCAGGTTTACGCGGAAGGCTACGCTGCAGCTGCAGCGCAGCAGCTGCTGCGCCTTGTGGACAAAGTGCAGCTGCGACCAGCGCTCCCGATTCAGCTCCGCGTTCGTGGCGAGACTGACATCGACTTCTGCCTCCAAGTCACCCCGACGAAGGGAGGGAATGTCAGTGCCGCCTTCACAAAGCACCGCTGCGCAGCGGCAGGCAGGCGTGTGCTGTTTCGCATCCTGTTCCCCAGTCGCAGACTCTCCGGAGGAGACACGCGCAGCGCGCCTCGTCCTGGAGAAGGAGGAGGAAGAGGCACTGCTTTGCCGCTCTGCCGCTGGCGAGACGCAGTCATTCTGCATTCCACGAGCCGGGGAGGGGGACGAAGACAAAGCAGCGCGAGAAGCTGCCGCGGAGTCTTCTTGGAGTGCGCCGCTGCTGGGCAGCAGATCTGGACGTTCTCGAAAGGCCTCGTAGCACAAGACGTTGTAGGCGAAATGCGATCTGCGCTCCTGACTCATGTTGAAGGGTGCCTGCATGGAGCTGTCGCGGATGTGGCTGAATCCGAAAGGCATGTAGGCAGCGGCAAGGACGAGCTGCAGACGCCAGACGAGGCTCTCGACGCCTCCAGCCAGCTGCGCGTTCGACGTCCACATGCAGGCTTCACCCTGAAGATCCCCCCCTGCTGCTCCTACAGAGGCTGGCATTGCTCTGGAAGCGCCGCTGAGGCCGTTTGCGAATTCGAGAGATGCCAGCTTGCGATCTATCGAAAAATACTGAGACGCCACGTCGGCAACGCCTTGTATGGACACTCCGCTTGCCGCGAGACAGCGCTTCAACTCCCCCATCTCGGCTGCAGTATACTTTCTTTGCCTGCCGTCTCGTTGCGCAGGCTTGTCTGGCAGCAGCTGCGTCCCCCTCGCCATTAAGTGACTTTGCAGGTGCTTTAGGCAGTCGCCGAATCGACGGTGGAGATGCAGCATCGCCATCACGTCCACGCATATGTCGCAGGGAATGAACTCCCCCCACATGAAACGGCTGGTGTCGCTGGTACTTGGCTTCCCGCCAGGCGTACGGGGGTTTGTTGCAGCTTGTTGCCACGGCATCCCCTCCTCTCTCTTCACGTTCCGCCGTCGCACAGGCTCCCGCTTGAACTGCCGATAAGGCCGCATGCGCTGCAGCGCCTCTGCAGCCTCCGGAAACAGGGGAGCCGTGCAACACCCTGCAGCAGCTAGACGGGCTGAACGAGACACCAGCCAACGCAGCACCACTGCGTCGGGGGGGGAGGAGGACGTCTGCAGCTTAGGCCCTCGTGCTGCACAAACGCATGCGCTACACGAAGCAAACGAGGTACAGTAAAAGGCGCCTTTTCCCAATCAGCGTGCAATGCATAGCAGAGTCTATCGTTCAAAAGGACTGCAGAGCAGTAACACGCGGAAAAGGAGCAGCCCCGTTGAAAGGCGACCTCTAAGAAACCTCATTCAAAAAGCCTTCCCTTTCCTCCCTTCCTCTTCCTCCCCCCTTCCTCCTCTTCCTTCCCCCCTTCCTCCTCTTCCTTCTTCCCTTCCTCCTCTTCCTCCCCCCTTCCTCCTCTTCCTTCTTCCCTTCCTCCTCTTCCTTCCCCCCTTCCTCCTCTTCCTTCCCCCCTTCCTCCTCTTCCTTCTTCCCTTCCTCCTCTTCCTTCCCCCTTCCTCCTCTTCCTTCCCCCCTTCCTCCTCTTCCTTCCCCTCCTGCCCTTTGAGACGCTGCAGGAGACTCACGCTGGCATTCAAAGACGCTCTGTCTGTCACTGACGAGCAGAGAGGCAGCCCACATGCCGGCAGGCAGAATTCCGTAGGCCTTAGAGAGAAGAAGTACTCTCGCTACTCGTACAGGAAGCGCAAGGCAGCACGCGAGATGCCCTAAAGGCGTCACTTGCGTGAAGGGGAAGTACGGCGATCGCAGCTCTAAAGCCCCTAAAAATGCAGAGCAGCAACGCACTTCTAAGCGAACTGAAACGCAGCGTCCCTTCAAGGGCAGCCGTGCATGCATTCGTTGCAGGAGCAACGATTTCTGCCGTGCATGCATTTGCTGCGGGAGCAACGATTTCTGCCGTGCATGCATTTGCTGCAGGAGCAACGATTTCTGCGGCTGCGCTTTCTGCGTACAGAGACGGCGCGAAAAGCAAACAGTTGCACTAAAAAAGCAGCGGCATGGCGGAGCAGCTGAGGCAGACTGCGACTGTGCCGCTCTCGCAGAAAAAGCGATGCTTGCCTGATGCTTCCATGCTACAAAGGGCCTCGTGTGCCTTGCCCACATCTGGAGGATCCTGAGCTTGGGAAAGGAAAAACAAAGACGCGTCACTGCTCTCTGCAGGCAGCGCAGCCATGGTGTCTATGAGCACCTGAAGCAGAGCACAAAAAGTAGCCAATCTAGCCAGCTCGTGATTAGGGGGCATATGTTCACGCGGTCTGGATCGTTTTCTGCTCTGGGATGCACAACGCGCCATGCACGCGTTCCACTGAAGAACGCCTACACCGCTTTCAGCAGCCGCTTCTTCTCAAAGCTGTGCCTCACGTCCTCCAGAGGGAGACGCTGCAGCTCTGGCAGAGGAAATGGCTCAAGCACCTCGTAAAGCATGCGCGGAATAAGGCACATATAAACACCCTCTCTGACGCGTCCTGCAAACCCGCAGAAAAGAAGACCTCGCTGTTAGCAGGAGAGACACTATCTTTTACCAAAAAACAAGACACACAGTTCTTTGGAATCTAAGCCACGTGCCATTGCATTGGGCACTGCAGCCCGTGAGGCAACTTGTCAGGCAGCTCTGAAGCTCGCTCCCGTGTGTGTTCCGAGGCAGCAGGGAAACAAAACGCTACCTAGCATCCCAGATGTCTACACTCAGGAGCCATCCGTTTGCATGCATGCCCTTCACTTGCCGCTTCCTATATGCCCTCAAGTGCACTCTACAAAGCTAAGAGAAGATACATCTACGCCAAAAGAAGCCGGAAGAAGGCGCGCAGTAGGAGATGTGCATGCGGTACTGTGCTGACTGGCGTTTGTTCATGCATGCGAAACGCTTCGCGCCAAAATTCGTCCCTCGACTCGATACACAGACGACAATGCACACCATACACTTTGGGGTGTGTCTAAATAGGCCACGTGCCTGTTCGCCCTTTGCGTTGATCCAAAGCCGCGCGGCTTGCCCATCGCAGCTGCAGGCGATGAGCCTTTGTTACAGAGTGCACGTGTTTTTCCTGCGGGAAAGTCATACAGGCCCTTGTAAGACTGTTTGTCGTCTAATATCTTAGTTTTGCGGCGCTGCCTTATTGGATGCTACTCGATCCTCCACCGTTTCACCAAGCTCCATGCACCCTACTACCTACGCACACCCCCCTACGTCCTCCGAACTTGTTTCAAGCTCCATGCGCTAGACAGCGTGTTGCCGTGCCGTCATTTTGTACTGGAGACTACGCCTCGTTGCGCATGGAGCCTATGCTTCGCAAGACAACTAGGACGGCGATCCAAAGAGGAAAAGCTGGCTTGCCTTGACGAGAGCGAAGTCCATAACAATGCAGACGTCGACAAAGGTGATGCTGCTTTCCGCGATATTTGTTGCGAGGATGATCTTCATGCACGTAGACCTTGGAGCATGCTGTTTTGCATGCTTCAAATCATCTGTTTCTGCGTCTCTATGAATACGGAGCACCTGCACATCAACTCGCAGCCGTATTACGGAGTCTTCCGTCTCTCCCCGGGAGTCAGGCCTTGTGCCGCTTCTTCGAGCATTCTCCATGGCTTCCAAGGCTGCAGCTGCCTCATTTTTCGCATGATCCAGTGCACTCATCATGCGGAATATCTCAGTCTTTCCTGCACCAGGCACACGAGAGAACACTCCAACACTTGCCCTCAAACGCCGCAAAGCCCACTTGCGCCAAAAGTTTTGAAGTTCGAGCGCAGCCGTCCGCGCTTCGTAAGTAATTAGAGAAGAATCACAAACCAAGTGTAGCGTATAATCCGAGGGAGCGTTACAAGAACGGCTGAGGCAGTGAAGCCTACCAGGAAGGAAGACGAGGACTCCGAGCTGGGGCGCATTTCGAAGCAAGCACTGAACATGGATCAACATCAAAAGCCGTGACGCTTTCTCGAGACACGAGAAGTTAAGCCTGGGCTTTTCAAAGCAGTAGTCATTCCTGCTAGGCATAGTGTCGTATTCGCTCTCCAACCAACTGGCACCTTCTCCCTGGTAAGGCTCCGCTGGATCTTCTGCACTGCCAGTTTGTGGGTAGATCTGCGGTTTGCATGCGTGCAAGAAACTCCGGGGCACGTCTCCCGCCGGCGTAAACGGGCAGCCAGTGTCAGGATCTATTCCCAAGCAGCGCAAGAGAGTAGGACTGGCAGCAAGACTCAAAAGATCCGCGGCTGCAGAGGCCAAAGACGCACTTGCCAGATCACACAGGTCCTCCCAGAAGAGCTCCTCGACGGGGAAATTCGTGCGCCTAGCCACTTCTACACAGTTGGCGTTCACGCGTGCGCTGCCGGATACGTGCCTCCACTGCAGCATGCCGCAAGCGCCACGCAGCTTCATTGAACGCTGCTGATCTTTAAAAACGTTCACCAACTCCCTAGAGCGACGGTTCTTCCAAAGGTGCACAAGCTCGTTAAGGGGTGATGACAGATTCCTCGCTAAACCAATCAGACGCTCGCGCCTCCCTAATTCACAGCGCTGATCATTGAGGCCTTTATTTGGGAGATGGGGAAGCTGGCTTTTCATTAAGGTTCCTCTGATACGCAGCAAAAGGGTCTGGTCGGTCCATGCTGCGTGTTCTGCCTCGAACATGTTCAAACTCTCCCCCGCAAGGAATGTGGCGAAGTCGTGGGCGCTTATGGTGGCAGACATGACAACTATTCGGAAGACAGGTAGCGGCGCTCTAGCGACGGAGGCAGCCGCTGTTACCTTCACAGCAAGACACTTAAGCAGCAACAAAGACATATCACAGTCGACAGTACGCTCGTGAACTTCGTCCACCAGGACGAAATCATACGGAAAGGATGAACGAAAACTGGTGTGCATCATCGATGACACTCCGTCAGAAGAGCACTCCAACCGACACTGCGGCTTCTTCCCAATGATGTGCAAATGTCGTAAGGCCCTAGTGACGTACTTCCGCAGCATCCCCGCAGTCACAAACATCAAACGGGTCGCTTCTGACTTGCACGGTTCTTCATGACCAACGTGGTAGCCAACCGTTTGCCCTGAGAGAATACAACAGCGCGAATGTGTCCTAATGAATGAAAGTCGGTGAAAAATTCAAAACCAATCGTAGACTAGAGTATACATATATATATCTTATTCTTGTCCCATGTTCTCCCCTACGGCCTGCACCAGGTGGAGCCATGATCTGTGCTACTGCCCAAAGGCGAAGCAGCCACGCGATACCAAAGCCCGAATCTTAGTAATTACTTTGCTTTCTTTCTGCCGCTACATTGTTTCTCTACGCCTACCAAGTCGTTCCTCGCCCAGAAGTTGCCTGAGACGCTCTGCAGCCATCTGTGCAGCAATACGCCGAGGCAACGCAATGAGAAGCCTGGCATTAGTGTGCTGCAGCAGCAGAAGCAGCGGCACAATGGTGGTCTTCCCGCACCCCGTAGAGCCTACGAAACATCACAACGTCACAACCAAATCGATCGATTAATAGCTAGGCATACTGATCTTCATGTACAAAAATACGTAAACAACATAGCAGTGGTCCTCAGAGTTATATCATGCAATTGGCTCCTGACAGCGTGGCAAATAAACAGATCCAAATATTTTCACACCCGCAGCGTTTGAAAATCGGTTTTACCAGCTCAGTGGCAGCAAAAGGAGCCATAAGATAAAAACAGGATGAGGAGTTCAGTGAGCTTACCTGTGACAACTGTGACCAGATTTGAGCGGATAACATCTAGTAACTCAGCGCCGATTCTCAGAGTTGGAAGCCCTAGGCTGGACGTGATGGCTGTTTTCACGGATTCACTAAGGCGTAGCGGAGGAAGCTGATCCTCAAAACACCACATTCAAAACACAGATATGAATGATCATTGCGGTACCTTTCATATAAAAATACCTTAAAGCATGCACGGCCACATTCAGGGCAGATTTGGGTGGAAATGATGGGTGTAGCACACCTGCATTCCAAACAGACGCCTAAAGTCAATTTTTGTGTGGTAAGGCACTTGAATCCGTTCAGGAGGGGCCTCGCGCTCCCTCCGCCAGTCGGGCACCCATGGAAAGGGACCAGTGGAACACACGACATTTGGCTGGGGATGTTTAGCAGGAAAAAAATTTGCCGCCTCTCGTGGCAAATCGCCAGGCCCATCCTGTTGCTCTTTCCTCTCTATGTGCTGGTCGTCCTCTTCCGCACTTGCCCTAGGTGACCCCCCCCTCGGGAGCGTTCCCTCTTCCGAGGTGTCTAAGCACTTTGTGCCTAGCATTATCTGCAGCGACACTGACTTCTTTGGCCAAAGGCTACCCGGGCCTGTCTTTGCTGTAGAGAGGCATGGTGCAAGGGCAAGCCGAGAGATGTTCAGGAGGGAATCCTGGTTATTCGGCTCCAATCACACAAAAAATGTGAGGGAGTCACGACCTCGCATACCAATGTTTCCTGTAAGCAATTTAGTCTGTAGTTCCTCTTGAGACCCCCCACATCGATCTTTTTTTGCTTTTTCACGAGAGCTGTTCGCCAGCCGCACACGGGTCCACGAGCATGCATGCCCACGTGAGACGCAACTGGAAAAAACGTATCATGGAAGTCTTCTACCATTTTATGTGGTTTTCTATCACTGTCCTTCTTTATAGATGACTTAGGAGGGGGATAAGCCCTTGTCTACATCAGCAAATACACCAGAACCATTGGCTGTCGGGAGCCAAGGCAGTTCATGGCTGCACACCCGAGGATGCTTCTGTTGAATGTCTTCTCTCCACTTTTGCAAAACAACAAAGTACAAGCCAATGATTGACCTATGAACACGTTCTGTGTCTACTGCTCAGATATTTCTATCATTTGGGATGCAAATTTGCTGCATATTTGAACCTGGCTTATGGGAGTATGGCCTTTTAGGAAACATGTGCAGGGGATTTTATAATTTGAGCTTTGGCCCCCCCAAAATTTGTATGCATCGCGAAATTTATATCCTGTATTGCATGCGCCTACGCGAAACTGAATATGACTGCTTGTCGTAATACTGAAGGGTTTCAACCCCGAAGTTCAACGGCCTCCAAAGGCTGAATTGGGTTGTTATGTGTGCTCTGATGATAAACCATGGCCAGCGGTAAGCCTTTATAGATTCTGTTTTCATTGAGAAGTGGGCTATCCAATCTGTTCAATGACGGCAAACCCACCTGCTTCTTTCAAGAACTTAAGGCCAGCTCCACAGCAGTGAATCCGCTCTACTGCACACAGAAAGAAAAGAAAACCTTTTTGGTCAAGTATCGAGAGTAAAACCTAATTGCGATAAAACCCGGCGAGGTCAGTGCCCTGCTTCGCTCCTTCATGGTGGAACGATACATTTATTGCCTCCTTAGGAACTTGACGTCAAACTGAACGCACACTTAGCAGAAAACTATTGAGTGCCCTCAAAAGAACTCCCGCCTTATCCCTACCCCGCCCTTTATTGCCTTCAGCATAATGGCAGAGGTACAGCTACAGTACGCGCTGCTGCCTTGAGCACTATTTGCTACTAACTGCAGACACCCTCTAGCGCACGCGCATCCACCGATTCGTCTTCTGTATCGAGCTAACAGCACTCTGCAATAGAGAAAATACACTAAAAGGAAAGGCGATTTTCCAGGTTTGATACAGCTACTGCAGTATAAAACTTTTACATGTAGCTTAGCCCACTACAGATCGTCTTTCTTCTCTTCCCGACGGCACATTTGCGTAGCCCAGTACAAGTATTATTATGACTCGGAAATTCGAGTTCCAGCTGGGTATCTGTTTATTGCATTCTAGAAGGCTCTTCGCCACGCTTGAATGTTGCCGGACTCTAGTCGATACTGTGCGGTCCTATCGAACGTCATAAGATGCTGGAGTTGCTGGGAAATTGAGCACGAATCTAGTTTCAGTTTTGCCGTGGGGCGAAAATAAGTAACAATTCATTTAGCAGAAAAGCCATTCCCTGCTATATGAAGGAAGTTAGGATGCACAGTAGACTGTAAACAACTTTCCAGGCATATGCAATACATTGGGCTTCCCGGGCAACATCCGAAAAAATGAGAATAGCAATGCTATAGAAAGTATTTAATGTACAACAGAGGTGTACCTCTCCCACAGATGGCGCTGACGGAGAAAAAACTGTTTGCCACAATCCCGCCAGTGCAATGCGCGCACTTAACATTGAACAGATACAGCGGTCGCCTGTTCCAAACAGAACCAAGAAGGCATTCATGGTATTTAGTCAGCGGCGCCTTGCATGCACAATGGCCTAATTCGAGTTCAGCTGAGTTCTTATGAGCTATACCTTCATTGTCCACCGTGGTACGCGCCTTGCTCTGCCCCCTTCCGTCATTTCTGGATTCCATGTAACCAAACTTGAATTCTCCAGCGTAGACCTCAGGCTTCACTGGCGCAACCTAATAGCTTTGACGCCATGCAGCTATACGGCAAAGCTGTCCTCAGAACGTCAGCATCAGGGCAAAGTTGGGCCCCAACTCCTTCGAGAACCGACATCGCTACAACGATCTGCATCACGCACCATAAAGTATTTGCAATACGTGGAATAAATAAGCCCGGACGCATATCATGGTGCCAATAGCAGTAGATCGCCAACTGTGTGTACAGCTGATCGCGCATAAGAAATGTACCGAAACAAAAGAAGGGTCCAACTCGACAGAGTACTTCTTGGACAGCGCGAGCATGCGACTCATCAGAGAAGTGAACCGGACGTGGCTCATCTGCATCGATTTGCCTTCCTTTCACAAGCAACAGCGCAAACCAGTCATCTTCAAGATATTGGGCGAAGTAAGCGCAGATCATTCTGGACTTCCACAGCGCAATCAAGGGCCACAATATAGGGAAACTGAGCAAATTTATCTCAATTGCTTTAAACGTCTAGAAAATTGCATCCTGGCGTCTTACAAAGCTAACCTCAAAGTGATATTCGTTGATGAGAGCCTCCACCTCGGAGAAAAACCCCTCTTTGTCCTTGCAGGCGTTCTTGCGAGCCCTTTGCAACATCGCTACACCTGTTGACGGTTTCACAAACACCCTCAAGTGGCTGTCCTCGTTCACCAGAGCTGTCATGTAGATCTCGTTATTGTTCACATGCACCTGATCTACTATCAGACCCAACCAGTACCCAATTCGTTCATGCAGTCAATTCCCATACATGATCTGTGAAGACGGACCGATCGTTACGTAGCCAACCAACTAGCTCTCTACGGTAATCAGGGAACTGAGGCTTTGTTTGTTACGCATAGTAGCAAATTACCTTCCCACATTATAATGCACTATAGCTAGTCCGGTGTAGTACGTGAGTAACTGCTGCGCACCTGCGTCTCTGCCGTGCTTCCGTCGAACAGCTTCAAGCAGGGTAACAAAATTGACACGATCAGCTTGCTTCAAGGAGGCGGCCAAACCGCAGTCCAACACAACCAATTCCAGGGGGCCTTTGAAAGACACAGGCATAAGATAATAAGAGCTTCTGCGCTGCAAGCAGCCACAAAAAGTGGAATCTAGGCAGTAGTGGGCTCAGGCAGATGGAGCACGGGCAAGAAGCAAGAGCCTTTTTGCTGAGTGACGCGGCGTTGCTCCAGTGGAAGCGTCACTATTGGCATATCTTCGAAGAAATGCGTGGCCATTATGCACTGGACTGATGAAACAGAAGGGTACACTAACTAACCATCCAAAGATACAGGTTCTGGAGAGACGAGGGTGCGGGGTGCATCAGGAAGCACTGGAAATATGAGCTGCGAGGCAGAACGGATCTTGAAAGTAAAAAATCACGTTTGATGGGGTTGTTGCGCACAGAAAGGATTAATCCATACATAACGTCAACCCCACCCCGTTCAAAAAAAATCTGCCTTAATGTGGAGCGCCTGAGCAGTGATCAAGGTGACGAAGCAAACAGGGTAAGAGCAACGAGACACACAGGTAGAGTGAGCACGGCTGAAAGTGGGAGGGGAACATGGCCACCACGATTCAGGGGCAGAGCTCGATAGATAACGACAGACCATGTGCGAAATTAAGGAAATCGGAAAGATTGTGTTCGCGAAAAACATTGTACCTCTTTGCTGCTACGGGCAAAGCGGCATAAGAGGTTGCCGCTGTGCATGTCGCCATGGAAGAAGTTATCGAGGAAGACCATCTGGAGGAAGGAGTGCAGGCAGATCATGCCAACGCTATTAAAACGCTGAAAGAGACACGGTGCATGCGCATGCCGCATAGGCACTTGAGTCCATTTCCTGAAAAGGCGTTGACCGTACTGCCACATTTGAGTGGGCGCACAGAGCTTGAGACGAAACTTGATGAAGCGATATTACAAAACAAGATGAACCGTGTTGAGTGCCGCTAATAACACTACATGTTGCTCCTTGCTACGACCAATATTCTTCTAGGAACCTCTTAAAGCTTCTGCACACGTACTATTTCATTTCACATGCTTGCAATGCACCACATAAAGTTACTTTGCGTTGCAGCAGAGTAAAACATTATTCACTTGCCTGCGCACCTCAATAATCCTTTTTGCAGCAGAATTCAGAGACCCCCCTGCGTCCTGCGTTCCGCCTCCAGTGGGGGTATTCGATATAAGTGCATCCCACTGAGACTTTGCCATATTGGTTTTAGGCTGCCCTTGCTTGGTACCTTTGAGCTTGACTCTTGTTTTGAGCAGCTCATTCAGGGTGAAACCTGGTTCAAGAGTCATAACGAGCACCTCACTGCTGCTGAGGCTCTCGAAGGGGTAAGGAAAAGTGACTTGACGCCTCATGCCGAGGATCTTTCGGGACAGGGAGCCGATAAAACTGTTGTGCTGCCCCTTTGTCTGAGGATCTACGGCAGGTGTAGCTTCGTGTGTGGGCTCTCTCATCCGTCTGCATTTGTTACGAATCGGTACTACATCGTCTGGAATAGAGAGGGAAGGGAGGCCAAAGCTGTTGCGGAAACGCTTTAAATGATGCTCCTCCAGACCGAAATCCAGCTGCCGCCGCATCGCCGTTGCGAACTCCTCAACACTGCGCAGAAGAACAGCACGGGCCATGCTAAGCTCATTCGGCACACTGACAGGTGTAAGTATCCAACAAAACGCTGGAAAGACATTTTTCCCGCATGCCATCTGCAGTCACCTGTTCTTAATGGCAACAAAATCGAAAGCAGGAAGCCACTGCAACGCCGACGCCAACATGAGCATAATGTAGAGATCTGCAGCAAGGACACAACAATACATCATCAAATGCAAAGTACAGGCGTTCACAAGCTTAAAAAAATTTCGCTCTTTCGAAAAACAACTGTTGGCCCTTCAGTGATATGCCCTACACCCCAACACCAGGAAACACCAACGGTGTTACACAATACCTAGCAGCTTGGTTCAAGCAGTTCCTTCTATACTGGAGTACATCCAAAAGTGCAATCAGCGATGCGTAGGGGGCACACCGAATTCCATTGCTTCTCGCACTCCCGGCCTCATGATTTTCACTGCAACAGCGACTGGGGGTAACTTGCCGCCCTCTTCAGGCTTTGAATCAACAGATTTCAAAGTACTGCCCCCAAGAACGAATGCGTGGTCCAGGAAAAAACGCTTAGACTGGTCACTTGCTCCAGCAGATAAAAGGAGATACGCGCGGTAGACTTGTGCGATGCAGCCGCACCCGATGGGCCTGAAGAAGAGAAAAACAACCTGAAATGCATCCTAGAACGTTGGAGCAAGGCATACGATGCTGGTGCAGCTCTACCACAGTTGTGGCTTGCTGTGGATATCAGCCTCATTGCTTGCAGGAGGAAACCCACGAACAGCCCTCCTACCCCCCGCGGCAGAGTCCAGTGGACTTAAGAGGAATGGAAAGGCACTAGCTTACGTTGGATCAAGCACTAAATGCTCCTCAACATCTTCACCAAATTGTTCCCGGAGGAGAAGAGCAGCTCGGGGGTAGGCAAAGGGCTGTACTGCAGTCTGCAGCCTTCAGACACCCATACGGCAGGCAGCGATATCGCAGCTGTTCAACTTTTTACGGGGGCTGCTGGGTCGTCATTTGAATTCTGACACAATGGAATATCTACGTGGCAAGAGGTATTTTGACTAAGCAAGGACGGTATAAACATACAATTGCCAGCTTGAAATCAATGGCTACATGTATACAGGGAAAACGTCCGTCTTACTTTGCACACCGTGAACAGAGAGACTCATGGAACAGGTCAGGCCGAGTAGCAATCCACTGCAGCAAACTTTCAAGCACAAAAACGCAAGCCTAGTCTGAAGGGAACACAAAACAATGAAGACCACCTTAGGTGACTCACCAACCCAGGCCCTCGACGCCTACTACCCCAGTACGGCTTTCGATTATGAGGAATAACAGGCAAATCAGGGGCAAAGGAAACGAGACTATACAACAGGAGACGTGTACAGCACGCGCCTGCAGAAACTTGACATAAGTAGGCCCTGCAGCGGAAGCTGCCGCAGTCACAGCCGTGAAAATGACTTCTTCCAGTTCGCGCTGAGCAACAGATTCCCAGTGTACGACCTTCTCGCTTTCCAAGCCACAAAAGTGCAGCGCGCTCGAAACGATGGGCAGCAAAAGCAGCCAGAACGCCGCAACTGCTGCGGAGAAGGCCAGCGGTACAACATATAGAAGTCGCTGACAGACGGACGCTGCCATTCCAAAGAAAAATCCAAGCGGACGGAACCAGGACGCTATCCCACCGAGAGAAAATCCTGCTTCGTCCCCTGCCTGCCTGCAATTTGTATTTTTCTCCAAAAGCTCAGGCTCTTTCGTCCACTGCGATGGTGGAACGACACCACAATGCGCAGCCTCTGCTGCTACATGTATCGCTTTCTGTGCGTAAGAAGTGCGCACCGTGGTTTTGGAGGCATGGCCAGCAAATATTTCTTGATTGGTCGAAATATCTCGCGGCTCCGTTGATTCCTTTGCTGCTGCATTCGCGGTTGCATCTCTCTCAATGTTCTGCTCCTGCAGGGCGTCTTCACTTTGCGACAACCCTGCATCAGCTGCTGACGGTATGGTTTTCTTATTCGCATTGCATTCCTTCATCACTGCGAAATTGGCAACCTCGGAAGCATTTCTAGATGCAGCCCACAGGAATAGAAAACGTTGCCAAACGGCCCCCCATAAATAGTGCGCATCCGTATATTCCGATCCAGAATACCCCCCGCATCCTACTAGAAGAAGTTGACTGGTGTATCGGGTCAGTCGCTGCTGGAAGCTCCGAAGCCGTCGTTGCAGAACGGCGATTTCGAACAGTCTGCCACTGGAGCTGTTCGTCTCCCCTGGTTCGTTCTCGTCATTGATGGCAACAGTGTTGTTAGCACCGCTAGAGGTACCCACAAGGCTTTCTGAGTTGCAAGAAAGCAGCTCTCCTCCGCCATCAAAACCAATTGGAGTGTCCTCGTCAATTATCAGGGGAACAAAGCACACAGCGGCAATGGCCAAGGAAAACGCACGTATTCGAAATAGAGGGTGCCGTTCGTCGTGCAAAGGCTGCCGCGACTTAGAAGACTTCGAAAGGCCTAGCCTACTGCGGAAACAGCTTCCGTGTAAGCTTGTGGTGGTTTCCTGCCCGTCACCAGGCTTGGGATGCACATACAGCTGAGCAGAACCCTGCTTTCTTCTACGGAGGCCAGCAGACGGCGGAAAAGTTGCTATACAGTGTCGTTCTTGGAAGCCTGCGCGGCTCGCACTGAATGACGGAGAACGTTCACACTCATAGTTTGAATGAAAAGCACAGTTCAAGGCACTACGGCCAGGCTGCCATGAAAGCAGATGGCTGAACCTCTGACCACCCTCGCGAGGAATCGTCCCACGAGGGCCCCTGTTGAAATACTTGCAGTAAAACTGGCGAAAGCCGAGGTCGCTGCATGCATATGGACTGCCCCAGTGCGTTTTGCAAGGCACTGGATGTGATCCGACTAGGAGGGGTGAAGATCCAATGTTGGGGGCCTGCGAAGAGAGAGACTTAGCTGCGTTGGGAGCCGCGGAGTGGTGTGCGAGGCTTTCTGCCTGAACATCTGTGCGCCGTTCACAGCTGGAATGCAGCTCATGGCCTGGTTCCCTCCTATGAGCAGACAAACAGCCTCGGTTACTGCCGATGCCAACGGTGCTTCTGCTTACAACGGTTCCTCTGATACGAACAGGCCCAGATGAAGCTCGCCGGAGCAAGTCCATTGTGCAGTGCTCTAGGGCGGAGCCATTTGGATATGGAAGGCTGCCGACGAAGGATTCGGATGCCTGAATCCTGTGGTGCTACACTTAGCTGCCTTGCATGCGAGAGCAGCGTGCAACAGCGGGGGCCTGGGGGGACTGTAGATATCTCCGCTAAGACTTCCGAGCACCTCTGGTCATAAGGAAGCAGAATGTTCGCCAGTTTCCCCACCGAATATCCAGTGAGCCGGGACGGGGGCTTTTATCGATGATTTTGTGCGTGGGCACGTCCACCAAAGAAGCTGCTTATAGAAAAGTTGAACCAAATAATGGCAAATCACTCCAGCCGCTGACAAACCGCGGCGCACCTTGATATCTTTAGGAAAGTGCCACCATTTCGACTTTTCCCGCTAAAATCTCCACATCTGAGCGCAGCGCAGCGTCTTCGTCGTGCGGCCGCTTTCAATGGAGGAAAAATCAATAGCAGAATGTACGGAAGGATAGCGTTTCAGAATAATTAATTAGCATGCACTAAGTCATTGCGTGTCTTGCCTCCGTACAGGTTGTGTGGCTCTCTACAGGAACCCGCCACGCAGCGCGCAGAGGGCTTGGCGCTGGGATTATTTGCGCGGTGTGTACTATGGCTTCACTTTTTCTGGACTAGATCTGTATTCAAGCAGAATATCCAGAGATGAACTGTAAAATTTGAGTACTTTTCCTGGAAATGCTGCCCCTTTGAGCCTCATCTGTCACAATGTCAACACGGTCGGCTACCCGTGTATATCCCCGCCAACACACATACTCATGCATAGCTGTCCCATAATATTCACTTTTACACTGGAGCAGGAAAAGGGCCAAATTTTCTCACTTCGTGCCGCACCCTTCCGTGCAATGTTTCCACTCTCTTGCAGGCAACACGCCTGACGTGCACAAAATGGTACACAGTCAGCCTAAAGAGCGAGCCTGCTAACTTCGGCACTTTCGACTACGTTAATTTCTTTCAAGTGATAATTAGATAAACTGAACAATGAGCTTGTTGGATGCTTGGCAAAAAAGGTAGGCTGGATACAAAAAGACGTAATCGTGTATACGTGTGCGCTAGATGTTATGTGTAACCAGCTCTGGGTGATTTGAGTGCTTAGAGTGTGAAGCTACAAGCACCCTAGCTATCCATATCCCGCGTGTCTGGAGTTTCTAGGCGCGAGAATGAGGGTAGAGAACATTTTTTTTGAAGGACACTCAAGAAATTCCTCTCAAGCCTTTTGTGTCGTAAGTTAGGTCTCCCCTAAACGAGACCTTAAATGTAAAGATTCACCTGAAACACTGAATGGTTCGACGCAGCAATTCCCACTCACGTCCACTGGCTGCGGATGCTGTAGCGGGCTGACTCACGCGTAAAAACGTAGTACAGTACTAATACTAGGGAGAGAATTCGCTAATTCATTTGCCTGTTCGTATTTCTTTATTGCTGCGAGGTCCCGTTATCTCGATATACGCTGATACAGTGTTATGTGCATGTGCGCCGGTATTCATAGACCTGAGTAGTATTGCAGGCAAAATGTGCACTGGGAAAAGAAAATTGCCAAGAAACTAGAGAAGTCTTGACCATGGCGAGTAGCGTTTTTCATCAAAAAGAGCCCCAAACTCTCTAGCTAGCAGCAAAACCTGCAACTTCTCTTCCACTAATTACTCAAGTTGAGGTTTCCATCCCCAATATACCAGGAACCCCCCTCTAGTGTGTTCTCGGCGCTCAATAGTCCGAAAACACAGGACTACCGAGAATCCCTTTCATTTGACTTCGTGCTGGTCAGTTGCCTGTTCGGCGAAGTTCGCGTCTAATTCAATGAGTTTTGAAATTTCTCTAGGAAGCTACATTGATCGTTCTGCCGCACCCCCAACTTTAAGAAAAATCGACGGACTAAAAAAGAGCTGTGATTTGCTAGAGGATTGCAAATGATCGTAACTAGCTGGCAGCAATTTTCTTCATCTGATTACTTTATACCGCATCTCGTAGAGCGTGCCTGTCCATCAGGACCAGACTCGAAGCGCACAGCCGACCACCGCTATTCATAAATGCGTCTCTTTCTCTGAAACATTGCATATACATTGTCATGTACTAGTCATTGGTTGTTCACCGAAACACTCTATTGCAAAGGGTGCCTGCAAAGCCCGGACCAGCAGTCAAGGTTTGAATTGGAGAGGAAATCCTCAGTGTCAAGAAGGAATCCGGGAGACCTTGGATGGACGGGTGCACTGTTGAAAAGTACACCAACTAAGCATAAGGAGGAAAATCAAGCCAAGCAATAGGATCTGTGCGACCAGATTATCCAATACACTGCGGAAGTGCGTGGTTGGTGTACTCTGCCTGTCAATCTGCCACGTGGTGGTTGGCAGTGGCCACATAGTGTTCAATATGTATGAGGTTCCTAAAACATGCAGAGTGCACTGACCAGGTTTGTATCCTTATCTGTATTATGTTCCTGAGGCATGCCTGAGTCTTTCGCACATAAGAGGCGAATAATCCAGCGACTTCTTAAGCCGTGACAGCGGTGGAGCTAGGAATAATTGTGCACATTAGCTGAGTCTATTGGAAAGTGATAAAGCTATCCTGACCCCGATCTTTAGCATTCCAAAAAAATAATCCATAGTTACAACAATCCGAACCTTTTTCAGGAGCCAAAGGGCGTTGCACGAGGCCGGGCTTGGGAGCATCGTGAGGCTTTGGTTGCTAACAATCTGAATCTGACAGAGCGAACTCTACCACGCTACGCATCCCAGGCCACCGGCAGGACTCTCAGAGCTCTCTGCACTCTAGGGTGAATCCTAGTATGGCCTGGAACAGCATGATAATATGATTGCACAAACCTACTCCGAAATGAAGTCGAAAGTTGAAAGCACCAGATCCTTCGTGTTGTTTTGAATCACAGCCAGCGTGGCGGTGCTCCATCCTTTTGTCAGCCTGTATGGTGGCAATGATTGCCATTCCAGTGGTGTCAAAAACCAAAGAATTACTTAGTCGCGCTATGATCCGTAAGAATATCACAGAGAAGACGCATTCACGCCCTCATACACGCCCAAACGTATCGGTTTGTACCAAGATCAGTTCTACAATCTGGGAATTTTTTTTAAAAAACTGAAGCAGAGCGAAATATTATTATTACTTCTACTTAGAAATATGTAAATTTATTTCGGAAATGCCACAACGTGGAAGAACAGCTTCTTTTTCTGGCTTGTCTTAGGTCTAGCCACGGTATCACGTCAGATGGTTGCAGGATGGGCAGTGACACACCGATTAAGCAATAGACCGGTAAGACCGTCACAAATGTCAAAATTTGCTTGTAGCAAGAAACAAAGCAACGCATTTCCTGCGCCTCTGGCTAAAAAGGAGGAGACAGGTCAGGACTTCGAACCTCTTGTCGGGCCTCTGCCCACCCAGCCTACTTGCTAGGTTGGGGAAAACTGAAGCCAAACAGTAACTCGCGCCCTTACGTAGCTTCAGGCAGTTTCCAACAGCCCAACTCTTTTTAGTTCAGGTGACTGTGTCGTATATACCGGAAGTGAAAGCCCATGGAAAAGTCAAAGAAGTCGAACCACGAGGCTGAGCCCAGCACAATCAGGCTGCTTGGCGAGCGGGGAAATCGCATCAGGAAAATGGAAAGCCTCCTTGCAGGTTGTGACGCACTGAAGGGGGTTCAAGGACCTAGGCTGCAGTTTGGGTCCACAATGGATCAATTGTACGTTGATACAAGTTCACACTGTTCAGGAATTTCCGATGTTACTTGACTCTGGATGGGAGGTAGATGGGCCATCTGGGGAAACGGCACCGAAGCGGAATCTGCCTATTTATTAGTTAGCGCAGTGCCTAAGAGTCAGATTTGCTGAGAGTGGCAGATCGCGAGCATTGGCAAGGCTAGGGGGCCACATCTGTTTGCGAACCGTAATTGAATCCTAGCAGCAGGGTCCGTGACTTTAAGTTGGACCCGTGCATCATGACATAATCTTTGGTACTCCTTGAGCGACCCAATAAAAAACGTTCCTGCCACCACAGCTGCGCGCTATGTGGTTCATTTTACTGGGAAGCGATAGGAAGAAGCAGCTCGTAGTCTTCTCAACAACACTCCTTTTCCTTGTGGGCATTTGGGGGCGGTACCTCAACGCCAGAGACTTCATGCATGCGGCTGCGCAATGCTGTGAGAGAAGACAGTTCTGATCATACTCATTGTTATTGGCTATGTAAGCGATAATCGATTTAAAAATTCAATAATCTCGCAACTGATAAACAGCAGATATTGGCAAACATCATACGTGAATTCGAGGATGTGCTCAATATTGACGAGATGCCAGCAGGCTGACACCTGCTGATATCCGATGGCACCGCATCGAGCTTATGCATCGGTCCGCTTTAAGCTATATTTTGCCGTATTGGAAGGCCCCTCAGCACTTAGAGAAAATTGAGCGGCAGGTGGATGATATGCTGAAAAAGGCATAGTGCAAGAATCGACCAATGCCTTTGGGGAAATACCAGGTGTCGGTACCCAAAAAGGACATACGGTAGAGCATACGCACTAATTTTGAGCAGCTCAGTAGGAGTACTGTGAAGCAGGAGTTTCGGAGGCCTTATGCTCAGGAGGTAGGTAGCAAAGTACATGGATCAAGAGTAGACTCAGGCGAGGTGACCTCACAGACACCTGTGTCACTCACCCATATGATAGGCACTAAATGGCGTCTACATCGGCACTCGCAAAGTCGAGATACCTCTATTCCGTTAAGAAACCCAAGTTCCCCAGCTGTACTGCAACTCCTGGCTACCGCGAGTCAATCAAGGACTTACCGCGTAATCCTCACCTTGTGCGGCATTACCGGTGGTTTGTGAAGGTACGCAACTGCTTGTTTTTATCTACTTGAGAGTTCCTGCAGGAGTGGAGCCAGACTCGGCAAAAATCGAAATAACCCAGCCATGGCCTTTAGCTTTACGCACCCGTAAAGGCAACGAGAAGTCCCTCAAGCTTGCTTGTTGCCATCAAAAATTCACTCTGAATATGCTGAGACTGTTCATTGATTAACTGATATAATGAATCATACAGAATTGCTTTTTGAACGAAAAATGCTGATGCCACCGATACTCGTGTTGCTTACATGTGGGCATCATTCCTTCCCCACAACCAATGCTAGTGATATGGCACTGGGCGATAATCTGTCCCCAATGGCTATGGGTTCTCTAAAGCATTAATGTAATGGTTGTTGTTCTCCTTATTTTCACCAACATTGAGCAGCGCTGTCCAATGCGGGGAGAAGTAACTAAGTTCAGTGTGACAGGGCATGAAAAAATGCTGGCACATTTTGTACCGCTGTCATTGCGGTCTCCTGACAGACCCTCAGCCTTCAGTGTACCTTGCATAGAGCTTTCTAAACTTTCAGAGCCCTACAGCTGCGCGTTGACTCGTGTTGCTCCTGCAGTACGGCTAAACAGTCGAGGACGGGACGATTCTCAAAGCGGTCGATCACGCGGTCTCACTAAGCCTCAACTGTTCACTGGTGCGCAAAAAAACCGGAATTTGTGTCTGTGAAGATTCAAGGGCTTGTTTAAGCCGCGTTAGCCTTGCTTCGAATACCCATGCATCCACCTTTGTTGCCGAGATCGGGAAGGGCCAAAGGGTGAAGCACGGCCACGTTGAGGATAGCCTCTTGTGGGTCAGATCTCCTCACTTGCTTAACTGACTTCGCTCTGCAATACGATTTTGTGCAAAGCACCGGTTTGTCGGATTAAAGACGGATGCCTACTACATTGGAAATGCGTATACGCTCTTTTTGTTGAGCTGGGTTGCGTTCCGCGGCAGGGGAGTATGCACTGTCATGTCCAGATTGTCAGCAGCCGGAGCCGCACAACTCTCATAATGCCCAGCTTTTTGCAAACCCTCTCGGCTTCTGACGAAACGCTGCATGATATGATCGGGCCTGTCTCCCTGGACTGCAGGAGGTCAAGGATGAGGGGAACACCTACATCGTTGTGGAGGGAGACACCCAGCATATATGCCCATATCATGCCTTGTTTCAATTCTATCATGGTTCGGGAAGCCCCTCACTTACTCTTAGCTCATGTTCTGAAGCTCTACGGATTCCCCAGTAGTATCTTTACGACTAGGGACCCCAAGTGTGCTAGTGTTTTTTGACGTGTCTTCAAGTCCCGCCCCCGTATTGCCCGTGAAAGGAGCATTGCCCACCACCATACGACAGCTGGCGTAATGAACTACCAGCGTAGTTCACGTCTATTGAGGGTGTTGTCCTTAGCTTCTAATCATTTAGCACCAGATTTCGGTCAATGCGTCAAGCCTAGACGCCGTCGTCCTGATGAGCCAGCCTTCGGGATGTCAACTGATTAGATGCAGCAGCACCCCATAAAAATGCGAATCAGGTGCTGCACATTCAAAATTTGCACGCACTAGCAAGTCACAATGTTGTCACGTAGGTGCACGAGGCAGGAACACGGTAGAGGCGAAGTTGTGAGGCAGCGGTTGAGCTTAGGTAAAAGAGAGAAGCCACTAGCACACGAAGTTATGCTCCCCAGCATCATGCTGGTTCTGTAGTATAGGTGGAAAGCTAGGGCCATGCCATGTGGTGCCTGGGTATATCCACAATAGCCTTGTGGAGGATCATGCATTTGCTGCTACGTTCAAGAGGCTGACTACATTGCAGAGTTCCTAGCATGCCTATATTTTTCCTACAGAAGAACAGGGTACACCAACTGCACCCTTCTCCAGAATCTGCAGCTCTATGTGCACAAAACAAGTAATTGCATGGCTAGACCTTCTTTGTTGTGCCCAGTGAATATATACTGCACCAGCTCACTCGTCTACCTGGTGCACCCCCGCATCCCCTGTCTACACTGAGAAGCCCCTCCCTTGTCCGGGCCTGCATCTGGTAGTCCACGGTCAACAGCCACCCGTAGCGGTTGAGACATTTAGAGCACAGCTAATTAGTGCACGCGAATGCCTTGGCAATGCTCAACATACACAGAATTATTGTAAGCTGCGGTCCTGTGGATGTGTCCAGCCTGGAGACTTCTCTCTGATGAATCAATAGGCTCTACGTGGTGTAACAGGGGATCAGACGAGCGCGTTGGCGGCCGTATGAGCAGTATTATTGATTTTTGCCAAGGCTGAAGGCAGCGCAGAGCTAGCAATGTTGGCGTTCTAGAGATTTTCTAAAGTCGCCTGAATTTTAAGCCGATCGCGCCGCGTGGCAAGTGTCCTGTGGAGAAGGAGGCTTCAAAGGGAGTTGTATAGTTGCTAGGACTATTAAGCGCCGAGAACACATAGGAAAAGTGTCTCAGTGATAAGGAGTAGGGATCGCCACCTCAGTGGCTGCTGGAGGAGCAGTTGCGATCATAGCCGCCTGTGAGAGAAACTGAGGTTCTTGTTAGCAGCGATGGCCTTCATGGAAAGTATTGCTAGCATCACTTGATAATTGTTGTTTCCCAGCGCATTTTCTGCCTGAAGGAGTTATTCTTGTCTGTAGTTATTGCTTTAAACGTTCCCGGGTGTGATAGTTGTTTTTTTTCTAGATTTGAGTTTATACGCAAGCAGTATGAACAAGGCTGTCCATCCATTCTACTTTACGCAGCTTTGGGGGCGATTAAAATGTCTGTTCTGCATGCAACGGTAGTGTTTGCACGTAGGGTTTGGTTCATGTGAAGCCGAGGCAGTGCTCAACTAGAGTATAATTTGACTATTTGTCTTCTATTTTCTCGCATTAGGAGGCGCACGAAATTTAATATGGGCCACCGGTCATAACTGTATGGTGTATGCGTCGTTCTGCCTCTCAATTTATTTAAACTAGTTGGTGTTCTGCTTTTCTTACGAGTCTGTCTGCGACGGGAGTGGCTATAGGGCAGGAACGTGCTGTCTTATATCCAGTTCGTGTGGAAGTATAGGCACGGGGTAGAAAGACGTGTGTTTGAAGTAGAGGCGAGGGGAAGATTCAGTGAGGTAAGCTAAGAAAACCCTTTTAGTGCACTAGTTATGTTTACCTATGAATTGGTACAAGGCTAAGTCACTGTGTTGTGTACTTGTACGCCCTATATATTGGAGGGAAATACGAGATGACAAAAGGAGAGACAATACTGCACGCGTTTGCGTTAGACGCTATTTCAAGTTGCCGTTCGCGCACCCTGGTCTTACCTCCCGGCTCTAGCCGGAAATCCTGAGGAAGCGAGCGAGTAAAGCTTATATGGAGCATTTATATGGCGTTCATTCGAGTTTACCTCGAAACGCTTGAAGCAAGTGCCTTCCCTATGGAGACAGATGAAACGGTTCAGGATGCACAGTACACACCCGCCATTGGGCATTGTTAAACCGAGCAAACAGTTCTCCCTGATATTTAAGAAAAAACGACAGTCACATAAGCTAAGCAACCTTTATAAAATCCTTGGTTACACATCTATTGTAGTAGAAAATTCTCGGGAGGAGCCTTGTTCAGAGCACGGATAGAAGACCCTGACTGGCTCAAACGCAAGCAGTTAATCTGACAGAACAGAACGCATATGACAAGCACCAAGACAGCATAGAAAAAACGGTATTGATACGTATATCACCAATAGGGCATGGAACATCCCAAGCACTGCAGCCGACCGCGGTCTTCCATGCCTCGTAGATCAGCTCGCCGATCCACGGGTGCGCTATTGATGTTTTACGGGTAGAAAGTCCCTCTACGTATGATAGCCCAGGAATAATACACGTCTCCTAAAAAATCGGTTGTTAGCTAGCCGGGCTATTGACGGTACGGTGCAATCAAGCACACAAGGAATACCAGATTGTGTTAATAGTGCGACCGACCCAACACGGCGGAGAGGGCATCCCTCCTAGTTCGGAATCAATCCACATAGCAGTTTCCACAAGCATTGAGGAAATCGAACTACAGCTTTTGTTTCCACTGCTAAGCACTGCTTTTATTGGGTATTACCAAGGAAAGCTCGTCATTGCCGTCAGCAGCGCTACACCCGAAAACCCGCTTTAGCATGTTATTCAGGGTGTCTTGGAATTTCCGTTGGCATTAATTGTGTGGTTTAGGCCTTCTGAGCGTCACCAGGCCATCACCGGCAATTCTGCTCCATCGAATACTCGGCGCTGGCTGTGCCGTTGGTCAGCTTGCAGGGCGTAAGCATCCTGACCCTTCTCCGAATTGACACCAGGGGCATCAGCGCCAACGCCACAAAGTTTTAGCAGTTTGATCACTTAACTTCTCATGCGGATTTTGTTTAGCTTTACTGGGCACGACCTGTACCCTTGAGACAAACGAAGGCCCAAATGACTCAGTCGTGCTCCAGTTGTTTGCGCGCATACCGGCACGTGGTGGTGGCCCTAAGGGGCGGCTGTGTGGGGGCCAGTGGTGTTTATAGCCAAAATCGCAACAGCAGATCAGCATCTGCCGGCCTCCTCTCCGCAACCAACTCGCCCTTCGGCTGCCGAAGCTTCCCTCACAACCCCCCCTCCATCAATTGGATTGATGGGCCCCATCTCCATGGTTCGAATTCCTACAGCCCTTTTATTGGGGCTTGCGCCGTCATGGCTGCAGCGGGTCTTGCGTCGGCCCTGATGTTTCGGGACAAATCTGCTGCACAGTGCTGTGGCATCGTTGGCTACATTGGCACAGGTAATGTGGAGCCCGTGCTGATGGAGGGAATTGAGACCCTTCAAAACAGGGGATACGATAGCTGCGGCATGACGACCATTGACAACGAGGGGCAGCTTATCACAACGAAGTTCGCCAGCAGAGGCTCAACTAGCGACTGCATCCAGCTGCTGAAAACTGAGGCTCCCGCCGTTCACGGGGGGCACCATATTGGAATAGCCCACACGCGCTGGGCAACGCATGGGGGGAAGACAGATACAAATGCGCATCCTCACATGGATTGGAAGAAGCGGATTTCACTTGTGCACAACGGAACAATAGACAACTTCGCTCAGCTTAAAAAGGACCTGATTTCGAAAGGCTGTGAATTTCTGACACAGACAGATACGGAGGTGATTGCCAACCTTATTGGCCACCATCTGGATGAAGGACTCTGCTTCGAAGACGCCGTGGCGGAGAGCGTCTCGCAGCTACAGGGCACATGGGGCCTCTGCGTGATTCACAAGGACTATCCAGACCGCATTGTGCTCGCGCGCAACGGATCCCCTCTTCTTGTTGGCAGCAGCGATGGGCAAGTATTCATAGCGTCCGAGCCGGCAGCCTTGGCGAGGCATACCAGTCAGTACCTGATGCTGCAGGACGGGGAAATTGCAATCGTGACGAGCAGGGGCATCGACCAACTGCTGGAATCTCGAGATGTGCACCGGATTTCAACGGAGACAGTGGAGATATCTCCAGACCCTTTTCCTCACTGGACTCTTAAGGAGATATATGAGCAGCCACAGAGTCTGGCCCGCGCCTTGAACTATGGAGGGAGGATAATGGCGCATGGAAACCGCGTGAAGCTGGGGGGCTTGGATCAAAACACGGACTTACTTGCAATTAAGAACCTGTTGCTTGCAGGGTGTGGCACATCCCTCTATGCGGGGATGTACGGGGAACAGTTGATGCAGTGGCTGGCATGTTTCGATCAAGTGCGCGCAGTGGATGCCACTGAGCTGGAGCAGCACTCTCTTCCCAAGCACGACGCCGGCATTCTTCTACTTTCACAATCCGGGGAGACACTAGATACCATCCGAGCTTGCCAGGTCGCCGACGAACACGGTGTGAGAAAGTTCTCCATCGTTAACTCTGTCGGCTCCCTCCTTGCCCGCATGACGTCTTGTGGAGTGTACCTAAACGCGGGAAGGGAAGTCGCCGTGGCATCTACAAAAGCTTTCACCTCGCAGGTGAGCAACCTCCGTGCCTTTTCACACATGTTTGCAAATGCACACACGCCTCATTCCTGAAGACTCGCACAGGCATGAGCCTTTTGAAAGCCTTTGTTCTAGTATGCAAGCTTGGCTGCATAACAGGGCGGGAATGTACGGACAAGCAGATCAATCTCCGAATTGCTAGTGGTCTGCTGGAGTGCCCCAGCAGCAAGTGTAAACCTGCTCTATAGCTCTCTTCTCCGTCTAGTAGCTCCTCCTTTTTGAACAATCAGAAAATTAACATTGGACTAGTTTCTCCTTCTGTGTGTCAGGTAACAGTCCTCGCCTTGGTCTCCAGTTGGTTCTGGCAGAACCTCCGGAGTGAGGAGTACCCGGACCGGTGCAATGCGCTCCTAGACGCCCTGCACCGTTTGCCAGTCTACGCCGGCATGACTCTTAATTGCCACAGCACATGCAAGCGGATCGCTGAAAAGCTGAAAGATGCACAGACTTTGTTTGTGCTCGGCAAAGGTTTTGGCTACCCCGTTGCGCTCGAGGGAGCTTTGAAGATAAAAGAGATATCCTACATTCACGCTGAAGGATTTGCAGGGGGAGCGCTGAAGCACGGTCCGTTTGCTCTTATAGATGACCAGAAACGTACACCGGTCATAATGATTGTCTTGGCGGACCAGCATGCTGCGTTGATGATAAATGCAGCGCAGCAAGTGAAAGCGAGAGGGGCATATCTCGTCTGCATTACGGATATTCCCGAGCTTGTACAAGACGTAGCAGATGACTACATTGTTGTTCCAAGCAATGGACCGCTTACGGCGCTGCTTTCAGCTATCCCCCTCCAGCTTCTGGCATACGAACTCTCTGTGGGCAAGTCTATCAACCCCGACAAACCCAGGGGGCTTGCGAAGACAGTAACAGTCAGCTAGAGGGGACGAAACACGGTGCGGCTATTTCAATCGAAGCAGCGCATCGCCTTGAGCCTTCGCCTATGCATTTTGTACGGGTCAATGAATAATCCTGCCGTATTGAAGGGTCCAAGCACTCACTGCGTACGCCGTGAATTAGAAATGTGGGTTTAAATCAAGTGTTTGTGCCGTGGAGTCCAAGACTAAAGTAATGTGATTCGTTGTATGAACCAAGCGCTTAAAGCCTCTGAGCAGAAGGCGCGTTGAGAGCAAATAATCAAATAAGATGTATAGAGGGCCTGGAAAGCGCTTTTTTGAAACTGTTTAGCATGCCAAGCCAGCCACTAATATATCCATTAGCGCAATTAATCAAGGCGGAGGCACACGCTGTGCGGACGGCTGCCCCACGTGTAACCTATTTTTTACTGTCCAGGCTGAGCATGGTTGAGGTTGCAGTGCTTCACAGTAGGAGCTTTTCGAAGTACTGTTATTCAAGCAATAATCCCACATTCGTGCAACAAGGCGCTTACACAGCTCGCTTCTATGGATGCGCAGCCTTGCCACGATAGTACTCCCCCGTCCCACAACCCGACCATTTACCAATTCTAGCAGTTTACATCTCTTTATGATTAATCAACAAGCAAGAGTAGTGAGTGGAAGTTGTGTTTAAAATGTCGGAAGATTTGGACATCTTTAAACTCAGAACCGAGGACGGCCAAATGCTGTCCAGACTGCGGTGCCATGGACAAACATAGAAGCTGTCTTATTATTGAGAGCTCATATTATAATATTAGAACAGGCTCCGAATGATACCATTTATTAAATACGATGGATTCTTCATCGGCACACGACAATACGAAGAAAGGCCCACTAGTCTGAACACGCAATGCGTAGTGGCTTAAGCGACTGTTGCTCAAATGGTGCTCCGCTGTCTTACATCACTTTCGGAGAGAACAAACTTATAATTTAATGCATTGCCGTCTTGATTCATGTAGTTCGTTCTCCTGGGGGCTGAGAAATGCCTGCGTCACCACAAGGCGCCGCTCTGGTCAGGTGATGCTCGGACCGGATTGAAATGCCTTCATTGTCTGCATTGCACTTTTGCCAACGACAAAATACTAGGCATCATTTTTATATGCCACAGGAAGCCATCTTCTATGTTCTCTGTTACTGGATGGAGCTTTTGGTCACTGATCACCGATTAGTTCGCTTCGGGTGTATGCACGCTAAATGTACTAACGCATTGCGCGATGGCGGCTTCAAGGACCCACTTATCCACAGGAGAACACTATACAGGCGTAACACCACTGAAAAGAGAGGCTGGAAGCGTTGTTGTTGGCCCCATCCTGAACGCCGCGAAGCTCAAGGCACTCTTGCTGGCGGACGGGAGCACTTCACGAAAATGCAAGGCCTTGGACCTTTCCCACAACAACATCCGTAAGGTAAACAATGTTCCACATTTCAAACCTTTACACTCATCCTGCGACCAACCAGTTGTGCAGGTGAACTGAAGCGTGCTTTACTGCACAATGCAGGAAAATCGCGTTGCTGCTCAGCATTGGGCTCCTGATCCACTTCCATGCTTTAGCTGACCCCCTAGCTTAATGAAACCCGCAAAAGTGGAAGTTTCCTCCCTAGGGAGTAATCTTGTGGTGTAACCGGATGCATGCATTGCTGACACTGCCGGTCTCACAGACGTATATGCGAGGCCCCTCAAATTGAAAGAGGCGCAAGTGAAGCTCTAAAATGCATGGATGACTGGTTTGCACGCATCTAGTCTCGAATCAGCAGCTGCACTGGCATTGTACTTTGGATATGTGCAGATAGAGCTCTCCTTAGGGGAGGTTGCAGCTTTGGATTTCGAAGGTCTACGGGAGCTCAACGTACACGGCAACATGCTGGTCTGTCTGGATGGGCATACGTTGCCTTTTCCTCATCTTCAGAATCTGTTTGCCAGCAACTGCCGCATTAGGGATATCGTGAACTTTGGCTCGCATTTCTGTCTTCGTCAACTCGACCTCAGTGCCAACCAAATCACAAATATTATGTAAGTGACAGAGCATTTAGCATACAAACCAGCGTAGGAGGACCAGGGAGAGCTAGGCATGAGGTCTAAAATCTATAATTACAAAATTAAATGGAATCTGTAAACATATGTCCCCAGGTGCACATACAGGAGCAGTGAAACAGCTGTGAGCTTCGAGGTTAGACGTTTCTGTTGGCTGCAGGGGCCTGGCCAATACGCCTTTGCGATTCACACTGCAAGCACTTAACTTGGCTAACAACCAAATCAGGTATGTTTTGCCTTCTCCCTTTCACGTCTAGAATTGTGCTCCTGGGTGCAGTGTAATCGATGCCACGATCTATTTAGGGTCTAGCCCTTATCACGGCGAAATCTTTCCTTCCATGCATCGCCAACGAGCGGCGCTGCCGTGTTTTTGTATACTTGCCTGTCCGCCGCTCTCAGAAGTTCGTGCCAATGTGTCTGCCTCTTGGCTTGCCTTTTCCGAATATTGTATAGGGATTTTAAGGGCCTAGCGCCGCTGACTACTTTTGAGTCTCTCGAGGCTTTGGATTTGCGGGGAAATCCGCTTTCCGACTTTGGAGTTGTTGTGGGTTATAGTCCACTTTGAGGATTTCCTTAGAGTCAGAAGAATAAGGGTTATTTGATAGAGCATCGGCGTTTTACATCAGGTTGCCAGCTTGCAGTTGTGCTGATGTCACGAGCCATCGTGCGGCTGTTTCCCTTTTCCGCTACAGGCTGAAGGATTTGCATTACTGTGTTGTGTCACTCTCCGGAAGCTCAACGGCCGAACCATTTCAGCCGAGGTTCGCGACGCGGTGGACACTTGGGCCCTTGAAGACTCATGCGGTAGAGCAACTACGGCAACTGTTCAGGCCTTTCAAGAGGCTATGATGCATCCTGAAGGTTAGTACAAGTGACACGCCAAATAGAGGGACGAACGGAAGACAGGAGGGGCCATGACAGACCGCTACTCATTTTCTTTCTGCTTTTGGGTGTAGGTCCTGCACTCTTTGCCTTTGGAAATCGGTCGCGAAGTTTTGGACGCGTAAGTAACCCCAATAAGTGTGAAGACGGAACAGGCGACAGGAAACACAACAGTGCATCCACTACCCTTGTCTCAGCTAGCGGCAGCGTCGTTGGTTTAGGCTTAGAAACACGCGTGTCATCGAGCAGCAAGAGCCATGATGCACCCGTTCAGGGAGCGTGTGTATCATCCCGTTTGCCTTATGCGGGGAGCGAAAGCTCACGTGTTGCTGTCACACAAAACCCGTCGAGAGATAATCAAGCCGCAGAGGAGCTACCGCTTCGGGTGCAAAATAGTGAAGCCTCCACGTCTTCATTCCCGCAAACGCCAGTAACAGCAGCAAGCGAGGCGTGCAGACGCACAGAAGATGCTGAAGAGGAGTGCGAACGCTGTTATTCAAGAGCTCCCAAGGAACAGGGGTATGGACAGTCAGGCATAGAGGCGCGGGCGGAGGAAGACGGGTTTGACGAGGTTACAAGTAGCCCCTTAGCTGAGTATCAAGTGCAGAATTCTGTCCTGTCGCACAGTGCGCGGAAACTGAGACACTCTAGGGGTCACGAAGCAGAGGGCGCCCGCGCTTCCTGTAAGCTTTGTCACTGTACTGTTCTCCCCTATCGACAGTACTACCACCGTACGCGGCAGCAGGGGGGCTATAAAACACGAGCCACCAACACATGGGGCCCAGCACACCGCTATGGAGGGCCCCAGGGATGCATCCGCTGTTGCACCGGCACGCAAACCCCCGCGGGGTGGATGCATCCGTTGGAACTACAGAGTAGCACTTCCTCTATGAGCGGTGCCTCACAGGCTAGCTCAGATTCGGGGCATACTGCAGACTTAGAAACCGAACACTCGAGGACAGCTTCTGTGCCCCTAGGTGAGAGAGAGGCCCAGTCAGCACTCCCAGAGGACGAAGGCAGAGCGCGAACCACTTGCTCTGAACAAGGGGAAGGCGCAGCTCACCACTGGACCGGAACAGAAGGGATGCCGGAGGAGACTTCTCCAATAGAGCCTACAGAGGAAGGGACCATAGGAAGGGCGAGCGCAGGACAGGAGGATAGTTCGGGGAATGGAGACGACGGTCCCAAGAGAAGTGAGGATGCAGAACAAACAGAAGGGGCCTAGACTGAATAAGGGAGATGGAAGATAGGGGAACATCTGATTTAAGCGGCTGGTTGCTAATGAGGTGGTTGAGACAACCCCAACAAAGTGGTCAATGAGGGTTTAAGTCACGCCATTCTTTTTTGGCCCATACAATGTTTAGAAAGACAGTCCGAATGTATTTATAACGCTTGATTTAAGGGCCTCGTAGGACTATACAAAGCTCCAGACTTAATGCAAGCTTCATAAGAAGTTATCGTTTTTTTCTCAAAGTGCCTCCTTATTCCCCAGACCCCGCCTCACAAGACTCTTACATGGGGGAATAGGGCTAGCGAGGAGTGGGCGTAGCTGCATTGTCTAAGAACTCTTAGGATTCACAGCCATTTGCACGTGGCATCTAACTCACACAGGCAGTAAGTGGCGTATCCTGCGTCGAGGCACAGCACCAGACATAATATAGTACATTGAGACCAGCGGGTCAAGCATTGCTAGTTTTTTAGTTAAATATCAACAGTATGATCAAAAGGTTCAAAATGATGCATGTCGCGCAACAGCAATAGTACGATGCCCTCAATCTAGTGTACACAGCACTTCGTTTGCGGTAACGTCATTTTGGACCTGGAATGGCAACAAGAAAACGATCTTGAAGTAATGAGGGTGATAATTCATGGTGGATCTTTTCGAATGAACATTGAGTAGACGTGGCGGTAGGCAGCGCTCCGAATACGGCCCATAGAGGGAGACCACTGGACGACCTGGGTGTCGAGATCAGTAGGGGATAGTGGCCCCCGATTAATAAATTGTGAAATAAGAAAACACTCAGTAAAGGAGAAGACGTGCTGATGCAATGTACCATAAAATGAAGGGAAGGAAGAGACTCTGCACAGGCCCATTGCCCATTGCCGCGAGTTGTTGCTCAGCATGCCGGGGGCTTGTGCTCTACCTCTACCCTTCTCCTTGCCTTTTTCGAACATAATGATGATTTCAAAAGCTGAATCAAACCAAGCTTCAATACAAAAGTACACGTATTCCGGTCCATGGGTTCTTATAACGAGATTCCATCGGTTTTTTGTTGTCTCATGCCGGACTCAACGTGCCAGATGATCTGGGGCCAGCCCTCGGCGGCTAAAGCCGAGTTTGCTTTCACTTCTTTTACGGAGACGCTCTGCTGAATCCAAATACAGCCAAAATGAAATATGTGTCTGGGTTATTCGTTCTATCCGTTGCTGTTACTGCCCCATGCCTGTCTTCCAAAGCTCTACAATTTGTGGAGAGGGGACACCCAAATACTCTAGGGGCAAAAGGTGACTCTTTCATTGAAAACGCAGCTCATTTACTCTCTGATAATGAAAATGCTGACAGTGACGGCGCGTTTCGCCATGATTCTCACAAAAAATCCAACCTTTCACATCTGAGAGGCCAGAATACAGCCCTCATGTGGGCCAGGCCCCCTCCAATTAAAACAGGTAGTATTTCCTTCTCTCAACAACAATCCGACTCGGAAGCTTCCCAGTCTAGAGAGGCGGAAGAAAGCTCTGCAGAATCAAGCGAGGAGAGCCACGGGGAAAAGTCGAATGCGGAGGCGACTTCTGCTGGTCCAGAGGAGGATAGAAGTCAAGGGGAAAAGCACATTGGCGGACGACTTAAGCCATCGGACAAAGAAGTGGACAAAGAAAAGCAGGCTGATAGTGCCGAAAGCCATTCTGGCTCTGGCGTAGAGGAAAGTAAAAGTGAAAAGCGCGGAGAGCTTACACTCCATCAAGGCGAGAACCAGATGAACCACGATAAAGAATCAGATGCGAAGGATATAAATAGAGTAAAACAAGAAGAAGCTGGCTCTCCGAAGGAAGAATCAACTCAAGAAAATAACCCTCAACACACCCCTGACGACGAAAAGCCCAAAATGAGCCACGATGATCATGAACCAGCAAGCCACACTGACAACAGCAGTCAAAGTGAACCTGAAATTCAAACTCAACACGATCTAAGTGGTGGAGAGAGCCCAGAAGCCAGGTTCGATTCTCTTATTGATAGGATGCGCCTGTTGCTGAAGGCATCAAAAGGCAAGGAGATCATAGGCCAGCTGGCGAACATACTCGAACTACACGGTGAGCGGCATTCATTTTCTCAGACAGCATTAAACTCGAACAAGTAAACATGACGCTCCGTTTTACAAGAGCGAACACATGTGTCAAAGCATCTAGTACTTATGCATAGCTATACAGTGTGCTGATGTGTGCCGAATGAAACCCACATCATATTTTGCAGCAGCTGCTGCTTACCATCATACCCTGGTTTTGGTAAATGAAAGAGCTTTACCATATGATCTGCCTTTTTACGTCGCACGACGTCTTTGCGGAGTATTTACTCTGCAGTGTGTTGTTTGTAGTCATAAGTTCTGCATGCCTGGCTTGCACTACTAAACATATCGATATTCTGTTACTGCGTTGCCTTCTGTATTTTAGAGAAAACAGCAGAAGCACAAAAACAGCTAAAAGAAGAGGTAGAAAAAACGGAGAGCCAAGATGGAAGTGCGAAAGAAGAAAGCAAGCCGAACCTCGACGTTCAGCAGGTTAGAAGTTTGTTGCATTCTATGGATGCATCTGCATCAATTACAGAACCGTTGATAAAAACCAAAGAAAAGTGCACATTCATCCCCTTTCCCCCAGCGCTAGTTGACGTGTTTTTGCAAATCCTATGTGAACGATCCCAGTATCTATCCAAGTGCAGCTGAGCACAGCATTTGTTGCTTCAGCAAGCATTTCCTCTCTGACGCTTGGCTGATTTTGCGATGTATACTTTTCCGCTTCGCTGCCCTTGTGGTGCACAGGATTTGCTGCTTAGCCAGCAGCTGAGCAACATGTGGGCACTGCCTTTCTATGAGGATGAGAAAAGGGCTGTCTGTCTTTCCGGCTTTGAGAAGCTTACCCATGAAGTGAGATGCTTCGTTGGTCCACTTTATTATAGCATGCTGGAAACTCCAGGTTTCGCCTTGACTTGCACTTCTGAGCACAGCATATGAATTTCGTAATATTTATTCATGACGTGATTGATCTAAATTTACAAAAATGCCTCTTTTACGTTTAGGCAACTATCGAGTGCTCTGATTCCGAGTGTTTCAAGTTGGAAACTCAGTCAGATCAGTGCCCCTACATGTCAATTGTCTCTATAATGCGCAAAGAAGATTTAGACAGAGTCAAAGGACTCCCCGAAGCTGCAGAGAAGCATTCTGCTCATGGAACAAAAGATCACATGTTGCTGGGATTCGACGGAGAGTGCAAGAATTCGGAAAACCTAGGAAAAGAAATCTTGAATATGCTTCAAGTAAGTGTCTCTTTGTAAACCTTTCGCAGCCACCCTAGCAAGCAAATGTGAACTGCTTTATGAAAGACTGGAAAAACAATGTTTTCGGTGCCATTTATATCGCCACGTATGATTTTGTATGGCCAAAGATGTTCTACTCATTTCGTCAATTATCTGCAAGCCCATGCTGGTTCTCTTTGTTTGGCTCATTTCAGCGGCCTAAAAGCTTGGCTGAAAAACGCACACTGGAACAGTTTAACGGTACTGGAGGGACAGTGCCGCTTCAACAACACCATTTAGATTTGATTTGCGACACAGAGGATAAAGCGGAGTGTAAGCAGCAGAGTGGGAGTACTATGAATCCATAAAGCCTCGCATATCTAAGGCAATCAAACGCATCGCTAGTAGAGTGTGATCAGCAGTACTACAGCCCTACATTTTTCCATGTATTTGTGCAAACCTGTGGTGTTTGTTATGCTTTCTGCAGATCCTGCATGTAAAACCGTATTCGAGGCCCTTCAGCACTTTAAAACACCAGAACCAAGGGTACACTAAACTGCCTAAAATTAATGCCCCTCTGGAGACCAAAGTTGCATGTGACTCAATTGATTATACTAGTGGCAGGTAGAGTCTGGCATATTGACGCCGTATCGTTACACTCGTATGAGAAGTGAACGAAACCAAATATACTGGTGTATGAGCAACTGAATAGTTGGTGTATGAATCTCGTCTTTGTTTTTTCTATGATTTGCCACTCTTGTAGGCTTTACCGGAGCTTCTGGTTCTGACTGATATAAGGGACTTAAAAAACACCCTCGGATTGTACAGAATCAGTTTTCTCTTTGAAGGACTGGTACAGTTTACCTCGCCGGATGGATCTAAAATTGACGCCTCAAAGCACAAATTACCTCTAAAAGAGGCAAAATTCGTGTACGAGCACCGGCATCAAAACATTGCATCTACCGTGATGCTAAAGGGTGACTAGGAACACTCAGGAAGGCGGGGAGGTTTAACACAAGGTGCTGAAAGCATATCAAGCTTAGAGGCTAATTCGGCAGTAGATTCGAGCGAGCTTTGCTGGGCTTACACTATTCCATGATATAAAAACTTTAAAAAGGCACATGTAACAGAACTACGGCTGGATGACCGCCAGGATGGCTTTCAGCATTCGAGTGTACATTGTTTTGCAGGCTGCTCATGTAGTGTAGCTCAGCTGCAACACCTCTTTGTAGCTCTAGTGCAATCAACGTAGCTGTTTTTTTGTTTTTGCTTCTCACATCTAACCTTAAGACTGGTGCATCTGGCAGTCTGAAGATACCACTGCTCCTAATCAAAGCGAAGCGCTAAGCTAGCGGGTTGATTCTTCTTTGCAGTAAAATCAATACCGTAAATTTGTAGCATTACTTGCGCTCTAGCTAAGGTGGATGCGGAAGGGTTTATACTATGTACAGCAGACCCTGAATGTTCCCAGTGCAGCAGCAAATCTACCGTCAGCAATATTCATTTTGTAGGAAGCTGAATCTTTAATCCTTAGGTTTTCGGCTCTACAGGGCAATCTACAGATACCTATATATCAGGAATACTATACTACTGCCTAAATTATGTATACCAAAAAATGTACTTCTGAAAAGTCCAGACCAAATCGTTCTACCTGAAATGCATGTACCTCAGTCAGGCAGCGCCCCTAGTAAGGAACTAGCAAAACATACATTCAAATCCTATGATTCGATAGCTTATCAGTGTCTGCGGCGTGGCCTGGTCTACTGCACGACGCATTACACCTTCTGGCTTATATATGACTGCACTAGCTGCACGATATGAAAGGTCGGCCTAAATGACCACTTCGAGCTTGAATACTATATTGGGAAACACTTCCTGTAAGCAACCATCCTCCCCCGCATGCAAGTTAACAGCATGCATGCGCATAAAACTGTCCGTCAGGGTAACATGAGGGGGCAAAAGATAGATTTGAAGTAGGTATACTCTCAGGCTACGGCAGTCATGCCGGGCTATGTGTACGCATGTACAGCTTGTATTGGTTGACTTTTGCCTAGATATGACGCACCCCCACACTAATTATCAAACTTAACCATTTTGACAAAGTACCTTAGGAGCCTCCGCGGCTCAATGCTCTCAACTGTAGGGGCACTATGGAAGCCTTCAGGGGAAACGCAAACAACGTATACAAACACTATTCTTTAACAAACCTGTTAAGCACTGCTGTTCGCTGTCGCAACGCCGAGCCAGAACCCCCATGGCACACTCACTTTGTTGCTCGCGTGGCTATTCTCCAGGCTGTTTCAGCATGCAAATGCGTATTCGTTCTAAAGACAACAGACGGCCTGCAATAATTTACTACCATGACGATGTTTTATAGGCCTGTGTTAGTGCCCAGAGTACAAAAACGCCCTCATTGGCAAGCTTCCAACTACCTAGCTTGCTTGTAGCCACTCACGCACATGCAGGCACGCACACTTGGTCGAGCAAAATCCTTTCTCATTTTGCCCCATGGGCTCTTCAATTAGACAGGTTTCTATTACTTACTTCGAACAGCGAGCCGATCAGGGTTCCATTTGACGTATTGACTTCCCCTCAACCAGGTGTGCATAGGCGTAAACTGCTTGCTGAGCAAAGGAACTATGGCAATATCCTGAGAACAAATCTTATCTAAGATTATAATGCAGTACAGCTCGTGGCTCACGCTTGAAGGAAGTCTCAATTAGAAGCCAACATGCAAGTGTGCAAACACCCTCGATGCTAGGACTTGTCTGAGGAGTAGGGCGAGCCGAAAGTACATCCGTTGTAATCAAGAAATGGAAGAAGGTGAAGGCCGGATCACACTACAGTGAGTACTACGCGGAGCGTAGGATTAATTAGAATCTATGGAAGGTCCTGGTCTTTACTGCACAGTCGTTTCAATCAGATACTGCAAAAGGCACATGGGAATGACCCCATCACACCTGTGTGACCAATTATCACTTTGGTCGTGCCACGCACTTTTTTAAAAGAAGCACTTATCTGTTGTTGCTTGTAAACAGAAAAGCCAACTTTATGAGGGCGTATAGTTGAGCATCGACCTACTACAAGGAAGCTTGACGCCCAGAGAAGCAGTCAGCATGGATTGAGAAGGGATCAATTTGCCCTCTTTGAAGTGCTGCTTTCGTCGCTTGCTGTATCGGACTTAACGTCAACTAGGCACTTTGTACTAAAATAACTGGTTGTATTTAACTAATAATTAGCTTAAACTTCTCTACTTGCTTAGTTTGTTTGTGTACCATATTTATTGCAGGGCTACGTTAGCTCGATGCAAAAAGGCGGAACGATAAGTATGTGTGCGCTATTTGTTATCTACAGCTAGTCATGAATGCTCTGGAGTGCTTAGAGGGTGGAGCTGTGCAAACCCTAGCTGCTGTTCTCCCCTTATGTGGGGAACTCTGGAAGATGCGCGCAAGGAATTCCAGGAGCACTTAAGGAGTACTAAGCCACTTTGTACTGTGCATATATTGTCTGGAGTTGAGTGCTCTTATACGGGGTTGCAGAGCGGTAGAGATTACAAAAGCTCTAACGAAGATACAGCTAAATGGGAGACACACATTTTCCCACACAGTGCGATTCGCGTGATCGCTCATGCCATCCCGGGAACAATACCAAATATAATCTGAATACGAGCGGACCCAGCGACAAAAAGCAATGCTTTCTCGCTTGTAACGCTCCATCTAAGGTATAGGTAGGAAACACAGAACTCCAGACTCAAGAAACGCTCAATAGAAAGTTATCGAGTAATCTCCTAGGAAATTGCCCAGTTAGCCTGCCCGCGCCCCTCTCAGTTCCTGACGTGGGGAGGGAGGGCCAGCTCAGGTCCGCTTAGCTGCAGCCTCTTGGCACTCCGAACATTCGCAGCTGGGTGCGAATTGCATTTTTCTTATGCACACAGTATGGCGTTTTCTTTCATCAGCTAGCTGTACTGTGCAAAAGACAAAGTATACAAAGGGACAAAAGAATTAGTCAACGTTATACTAATCCTTAGCCAGATATATCTGATGTGGAAGAAGGTGTTTACGTGTAGCTTCAACCTGCTGAATCTTTCCCCCTTCCTCCCCCCCTCGTGCCGCCCACCACTACGGCGAGACCAGATGACTGCAAGAAGGCCACGTTCGAGCATCACTTTCTAAGCAGACAGGTACACGAAAACAATGTTAGTGAGCACAAACACAGCGTGCAGCAACCCGTGAAGAGATATTAAAGGGAAAGACGTATTCAATAGCCAAACGAGAAAAAGAGACCAAATTAACAAGAACGTGGTGGCGCGATGGTTCACGTCCGTCGGGGCGCTGAAATGCTTGAGCCTCCTGCTGTGAAAGAACACAACACAAGTGAAACGGATACAGGAGATAACGGACCTACAAGTTCAGCAGTGTGTCCACGCGTCATTGAGCATTCAGTGCATGGAGATGTAGTCGGTGCATACAGCATGGTCGATTGCAAGGTTTCAAAAAGGCGCATGAAAAAATCTAGGGACGAGAACCTCAAAGTGCCTGCGCGTGACTCTGAATATAGAGTACAGCGTAATCATATAACCTCGAACTTTGTAAGCAATGCCCATAAATGAAGGTAGTCTTTTTAGGCAGAACACATGCGCTGGGAAAGGACAATTACAAGAGGCGCAAGAAATACGGTTTATGGCGAATAGCGTTGCCAATCACTTAGGGCAGCAGGTTTCCTCATACGAAAAGAAGGGTGCATCTGGTGCTCCGGCACCCACATGCGTTAGGGGTCCTTACATTTTTTTCACTAATGCTCCCATCTAACTTTTCTTCGCTTTGATGCTGCCAGAATCCACACACGTGTACAGTTCCCTGTGACCTTTTCGCCTACACACGAGTCAAGGTATCCGAGGCAAGACTCGCGAACATTTGGGGGAGTTAAAAAACTTCTCTAGAAAGGCAATATCGGTACTTCTGTGGCGCCCCCAGCATTTAGAAAAAAAGACCAAGTAAAATCGAGCATTATCACACAGAGAAGTGACAAATATTCCTAGATACCTGATTGCGAATGTCTTTACCTGATGACCTGATGCACCTTGCAGTGCCAACCAGCCAGAATCAAGTCTCCAGGCTCGAGAAATACAGCCGATTGCAACTATTTATAAATTCGTCCTGCACTCTCTTAAGTTGTCCGCATATTATATATACACGTGCAGCAGCCAAATGTGCTCTAGATTTGTCCACCTTTAACGGTGGGTTCTGCCTCCGGGCCACCACATGCAGAGCCGCGGAGAGGGGCTTTTCACCGTAGACCGGGGATGCAGGGGAGTAATATATAGACGGTTAGACTGATATATTTTGCACCCACACGGTGAAAGAATTAAGCCAAGCAACCGGATTTCTGTGGGCAATCGGTCGAAGGTTCTGCAGAAAAGACGGCTGGTGTAACGTTTCTGTATATTTGCCTCAAGGTGGTTGGCAGTGGCCATACCAACGGCCAGTGATCTTTAGTCAGATCGCTGAAAATCCTCTCGTTAACCACACGGCTGCGTGAAAATGCAGGGTGACCATAGTTGCGCGGCTTAAGTCGCTGACAATCTGAGCGGAACGCCGAAGGCCGCGAAAAGGACTGAGAAATTTGAAGTGAAGCGTGAGTCCCACCTGGCCCGAAAAATAAAACATGGGCTTTGCAGAAAATGACACTGCAGAGCCAAATCGGAATGCATGAGCAACGCAGTTCTCAATTCGTCTTCAGCCACAGTAGGCCACCCTCTACGTGAAACTGCTTCATCCTTGTCTTATTCTGGATTTTGGCAATAATTGCTGATCCATGGGTGTGAAATGGGTAAGACCGACGCACTCTCTACAAAACTGTGAATCGTTACAGGAAAAAACGAATGCACAGCACGAAGATCTGGAGCTTCGCAAGAGCGCGCCAGCGACCATGTCCAATATACTCTACTCTGAAGTCGTACTGCGACAGGGACCTAAGTTGGAATACAGCTCTACGATTATCAACGTTCTAAAACTTTCTCAGTAAAGTTCACTAGAGGCTGATGATGGCAGATCGAGACAGTAGAATAGCACCCATAAGAAAAGTGAGCACTTTTTCCACATCTCGTCACACTGCATAGAGCTCTTTTCCGGTATACAGCGCTGCTCCGTTTCGGCGAAGCGTGTGGAACGTTGCTTTGTTCATAACATCTAGGTGAATGGGGGTTAGTCAAAAGGAGTCTGTGAAGTCAAATGCAGTTGGCTTTTGATTTTTTAGTTCGTCATGCAGCTGGCAAAAATGAGGCGTTGGCAGCTTTTACATTAGAGCGATTCTGTTTTGCGGCGCTTAAATAAGCCTACGCATATGCGCCACCTGCCGTCTTTTTCCGACGCTAAGACCTGATTATGCCAAAAGCGCTGGCCTTTGCCTTTTTCAACAAGTAAGCTGCCTGTTGCTGAATCCTTTTGATGCTGTGGGGGTTTCCAGAACCGTGAATCATGGCTTGATGTAGACCTAGGCAGCAGCTCAGTGCGATGCAATGAAGGACCAGCAGGTGGTCAGCCTGTTAGCAGCTGCCCAATTTTTACAACACCCTCAAAATACTCTTCGATATATATATATATATATACATCAATTTTCGTTGTATCTGTGTTAAGCGTTATACTTTAATTTCCAATAAAGAATTGCCTGCAGAGACAGCAAGAAGAAGTGCATGGTCACAATGATTTGTTCTTCCTGCTCTGCTAAGCCTCCCGCGCAAAGCCTCTGCAAGTACCGACTCTACACTGCCCATCAGAAAAAATTGAGTGTTGTTAACGAAGCCAGGAGTGTTTTTTCTAGCGTGTTCCAGCACACTGACATCAGGATCATGCAGCTCTTGCGGCATGTGCGCCTTCCATTGAGCCACCCATGGCATGCCCAGAATTTCGTTCTGATGCACTTGTCCGACATAGAAGTGACGGATCATTTTTATAGGACTAACTCCGAGCTTAGGTGACATTCAACTGTCGTAGCCTTGGCCAATTCTCCCATGCTGCGGATGGTCACCAAACGTGAGTCCTCAGGAATGCGAAAACAAATGAACAGGGAGATTACCATTCTGCGCATTATTCCAGGGTAGCACACCCTTTCACATCCAGTTTCAAGTAACGGTAGCATTTTTCGACCATTTGTTGGGCTGGCATCCGCTCAGAACTCGCCCGTGGTGAGCTCCCAACTGCGGCGATGTCCTCTGCGGCCCCCTTCACTGCGCCACAGCTTGCAAGGGAGGCTTTCTATTTCTTTGAATTGCCTTCTGTAATCCTCAAACAGTCTGCTTTCGCTGGACCCAGCTTCATTGCTCAAGTTCCTTGGCTTTTTGAATTCGCTTGCACTTGCGGAGTACATGGAATCCCGGACCCTTCTGGTTGGCATAACCCTATTAGCGAATGCATAGACATGCTGTCGACAGAGAAATTATATGTACTACATCTGGGAAGCTACTGTGTATCGATAGGCTTCCAGACCGCCCTCTGTCTCACCAACAGCCGCTGCGTCAACGTCAACTAACATTGTCACAGGGTGTCACGCCGTCTAGCGTATTACCACAGAAAATCAAGTTAGTGAATAACCAAATGACTGTTGAAACCCGATAATTGATGTAGGGTAACCTGACACTCACTAAATCTATAGATGATCAGGAACACATGCATCGATCCATACGGCGCTACCAACCATGAGGCTTTTCAAAGGGAGACACTTAAATCCACATCCAATACAAACTTAGTATAACGTTACCAAGTGTTGTCAATTTTTCCCCAAATGTCCACGTTCTTCAAAGTTCGCGCCATGAGGGGATAAGGCCAGGTAGGGTGCGTGCAGCTGCACCCTTTGAGCACTGCGAGTACTCACAGCTTGTTGCACACAGCATGTAGAACAATTGTACGTAGCATTGCAGCTCCCAATCGAGCCAACAGTATCCTCTAACAAATATATTGTGCGAAAAACCAATCAGTGATCCGATTCTTTGCTGATGCGTAGTTAAATGTAATAAATGTAAGTAGAGTACTAGGAAGTGCCTGTGTCTAGGTTAGCCTGGTATATGTGGCCCTTCTTTCCAATAAAGTGGTGTGTTCCTGCAGGTATGTGCTGATTTGAGGAATTCCACACGAAGCCTTAGCAATCGGATCAATTTCCTTTAGAATTAATGTCAACGAAGTATGTTCAAGAATAGCTTCAGCTGCATATAATCAGTCTTTCGCTCCGACGCAGTGTGCTTGTGAGTAATTCGTCAGTAAGTGGACGCTGACTGTTATTTCCTACTAGATTAATGGCCACCATTTTTCAAACCTCTCATTTGCTGTGAGTCGGCATTCATTCCAAAGTGCTGAGAATAGAGTGCTTTTGGTGATTGGAGTCCTGTTTAGAAAAGAAGGAACAGTGGAAGCAAAGGTTTACGGGGCTGGGCGTCTGCCTGGAGGTCCGCACTGGTTAGAAGTGGCATGCACGATGAAACTACCAATCCGCTATAGAATAATTGGAATTTATATTGCATATGTTTTGCCGTCTACGTGAAGAGATTAAAATCAGGTTGTGTTAAGTGGCTTTTCGGGTTGCACACAGAGCTGTCGAGTGCTGATGCGGCGGGGCTTTCCACTGGTAACTGCGCGAGTTCTGGTACTACCTAGGGATACCAGAGGCTGAATGCTCCCTGTCATTTGTCTTCTCTTGTACATATGCTAATGACCACGCCCCCATGCAATGCTGGAGACAGCAGGACGACTGGAATTTCGCGTTCTCCTGAACTTCAGCCGTGCAGCCCGCACGGTAATTCCGGAGTCCCAGTACCCCAAACCAAGCCACTGAATTCGAGATATGGTGTATGCATGCGTTAGAGGGTCTCCAGGGGTCCGGGCTGGCCTCAGGGTGGAAGGCATTTGGTGAATTGCTCGACAATGCACAAAGTGAGGAGGCTCCAGGTTAGGAAAACACCCGTAAAATGGCACACGTCCGTGGCAGCGGCAGATGCAAATGGGCGTGAAAGCTCTTCCAGACTTACGAAGCGCTCTTTTGAAGACATAGAAGAAACCAGGTGTTCAGGGGGCACCTGCAGGCGAGACTGGGATTTCTCGACAGCTACTGACACCTCAAGCAATGACCCGCTGTGTCCCCTAAAACTTCCTTCAAGAAATGCAGTACAGAGACACCGTGGTCGACCAGAGACACTGGATGGATCCACTTTTATTCCTGCCGCAAATGAAGAACGAGTGGCCGAATTCCGGGCAGAGATATTGGACGGGGTGCGGCACCTGTTGCACGACGAAGCTGAGCTCGAGTGCCTCGTGCAGCTTTGCATGAAGTTGAATGAGAAAAACACGGCTCTTTTGGAGCGGGCCATACACCGCAGAGGCGTTCCTGAATGCATGGAACTTCTGGAGGAAGCCTTGGTAATCAGTGCACTCAAAACTGTATTCTTAGGCCTTGATAATGTCGAGGAATCTTCTGCATTGCTAGCATAATGCCACCCCGTGCTAAGGCTACCGTTGGGGTGCTCTGGCCACCCATGCAGCAGCCATTTATCGGGCAATAACTTTGTCGATACCCCGAGTTCGAGATACTGATAGGAACCTGCCCCCCAATTGCTTATCAGCTCTAATCACGCATGTAGAGTGGCACGTTTAGTGATTCTTACATAGAGAAGTTCTTTCAGGAGCTGTGCACATGTTGGGATTATATTTGCTGTGTCGTTTTCAGGAGCTGGAAGCCCGCGGAGGCATGATGACCGCTGAGGGCCGCCGTCGTACACCTGGAGGAGTTTTTTTGCGTCTTTTACAGGACAGGTAACCTTACGTTTCTCCTCTCTGTACATTCTCATGAGTGCGATCTTGAGTTCAGATGCGTAGCACATAAGTGCCTATCGTTGATAGCCTAAAGTTCATGGCTCCCCATCCCCTTCCTGAGTCATAGACGTGCGCAGGGCCAGCTGTTTTTTCGTCATGCCTCTTCAAGCGTTTTCCAAGTCGGCTGGCAGTCGTGCAATCCTTTTTTTGCCGCACTTCTTAGGGTACCCAGGGAAGACAAACGCTTTATTTGGGATGAACAGAACAGGGAACAGAGGCGGCTCAAACGCCAGCGCATCCGCAGTCTCAGAGGCACTGGAACTCCTCCTTGCGGAACTACATCTGCGCATCAGGATGCAACAAAGCGTTCCGCCACTGCCTGCGCCTCCTTGCAACCATCACCAGCCACACAGCCTGACAGCCAAGAGCGGGAACCTGGGGAAGTCGAAGATGCCGAGGCCGAAGCCCCCGACGGGTCGTGGAAATGACTTGCCGCGCAAGACGGTTCCTTGGTAGAGGCGAACTGTTCGGAACATGCTATGGTGGATCTGGGATTTTGAGCTGAGTCGTGTGTCTCACTCTAAATTGCAGGCTCAGCTGGTGGCCTGAGGGGTCGCTTCAGGTATGCGTTCTTTTGCGCCGCCCAATTTGCGCGTGTGTAAGCACGTTTTCCTGGATGAGGCTTACCAGGATTCCAAACGTTGCTGCTTCTACCAGGCTCAGAAGCTGCGCTTCAAGAGAAGTGTATGTGACCACTCAACAAGAGTAAGTGGGAATGCTGTTGTATAGTAATCAACGCTTAGGGGTTGGGGCAGGAGGAGCAAGGCAGGAAAGAACTGAACGGCACGACTGAACACTGTAAATGCCAGTGGACGTAGAGCCGTCTGAAGCAGACTTTTTGAAGAGCGGAGTGAGCCATGAGAGTACGGTACGGAAGTTGGTTAACTTCTATTCTTGACTAGATAGCTTTTGTTCCACGCTTTTGCCTCGACGCCCCAAGACTGTAGGTCCAGCTGTTTGCGCAGCCTTTTAGGGGCGTGCAGAATTTGCACATAGGAAGCGTGCAGTTGGCACTATAAACTGCCCTGCAACAGATACATGCTAGAACCACCTGAGGATGAGTCTCAATGGGGCACACCCATGGCAGGCGAATTGCCGACCCCTGCTCGTTCTGCTCCTTGGGACGGTACTGAATGAGTCCCTGCTCAAGATTTTTGTCACCTGTGCACTACATTGGAGGGAGCTGATAGTGCAGCTGTCCACTGCAGAGAAACTCCTGCATCACCGAGCGCCTGAATCGTTCTGAATCATGCGAGAATTGATTGCTACTTTCCGAAGGTAGAGGAGCTCAGCCACAAAGTGTGCGAGTGACTTCACTAGCAGCAACGCTCCCAGGAACATAATTGGATACTCCCCAGTGCCCATTGCCTGCGATATCATATTCCCAGTGAAAGACAGCAGAAAAGCGATGCGCATGCATGCTGAATCTCCCTCCCACGAAAATCAAGCCAAAGGTGCTGGATACTGGAGAGGAAAGGCCCCACAATGGCGAATGTCAAGGGGTGTCAACAGTGTATACCCAATTTTGGTGGCCCGAACACTCACTGAAAACTTCAATCCTGGTATGCTGGCCTGCGTGTTCGCCAGTCCGGCAGAGAGCGCCAGTATCAGGTTCATGATGGCACCCGTCACGGAGAGTTCAGCCTCGTGCCTGAACCAAAAAGGCAAACCAATGCAGCTGATACGACAATCACATTTTTGATAGTGTGCTTCAGGGTTTAGAATTAGGGACAGACATTCAGGGCATCTTCAACGTTGAAACGGAAATCAGAGATAATTTCGAGTGCAACTACGCTGAGAGTTGTAGTAGTGCAATCAGCCAATGATTAGCGGCTACTCGTCTTCCTTACCGAGTTGCGCGACTGCAGAGTTTCTTTCCAATACGGTACTTGGGGTTTCCCAGAAGGGAAAAGAAGAGGCAGGCAGCTGTTCCCACAGCGCACAATGTAATTAAACCATTAGCAACCTGCCGAGCATCTAGCACTGCTCCCATGTAGATACTAAAGGCGCTCATCGCTGCCCCACAAACGCCGCAACCAAACTCGCAAATGGCAAGAAGAATAATGCAAACAGAGTCCCGGTTGTGTTCTTTGCCTGCGAAGTCGCAGATAGAAGGACACACGAAGGGGCGAGAGTGCGAAAAAAGCGATGCCACAATCCGGATTATGCGCCATTATCAGTCAAAAGATTCTTGACTGGTGATTCATTTACTTCCTCCGGTGCACGACTGTAAAGGAGTCTCAGCTTGTGCTAGTAGCTGGCCTCAGAGTGCTCACCCAGCTCTGAAGTAGACAGAGATCCGAACCTCCACAGTAAACAAAGAGGAGGAAGCACAAAAAAAAATACCAGCTCCCAGGCAAACAGGAGGATCAGCACGCGCTGGAGGCGGTGTTGCATCCAGGGATAGCTCTGGCCGGGTCTAAAGGCAATGCCAAGCAAAACGCTGGAGCTGAATCACATTAGTGCTCTCAAAATGATCAGTTACACGGGTAAGATTAGGGCTCTATCAAAACAATGAGTGGCAACCATACGTAGAGAAGCGATTTTGCGTCTTATCTAGCACGTGACAAGAACGAGAAAAGGCACGAAAGCCTATTAGCTGCAAGTTCTACAGGGCTCGATTTTCAATCAGTAGAATGCAATTGGTAGCTGCATATTGAGGCCATAATACGGAATAAAGAGAGAGGAAGGACATACTTGAGGCAAAAGGCGGCAACAACTAAACCCAAAAGAAGCCCCGTGGCCACATTGAGAACCAGGAGGCACTGCATCCGGCGTGCTTCACTTTGTTTTTCTGTTGGTTTCTGCCCTACAACAAGTGCATCCTGAGGAGTACATGCGAGGGCTGTACCGGCCTCAAGCAAGCGATCTCTGCTGTCTGCATCACGAGAGTAGCTCATTATCGTCGCCCACCTCACAGAGTCCTTGGCAGACCACAGAAGGAATACTTTCAGCGTGTATGCATGGGGTTACGAAACAAGAACGGAGAGACCATAGAATTCGCACGTTCCTGAAGCCAATGTACTATTATTTGGATGCGGTATCCGCAGTATGCACATCAAGTCTGAGTATTGCCGTTAAGGCGCTACCGTGGCTCTTCGGGAGACCAACGGCGTGAACGAATCCAAAAGAACAGGTCCATGTCCACTTTGACATGCGATGCGCCCCAGCTTAGGGTTGCTGCCTTGGCTCAAAATGTTTCATAATGCAAGCTCTAGAAGGTAAGACACCTCGCACGTTGACAAGTACGGCGCCTAATTACCTAACCAAGGGGAACAGCGCCGAGGCAGTGAAATCACGAGGACTTCTAGGTTCACGTGAGAGAGCCTTGAAGCCTGCAAGACATATACACTGGCTAAAAGTATTCAAAATATCAGGCAGCAGCATATATTACAAGGGTGAGGCAATGCTTTGATTTTCGGATGATGAGCCGTGGGCGGCAGCCAGGCCCTGCTGGCCCCGCCACTTCACGCATACACACCAATGGCCAAATACCATGAACATTGTGCTTTTCTACCACCAGAAGTGTTCCTAAAAGATACTTTAGAAGGTTTTGGCTCACGATATGCCTACGCCGTGAGGAAAAAGTGGGCCATATCTAGTTTTGCGTGTATTTCCCTAAAAGCAGTGATGTCCTGCAGCGACCCGCTACAGAATCAGCGATCTGGAAACGCAATACGCTGCGAGATAAAGGACAACACTTGGACTCGTCCAAAGCATCGAAACAATAAAGGGTCAGAGAAGCAGCAGGTCGTATACACTGCCGATGAATTGGAGCTTGTAACAGACAAACGTAAGTTAACGAATCGCTGAAGGCCTTACTGCAAAACCTATTATTTAACGTCATGCACAAACGACGAGCGTCTGCCAGCATTTTCCACTTATGAGCATCAGATAAGTAGAGACGACAGCTTGGTTTTTGTCTTTGAGAAGATAGGGAAACTCTACAGGTTTCGAGCTTGGACGGTCGAGTTCCCTACAGTAGTAATCTCTCTGCGCTCTCTAGCTAGAGTCTCCATGTTTCAGATGTATTTTTCAAAAATTTATTCCAGACAACTTTATAGGTCTTTTTCGGCTCTTTGATTCAGCATTTACACTTAGTAATGATTTCATTACCTTCAGATATGACCACTTCCAGCTGGAATACATGAAACGGTCCTTCAAGGATGTAGCAAGGGAGGCACATAACTCTTCGCTTGAAACAGCCTGAAAAGGGGTTTTTAAGTACTTTCAAGCCAGCGTTCGTCTCGCCGTGCACCGGATTCTTATATTCTTCGAATTGAGGGGAGAAGGCGACCTGGGGAGCGCGTGGCTGCATCTTCTAAGCACTCCGGGCATACGCAGCTATTTGCACGTAGTGCATCGGGCTAGCCTACACTTGAGCACTTTTAACTACACTTAGTGTCTTAAACTGAGAACTAATAATGAATTGACATACTGGTTTGTCTCCGTATATCTTATCTTTTGCAAAGCCCTGTGAGTTGGGTATAGCCATGCGCGATGTTGAGCATTGCACTTGCAAGCTCGACGTTCTGTGCAAAGACGCTGAAAACGTTCTATTAAGTATTATTTGCGTCGGATTTTAAAAGCATTCCGAATGTGGCGTTGTCCTATGTGGCAGCTTCACTGCGCAACAGCGCGCAAGGGAGGCTTTCCGGTTCTTCGATTTGCCTTCTGTAATCGCCAAACTGTTTGCCTCCACTGGGCTCAACCCCGTAGCTCAGGTTCTTTGGCTTTTTGTCTGGGCTTGCGTTCTCAGACTATAAGAACGACTTTCCCGCAGTAGAATCGGATGCGTTGTTCGGGCTCTCTGAAGCCGATTAGAAGTGCGGGTTCCTTCTGGCCTTCCTTCTATCGCCTAGCCTGTAGGTTAGACTTGGTCGACACAAGCACGTAATCCTTATGCTCAAAATCCCATTTTGGCTACCATTCAGCCACTTCGGCTGGACCTGAGACGAACCACTCATAAAGCGGCACTTCGTCAACGTTGTAGCCTTTGTGGGTATTATTTATATTCCATGATGCAATAATTTATTGGTGGATTCGTCTGCTCCACCTTCCTCGAAATTTCCGAGATTTTGCTGGTGAGCTGCTCACAGCATAAACCGAGGAGTCAGGGCTTGTATGAAGGCTTGAACTGCAATGACACCTGCAGGCTGATAACTTCATATGCATTAATAGAGCCACCACTGAAGTGTTTCTCCCTCAATTAAAGGCGCAACAAGAAGTACACTTTTCTCGTTTTCTGGAGGTACAAAAGCAAGGTACCTCTGCAGCCGCCTGATGAAATCTCTAAGTGCTTGTTATTCGTTGAACTCGTCGACTCTTGTGTATACGCAAAACCTCATTGGCGCATTCAGAACATATTTGTCGGCTAGAAAGGCCTTCCTGCCAGCTGTGGGGCTAAATCGTTCCACTTGGCTTAAAGGCCGGCCTATCCACCCCAGCAGGCGTTGCGTTAGCGTCAGCTCGATGATTCAAAGATTTTGTTTCACACTTAACCTATAGCCAAAGAAACCCGAACTATTGAACTAGTAAGTGACTTGATCGAAGCCGGATAACTGATGTGCTGAACCCTGATATCTACTGCATACAGAGCCAGTGGATAAGCGAAGACAGCTGCATCAGCCAATGTGGTGTACCAGCTCTGAGGTTTCATTTGAGGCCTCTTGACAAGCTACCTAAATCCAGACTCAATACAAGCTCAAAGGAAATCTAATATTTTACCCCCAAAGTGTGCCCTCCTTTCCCTGCTTCCCTCATCAGGGTTGTCGGCATGATGGCAGAGGTCCAGCTAGGGTGAGCGCGGCTGCACTCTTCATGCACTCCAAGTACTCACAGCTAGTTGCAGCGCAGCACTTAGCGTACATCGTACCATTGCGTTTCCCGCTAGCGAGCTAGGGGTGCTCTGTAAGAAATAAGGTGTACGAACAAACCAAACAATGATTAGAATATTTACTAATCCTGAGCTACCTATGAGTTGTGTAATGTAAAGCGATTTAGTGCTGCTACGCCCAATGCAGTACGCGATTAGCATCCAGTTCATGCCACTGGCAACGGAACTCCGTGGTAGCCTCACACGCTTAAGTTCCGTTGTGAATCGTCATTTGTGATCAAAGTTTTAACCTTGGTTTATCATTATATATAAAGCTTGATAAAGCTGCAAACTCAAGTGAAGATCCCTAGGTGCGGTGTCTTGATGAAGGCCGTCACGTTTGAACGCCGTTCCCTAAGGTCACTTTTCAGCGCTGCTGGGCGAGATGCAGCGCCCACGGGATACCCTGAAGTCCTGAATAAAATTCTTTCGAGATTAATAGGGCACTTTAGATTGGAAATCATAAATTCTAGTAATAAACAAAATTCTTACCCGAGCTGCGAACACGGGTCCACTTGGCCCTCCTGGTGGTCATGCGGTTCCTTTAGAGTACCTCCACTAAATAACCGCAGACACCGTGCTCTAATTATATCTGTAGAATAGAGCATCTTTCATGCAAAAGTGTTTCAACATGGCATAAGTAGGAATGAATCACCCGTGGGAGACTGCGTGGCGGGCCTTTGACTCGTCCTCGATGGACTCGCGCTGGTTCGGCCTTTGCGTACGCTGTCATGATTCTTTTGAAGTTTATCTTTCACGATACTCAGCCAAAAATATGCTGATTTCAGCGGCACTACTACTATGTTATACATTTAAGCCATTTGAAGTCGCTTTTTGAACAATAAGGGGAGGTTTCTTCGCGTAGCGACTACGCGCTGCCCACTTTTAATCAATCGCTGACGCTTTTTAAAGTTTCTCGGCTCAGCCAAGTATCTACTCACTCATTTTGACTGAGGCTTTGAACGATTATTTGCCATGGCAGGAATTCCAGCAATGGTGGCGCCGTGCACTGAACCTGCCAATCCGCTTTCTGCTGGCACCGCTTCCGGCCCACAGGCAAATTCAGTAGCCTCGCCAGTAGAGCTTGCAAGCAAGGCAGAAGTTAAGCTGATGCACGCAGCGTACAATGATTTTGCTTGCCGTAAAGCCCTTGAGGAGCAGCTGAAGATATGGTTAGGCGCAGTTGGGGCGTCCCTGCTGTTGGAACTTGTCGACGAACGCTATAAAATGTTGAAGAACAATGGCCACCAGCTCCCCAAAGGGTACAAGCTACCAGTTTATGAGCATCTGGAATGCCTTCCTATTGTGGACCTCTGGCTTGTTGCGGAGAAGCTGAAGCTTGCCGCAGCTTTCTCCAAAAGGCACAATATATCTGTTGCATTTCAAGGAGCAGGCTATCAGACTGCCCCTCGAGTGATATTTACAGCCGGGCTCTCAAATGCGGGCCCACTCGTATTTCCTTTCGCGTTACCTCAAACACCAAATACCACATTACCGCTAGGCATGGCACAGGTGGACCAAGTCGTTTACCCCCAACCCAGGCGTATAAAGAACTCTCAAGTCAGGCCAGGTCCCCTCCCGGAGGGCTGGTGGGTTGCTACTGCTGATTGATGAGCCTAATTCCTGCCCTTCAAGGAGTGAAACTCCACATTCTCGTGAGACGGAGTGCTTGCCAGTTAGCCGCTACCCATATTCAACTGCCCTCGTATGTAAAAGGCTGCACACTAGTTAACACGTTGCAATAGAGTTTTTTCACGTCTTAATCTGCATGCCATCGACAAAGCAATAAAGTGGATTGGTTAGTGCGTTTGTCGGATAGGCCTTCAAGGGTAGGCCTGCATGGTGGACGCGCCAGCCCCGTTAACGCTTGTTTAAGGGACACCTCCCTACCTATTGAGAAATAGATGATGCACAATGCTTTAAAGGATGCCAGATCAAGCCTGAACTGCAGGCACAGCAAGAGATAGAAAGAAACAGCACTCATGGCTCAATGAGAATAGCCACGGAAGTTGGCTTGCAGCAAGCTGACATGGCCAAAGATATCTCTTTAAGGACATTTAGACGCTCGAATTCATGGACTATTGAATTTATAATCCTTATATCGGCGGATTGGTTTACCCATAATTCGGTTCGTGTATCGCTTGAATCTCCATGCAGGTGTACAGGAGGACTGAGGGAATGCACGAAGGTGTTATGCCCTAATTTTTTTTCACAAAGCTTGTCCAAAAGAGACCCCCATATCCCACCCTCTTACAGCTTTGGGTCCAGTATACTTACCGGCACTCAAAGTAGCTGTGCTTGCACCTCTTGGCATTACGTCCGTAGTCAAGCAGGGTTCTTATTATGCTCGGGAAAAACTACCTTAATCGCTGCCAGCCAGGACCTACCTGTTGACTTCATTCAGTTGCGTTTCAAACACGGGAGCCAGGCTGCGTTCCCTGAAACATCAGCACCCCCAGGTCATCAACACTTGAACTTTTTCATCTCCTTAGATTGGAGCAAACAACTGTATGCACCTTTGTACTCAGCGGTTGATTGGATTGCGGTTCTGTATAGTGCGCTACCTCTGCAAACCATGTAGGAAAGGAGCACCTAATAACTGCCCACGGTTAAGCGGAGAAACATACGGGCTGTTTCCATACATTGAATTGATTCGATGTGACAAGCCTCATTCTAGTGGCCCCGTGCCTCCTTACTTCACTTCCCATTGCACAGTACCTAGAGGGCGTTGGAAGCTTCACACAAACGAAGTAGAAAACTCGATCTGTTCCGGCAGTTGTGGCTAGTGGGCACAGCACAAGACCCTTAAAGGTAGACAGGTCCATCAACGGTAGGAAATGTATCAGATCGAATTCCTAAGGGATGGCGTTATCGGATCTGCAGCGCGCATGCCGTAGTAAGATATATCAAGGAAACAAGCCAACAGGCTGGTCAGATGAAATTCGCCGTTTTTTGCTTTTTCTAATCTTTGACTCAGCACTGTAATTTGCCCGATGAAAACCACGAATCGCCCACATATAGTAGCCGTAACCCCATGTTTCATGTCTTGCGGAACGTCCTCCTAAGGTGTCCACTACAGTGGGCCAAGCTACATTTAGACCCTGTCTACTGCACTACATTTAATTAAGAAGTTGGAGAATTGACTATGCTTGGAGGTAAGTATATCCTTTTTGTTAGAGAGTATGAAGAAACTTAATGTTGTGCGCCTATGCGCCCGATGCCACGTAGAATTAGATCTGAATATGCGCTGGCTTACAGGTTGCCGGAACGTGAAACCTAGCTGTCGCTCTTCGCTCAGTGCGGAACCTTGATGAGTGAGGAGACAAAGGAAGGAAAGATTCTTTGAAAAGACACTTACTAGATTTATTTTGAGTTTGTACTGGGGCTGGGGGCCCCCCTACGGAGACATCAGACGAAGCGCTAGTGCGCACCAAGGCCCTCTGCCCCCCAATTGTTTCAAAACTTAATATGAGGTTTAATGACTCCCTACCCGACCCCTCGCTCTCTTCACCGTGCCCAAGTAGTACTCGGGCATTACGGGAAGAAGGACGATTTAAGTGCAGAGAGCTACCAACAATGAGCATTCTTTCACGCACTCCATCTCAATGCCTAAGCACCACAAATACGCTCTTACTGCATTGACCTGCCAAATTGTACTACACAATTGACGAACCGCAGAATCGCCAAAGATGCGGGTAATACTTTCCGAAGGCTTCATTGAGCATACTCAGCGGGGTGGTAACCATTTATTTGTAGCAAGGCTGGCCCAGTCGCCGATCGGCGGCACCAGCAGCACCCTGACGTAAAGTGACGGCTTAGGACAAAGCAGAGTTTCCACGCCTCCCCCTCCTAATAGAGAGAGCTGTGGAACCGGAGGACTGTATGCACCTTGGCGATTCTAGTATAGTTGGATCCGCAGACAAGGCCTTGCGCAGAAGAACCGTTCGATTTTTAGTGTCGATTGGTCAGCACGAGGCGCCCATCAGGACTTTAGTGGCTACAATTGATAACAAGCTTTAATGTTTCTAGAAGAAATAGGGTTAGCCGCGTAGAGCTTCAAAAATGTTGCATCGGTTACTGGAAGTCCTCCGGTGGTGGGGTTGTTGTACTGCAGGTTTGCCGAGGAAGGTGAAATTGCAGATATGGGTTCAGCAGAGAAACGCTGCCGAGGCTTGGTTATTTCTTGCTTGTATAGCGGGAAGGACTGCTTTAATTTTGGTCGCGCTCACAGATATCCTTCCAGGCTCGAGTACCGAGACAGGCACCTTTTCTACTGGGCTACCGACCAGAGCCCTATCGGAGCCTGCATTTTTTCCACATTCCTCGAGTATTTTTTTGGTCTTTGCCACCATGATAGGCTCTACCTGCCGTGCTCTAGGTGATTAAGCTTTGTAGTAAGACGCATCCCACTGCGGTACGCCTGCCTCAATGCCGAGAGCACACGCTCGTTGGACCTCGCACCAGAAGACTCTGCATCGTGCTACTGTTACTGCTGCTACTTACCTCCATAGCGCCATCCGGACGGTGTACGACTTGCCGGATCATGCCGCTGGTGTATCATTCCCTCAAACGGGCGCCTCAAGAAGCTGGAGAACCCAGCACTGTCATATCGGGGGCTGACGAGTGGCATGGGGTGTACAGACACCTGCTGTTTCAATGTGGACCTGTCAATCCTCCTTGCTTGGGCCAGAAAGACAACGATGCTGGTAGGAAATCGAGCGGTGGGGAGTTCCCTTCGGGTTGCAATGCAGCGATGGCGAGGCTTGCGGAAGCTGCATCAGTAGTCCAAGACAGCCAGTTGAGTGAAGACACCGCCGCACTTGTGCAAGACTTCCTGAGTGACTCTCCCAAAGTGCGCTGTCAAGCTCCACTGAAAGAAACGTCACTTGTGATGGGGTTGCGGGATACTCGATTGGTAGTTGCATCTCGCTAAGCTAATTCAGAGTCAACCTAAGCGCACAACTGGGTAGCCTACAAAATTGACACACACACACACACACACACACATCTGTTCCAGGACCTGTGGAAGTTGCTGGTCTCTGCGCTGCTTGGTTTTGCACTTCCATGTAGATCCGGCAGAAGGGATGTGCAAGCATTTGGCGAATCGCTCAAGCGCTTGGAGAAGGAGCCGAAGAGTTTTTCATGTTCTTGCAAGGCAAGTAATAGTCTGTGCTCCACGCATAGAAGCGTCGTTGGATAGCGCTGCCAAGGCGCAAGAGACACCTCGACGCGGACCTGCTTTGCTGCTAGCAATTCAAGAAATACACCTGAACGTGTATTGATTTTCAGTCAGTAAAAGCTAGCAGCGTCACAGGAAAGCGGTTGCCCGCCCATTTGCCGACTTCCATAGATGAAGACACAGGCTTCTGTACACAAGTTCCTCCAATGTCTATCTGGCGGATCAGCCTTCCGTGGCATTGCGAGGCTGCTGCAGTACAGTGTGTAGTCGGCAGGGGCACTGCTGCCCACTGTAGGGGGTAAAAAGTTGATCAGCAACGCAACTGGAGAGACTGGTCCGACAAAAGTAGTTCCCCGATGAATGCTCCCAAAGCCTTTCTGATCCCGCCGAGCTGCACTGAGACTCGTCGGTGTGCGTTGTCTGTTTCAGAATTCGAGGAGAGTGAAGACAGCGAAGATGTTGTGATGGCGCTTTGCAAAGAGCTCACGACGCTTTTCGACGCATATGGAGAAGGAAAGAGAGCTTTGACAGCGACGCCAATCGGTTGGACCGACGAGGGCGTGAACGCCTTAGCGAGTCTGCTGCTTCGCATCCTCCCACACAGAGACAGGGAGTTGAGGGAGTCAGCGCAGCAGGCTTTCACCTCTCTCCTTGCAGTCTGTGGTCATTCAGCTGCGCTGAAGCGCCAGCTGATGCTTCGCGTGCTGGATCTGTGCGGAGATGGGCGGGATGCATTTCGCTTGGCGGCTGCTTCCCTGCTTCCCGCCACTCTTCACTGCGCGCGTCGATGCTGCATGGAGCTTGCTGAGGCAAGGGGGTCGAGCGCGCAAGTGTCGTCAGAAGCGACTCCCTCTCTTCATGCCTTGAGAGACTTGAAACAGAAGCTGCTTGCCGCGTATCTTGCGCTCTGTGGCGACAAGGATTGCGCCGTGCAGCTGACGGCGGGGCAGCAGCTGCCTCGCTTTGTAGACTTCGTTGCAGCGGAGATTGAGACGCTTCAGCAGGAGCAGCCGCCAGTGCATGCTCCTGCAGAAGACGCAGCAGACGGTGCTGCAGCTGCTGCTGAAGACCAGGGAAAGATTGGAGAGCTCATGATTGCCCTATACACAGCAACCCAGAAGTTTACCTTATCTCTCCACGTGCGCCCACCGACTAGCGAGAAGTTTGCTGCAGTTCCCTCCAGTTTGCATGCAGAGGCGGATCGACCCGCTAAGGCGGGGAAGGAGGGGGCTTGTGGCAGTCTCCTGAATCACTAGGGGCTTCCTGCCTTGCCAACAATTTGAGTTGCAAGCTCAGAAGCACCGAGGAGCCACTTGCGTGTGCGTCTGCAGGAGAGCTGCAGGATGCAGGCAGTCTCGGCAGTTGCGGCAATGGCTCTACGGAATGCTGCAGTGTTCAAGGCGCTTGGATCCAACTTCTTTCCAATGCTTTGCAGTGAGGGCGCTGCAACGCGTGGCGTGCAGGCTGTTCGACTAAGGATCCAGCCTCCGTGATCCCCTGCTTTCCCTCCAACGAATCCCTGACGCCTTCTATCCCGCTGCGACATGTGCAGGTGATTCTTCATGGCGAGTCAGAGCGACCGTCTGCCTGGCGCTAGAAGATCTCTCCCGTCTCTTCTACAGCCCTACGACTATGGCAAATGCTGCTGAAGATGGCATGGGAACGGCGGATGCTGCTGTCACTGGCGACAAGCCTGCAAGCAGGATGCCGCCTCTACTTTTTAAGTTCCTCACCGATAGATCTGTGAGTAGTTTCTAGCCGAAACGAGGAGCTCAAGTTTTAAGACTATGAGGCCAGCGACAGCTTTCCGCCGCGCCGTTTTCGCACCGCGTGGATGGTTGTGGCTCCACACCGCGTGCATGCGTCTACGCCCTAAAGCACGACTTCATGTGAGCAAGCTGCCTTTCTGCGTGCGCGCTGCTACAGCCAATGGTCAAGCTAGCGGCGTTGCAGGTTCTCCCAAGAGTGGCAAGGGTAAGAGTTAACCCCCAACACGGCAGGGCGCTCCAGGCAGTGCTGAAGCTCCCGTACTCTGCCTGCGAGAAAGTGCAGCAACATCTTGAGCTGCCTCTTCAGGAGACAACCACTCGAAGGGCCAGCTCAGGGATACAGAGACGCTGCACACTTGGTTCGCGTGTGTAGTCACGAGCATCAGACACTGCTGCAGAGCAAGTTTGAACTGCTTTTTGCGGCAGGCATGATGCACGGGGTCCACATTTCCGTATTCTCGGCCGTACGCATACGCTTCACCGCAAATTATGTTGCTACACCCCTTTGCATGCACTGTTGTGCTCAGATAGCTGGAACTGCGGGATTCGTGCGCGATGCGTGGATGCTGGAGCTCCACAAAATAGCAGAAGACGACGGGGCAAATCCGATCTCGCGGCTCCCAGGTGTTGCATTGAGGGCGTCATTGCTGAAGCTGCTAGCTGCTAATGCCCAGTTACGGCTGTTTATAAGTGCAGTTAGAAGCGCATGCGCGTCATGATGCGCTTTGTGGCTGTGGCTTTCTTCCCGATACATTTCCTGGTTCAGGCGCGTGCCTTGATGCAGTGCTCGCTCTCCTTCCGCTGGCATCAGGTGCTCAGAGAAGGGCGCTCATGGAGCTGGCGATGCAGCTTGTTCGGTGAGTGCCGAAGTCTTTTCTCCAACTTGGCAAACCGTGTTAGCTAGACTCCAATGCCGTCGAAACTCAGCTCCATCAGTGCACAATCGAACTCCTCAACACGAGGCATCTCTGCCCCTCCGCGGAGACGTCAGGCATGCGCCCGTTCGCTGCGTGCTGGCGTCCTTCTGCATGACTCAACATCGCAGCAACTTCAGTCCTGGCTGCAGAAACGCGCTTTTCCCCCTGTGGCGTTGCTGGTGCGCATAATTCTGCATCCTGCAGTCCTCCTGCCACGGGGGGGCGTAGAAACTTGGTCCTTTATGCGGAGCTATGATTGCATGTGCAGACGGGGGAACTGGAAGCTTAGGATTGCGTTTCTAGGCGCTATGGGCGCCATCATCACATCGGAGGAAGTGGCGCTTGTTGTAAGTGCATCCTACTGAGCTTATACAGCCACTGGTTCAGCGTTGCTCCCACAAAAGAGGCTGCACTGCCTCTACCCGTTCTATTCGCCCTCTGGCAAGTGCGTCTTCGCGTGGTTTCCATTCCTTTCCGACGATTGCAGTCCCCCATGATCCTTAGTGAGGAGTTTGTCAAAGATGAAGACGGAGATGACTGCTGGCGCATTCATGCAGCCATCGCGCAACAGCTCCCTGTGTTGATGCGGGCCAGGGTGAGACACACTTTCCTGTACGTGCTCTCTCTTGAAGGCAGGCAAAACCTCCGCCTCATGCTTGCATGCAGATGGTTTCAGAGACACCCCACCGCTACTCCGCTCGACCCTGTCAGTTGCATTCTTGTTCCACGCGTGTGGAAGTCTTTGCAAAACGTGTGTCCTCTGGGTGTCTCAGTTCGAAAAGCAAGAGGGTGAAGCCTGGTGGCGGCGTTGCAGCGAACTGCTTCTGCACTCCGGTAAGGATGAACTGAAGGTTGCTGCTCGTGCTGGTAGCGTTTCGCCATCGAAGCAGGCGAGGCTGTGCTTCCACCCAAGCGTTTGTTCGAAGCAACGACTGCTCCGCATGCGTGCCTTTTCTTTAGCGGCGGCCCACGGCACACACAGTCTGCCCATGCAGGATCGGAATGCTGAATTCGCATGTTTAGATGAGAGTCTGTGACCACTGTGGGTTTGCAGCTTGGGCAGTTCGGCAAGAAGCAGGTTTTGCACTCCCATCGCTTCTAAAAGTAGGTCTGTATCCCGTGTTCGTGTGCATCCGGAAGGCTGCTACTCAGAATGGGGTCCGTTCTCCTTGGTATTTTTCCAAAGAGCAGGCGTGCGAAGGAGGCCTAGTAGAGCATCAACGGTCGCTAGCCCGTCTGCCTGCTATTCACGCTGTTGTGTTGTCTGTGAGCAGCTCGAAAACGAAGAACATCACGCAAGGGAGCAAGCGAGCGTTGCGCCAGAGTGCCGCGTCTTTAGGGCGCTTCAGCAAGTAGCAGCCTGCAAGAATGCCTTCATTCGGCAGGATCTGGCGTTCTATTTGCATGTAGGCTCACGAAGCCTCTCAAGTCACCTCGACCAGTTCATCCCTGCCCCAGTGCAGTCCGAGGCTGCACTTTCAACGGCATGCAGCGGCTGTGGTCAGCCGGGTGTGGGCGCTCCTCTCTGTTTGATTGCAGCAAATCTGGAGCATTCTGCCTCCAGAAAGAGTGCCGACCCTAGCCTTGCCGTTGCTACAGTGCTTGCTGGAAGACTCAGCGCCGTGCTGCAGGTTTGTCGATGCGCCTGTCTACTGAGGGCTCTCCCATAGAATGTGCCCTACTGCCCAGCTAAGAACACAAAGTGCACGAACCTGGCTTGCGTAGATCTGGGTAAGAACTACCTCATGGAGTTCTGTTCCAAATGCAGATTTGATGGGCGACTTGAACTTCCTCGTATGTCTTTTGTTTGGATTCACACAGGCTAGCTCTCGCAAAACTTCTGCACATACTTTATAAACAGAAGCGGCAAGACAATCTAGATTTCCCGGTAAGCAAACTTGCCTTTCTGCCACTGTGTCTGGCTAGGAGGCACCTATCCACAGGTAGAGGCTATTAAATGGTCTGCATAATCACTTACTCTGCTATCCCCGTCAGAGTGAGCTGAGCCACATGCTGGAAGAGTTATCATGCGACAAATCCATCGTTGTACGGGAAGAAGTGTCGAGCCATCGTCAGGACATTCTCGAGCCATCCAATGCCTATACAATAAACTAATGATTGGGGAAGACTGAGAAGAAATTCATTAGTGGCGGGATGTCTCACGCTCTCAAGTCGTACCGCAGCCTTGGCTACGAAGCCTTCTAGACTACTTATCACTCAGTCAGACATGTATGGATATCTTTTGGATTCAACAGCCGCTGTGGTTCTTGAATTATTCCCTCATAAGCCATACACCCTCTGTGCTGCGCTCCGTCTGAGGTCTTCGCGGGCAGACATTTCACTACATAATCACTAAAACTGAACAAAAAATTATCGAGCATTTTTCAAAGAGTACCTCTTTACCCGACCGCGCCCGTCAGGGTTATGAGATGGGTGTACAGGGCCAGGTAGAATGCACTTGGCTGCACTCAATTAGGCACTCCGAACATCCTCAGCTAGTCGTGTGCAGCATATACCGCACACGCGCAAATTGTTGAGCTTTGTTGTATTGAGCTAGAGCTTTCCCCGCAGAAATCATGATATTCTAATAAGCAAAACAACTAGTTGGTATTGATAAATTCTCAATTCATTATTTCTAGCTGTTGCAAAAAGTGTCTGGATGTATCTTAGCCCACTGCATAGTTGCGCAAGTAATCTTCACCGCTTATGGAGAAGTATGGTAGATCTTCCTTAGACATTAGATGCCTAGAGCGACCCAGCCATTCGTGTACTGCACTTCGAAGTCTCACTTTCCTTCCACGCACCACATAGGGAGCAGGTGTTGCGCCGTTTTGCCATACGCAATTCGAAAGCTTTCAACCTTACCAGCCTCATGGCTATGACCGTTTTTCGTATTTCTGTGCTAGTTAGTGTCTATGCGTCACGGAGGCCCGTCATTGATTCCGGAGGAGCCCGCTCCATAAATGTATTCACCAGCTGCTGTCAAAACTAGATGGCGATAGCAAAGCTGCACTGCTCGCTTCTCTATGGGGGAACAAAGCATAGCTCTGAATCACTTAAGTCGCGTATATTGAATCAGAAACTCTGAAACCGCACCAATACCCAAGGCCAGTGTCCAAAGCAACCCTTGTCATACGTAGCTCCTGGCACGTTGCTGATGCAAGGTCATGCTTTCTAGGCTGTCGTTAGGCGACGGTAAGACAAAAACTACATTTGATCTTCCCCTACGCCACATTGAGTGAAATATCACTGTTCATGTCGTTTCAATGCTGTTGGGATTCGAAGTACCGTTGCATGTTCCCCCAGATGTGTTTAGGAGCTTTCCACACGATGCATGCACGAGCTGGCAGCAGCCACAGTGCTCCTGGTGTGAAAGATGCTTTATCTGCATCATTTCCGAAAAAGGAAGTCATATAATGACCGAAATAAGCGGCAGTCTTACCTGAAATTACAGACAATGTTGGATCTGTGATTCTACCCTTGCCCAGCGCATGGGACAAACACTGTGTCTTCTAGAAGTACGAGGGTTGTTTCAAACTGGTCGTAGGGTGTTTTCTTCTCCATTACAGGGCTGCTTCTTCTGGCCCAGCAGGATTACTGTACATTTGCGTTCCATGCGAGTCAGGCATCCCAGCTCGCACTTTGCCGTGCACCGCGTTGAGACTTGAAGTGTCGGGGAGCCTCCGCATTTCTGTACACGTGTCTTATCACAGCCCGTTTTCGTGTCTGCGCTAATTGTGGTTTTCTCGGGGGATAGGACGCTGAGCTTGCAAGGCATTGCGTTGTACAGCTGCTGCACAACTCAGCTTATGTCTTGCGATGTGCACGGCCGTTCGCTTCTTGCCAGATCTCATAACGTTTGCTCGTCGGTCGAGCTAAATTCGCTCAGGGAGGCCCAACACTCGTGGGTGTGAGCACAATGGCCGATACTCCACCGGGATATGGTTTGTCTGAGTTGTACCCGCAGTGCGTGGCTCTTCGAAAGGAGCTGGACGCACTGCTGCTAGCGATATCCTCTCCCCCAACACCACAGGCCCTGGCCACCTCCGCAGCTGGCTGTGCGGGTGCCAGTGCAGGTGGCGTGTATGGAAGGCCTAGTGGAAGTTCTAGCAGGGAAGATCGTAATGGTGCCTGCACTTCTGTAGCAAAACTACAACGGTTCTCGGCCCTTACGCGCCAGTTTTGCATGTCGGTTCTTAGGCTACAGGAGGCGCTAGCGTCTGCAAAGTCCAATCAGATGTCGCGCAGCGTGCATTCAATGTGGGATCGAAGGGTTCAGGATTTGCTAGCAGATGCGGAAAGTTTCCGGAGAGAAGCCGAAGGCCGAATGAACTTAGAGCAACAGCGAGTTGAGGACGCAATGAGGGAAAGAAAAGCTCTTCTTGGGGAGGCAAGCGGTAGCAAGAGGTGGGGTGACCTGCGAAATACAGAACTCATGTATGCTAGGGAACGGGATAAACTACAGGAGTCCAGCAAAATGCTGGATTCCGTGCTTGCTCAAGGATGGAGCATTGTGGGGCAATTAGTATCTCAAAATTCATCGTTGAAGAGCGCAAGACGGAAAGTTCTCGATATGGCCAGCAGTGCAGGAGTGGCATCCACTCTTTTAGGCGCAGTGGTTCGAAGGCAACAAGGGGATAAATGGCTTGTGTACGGGGGCATGATTGTAACCCTAATCTTTTTTTTCATGGTGTATAGACTCTTCCACTATGGGAGCATTTTTAGCTTGGCCACCAGTCCAACTGACGCGGCAGAAGAGAGCGGTTTCAGTGAAGTGGATATGTCATGGTAACACCAAAGCTGAAAATTCCTGTTGCCCACGCTGGCGGAGTGCGGAGTGGATCGGGCTTGCAGCCTAGCCTGCACAAGTGTGTGAGACTGAATTTTTGCTCCAGATCCCGTTTTTGATTATTTAGTTCCGCTATGCTTTTGATTAACTGCTTTGGGGCTAACATATATGCTCTACCCGTCACGCTGCCCTCTAGTTGGCCCCCTGCCGATCCGTGCAGTACGTGGTGCAGGATTTTGCGACGGCTTGCCAACGCCCATGCTTCAACTATCAGCGATCATTCAGAACCCTGAGGCTGAGTATATAGAGAGGAAGTGCTACATCTTCAAGTGGTAAAGGCCCACGACACTTTCTTCTGCTGTGGGTTATGAGGGTGCGCTAGAGTGAATACACACGAGCAAAATGCTTGATTCGCTGTAACATTCAAACTAAGTTTCTTTTCTTGAAGGCTATCGTCAATGCTATCCAATTAGTGGGGGAAACATCTAGCTCAAGCTCGGAATGGCAGCTGCTACGACAATCTGTGGGAAGGCCAAGCATCTTTGCAGCAACAGAGGCTTCTTCATTCTCTGGGTTTCCTCGATTAACGGAATATTTGAGGAAGTCGTGATGGTGGCATTTCACTTTCAGCTTTATATGAGGCTACAAAGGCCACGTAGGTGCCAGACCGCTAGTCTCTGTCGTGGTTTTCAACTTGTACTAGATCATGACGTGTGCAACTCCCCATCTAGGGCCTCAGGGGAAATACACTTGACTCCAAACTCAATACAAACTAGATAGAAAGGTATTGAGTATATGCAAAAGAAACCTATCCTTCCCCTGACTGTACTGTTTGAAGTGTCGAAGTAGAGGTAGGGGGCCAAACACGACGCGCTGAGCTGCATCCTCCAAATACTCTGGGCATTCACAGCCAGTTATCACTTGCATCTTGCGTACATGCGCACAACAGTGCCTCTTGTTTTATCTAGCTAAAGCTTCTACGCAAGTACGCAGGATGTATGAACAGAGAAACCAATTACTGAATGTCCTGCTCACTCTATGCATTATAGCTAATGTAGTGCGAAGTGCCTACGCGTAGCTTCGCTCGTTACCGTGTGGGTGACGTTACCACTTCGGCTCTGTCCGCTAATAAAATAGGCGCCATCATTGCTAACTCAATGCTAAATTGATGGCTTGAGCTGAATGTCGCTGCATAGTAGCAGCCTACACTACATGATAGGCAATGGTCTTGCACTTGCGCATCCCTCAGGTGAGCCTGTAAAGGAGTGCAGCATGCTGCCCGAGGCGATAATTACGGCCAGGAACAGTGCTGTCAAGGACAAAAATACCTTTGTTTGGTCAGACAAGGCTCACAAGTAGGACGCTTCTTGGGTGGGTAGCAACTTTGTTCTTCAGTTTCTTCGCGCAGCAGGAGTTTTCAATTGGACAGCAGTGCCGCTGGGTAGAATAGGTTGGTTCACTGCTAGGGAAAGGTACTCAACTTCCTTCCTGCCTGCTTATAAATAGAGGATATAAACAGGTGCACTTATCAGGATATTGGCTCGGAATATGCTATGCATCAAAGAAGTGAGGAGACGAAATGCGTAGAGCTCGACTGAGCCAGCATGCCAGCAATGCTACACCAGAAGGGCTCCGTTACACTTCTTCTAGAAAAGAGCCTGGTTAAATAAATTAAAGCCGTATCTATATGCAGAAACTAGCCAAGTAGAATCTAAGGAACCACTGAAGTGCAGGATTTCATGTGTTCTGTTAACGTGCTTCAATGCCCGTGGACCTCGCCAGTTGCACCCTCCCTAGGGGAATATGGGGGCATTACAGCTATAATGGGTAATGTTCGGTATTTTATAATTGTATAGCCTTGCTTTCGTCGTAAACACGTGGGTTTGGTGTTTCTGGACGAGGTTGCTTATCTGCTGCCAGTAATCACACCTGGGATGGGCCAATGCTGCACGGCGACCCCCCAGGCGTTAGTGTCCCAACCCGGAAGAACGATTCAGTAAAGATGGCATTTTCAATCACACAGATACCACGGCAAATACTTGCTTTGTCATGGAATTCACCGGATTCCTTCCGTATATCCATTGTTTCTCATCGTAACCCCTTGTAGCTGTTCTTTCGGTTGACTGAACGGATGAAGCGCTCGCAAATCCACAGCCAACGAATTTTTCCAGTAGCACCACAGCACTCATGAAATTGAAGAGATGACCAGGTTATTGACTAGAGGAGGCCTTTCGAGACTAATGCTACGAATAGCCCCCCGCGTGTGCCCACTGGTTTTCTTTCTTTCTGCTCTTGGAGGGTATATTCCCACCGCATCCCTTCATGAGGCTTTGCCTGACGCAGCTCCCTCCGAAGATTATTTAAATAGACGCTATACAACTCTTGTGACTTCACAAGTTTCTGGACTGTCCTCCTCTGAATACGATGTTTCAACAGAAGGGGACGATACCCATCTTCAGGATGTAAAGGAAGGGCCTGGGCATGATGTAAGCAGCTTTGCCACTATTCAGAACGAACAAGGACTCGAAGAGGCATTAAAGAGTCAAGACACAACAGCTGAATCCTTTGAAGGGCCACCAACAAAAAGAAAAAGCAACCTTCGACTGGGGGATCTGTCAGAACTGCACCAAAAACCAAAACTATCGCACACCGAAGAAAGCAATGAAAACGGACCCAAGCCTTATACATCTTTGCCTAAACATCTTAATGATTGGGAAGTCGAAAGCCATAATTCATCGGATTTTTCTTTATCAGGGGCGGACACGAAAGAGTATGAAAGGGCGGCTCCACGTGGCGGCTCCATCCAGAGCCAGTTCCACAACCAATCAGCAGCACCTGCTGGCGAAAATGACATGCAGTACGGCTCGCAAGTTGATGAGAGCGCGGACAGGCGAATGGCTATCGAAACTGTTCTTAGTGTCGCTGATACTGGCAGCAGCATATCCATACCCTCTCCTCTGGCGTACAGCCTATTATATCGGACAAGAGATATTACGAACCCACTGAACCTTGCCAACTTTCTGGCAGAGGGGCAAGAGTGGCTTATTCCAGGTAAGGGCAGCCTCTGGGAAGGACTTGGTCGTCGCGTGGATTCACTATTTTCGGGCTTGTTTTTGAGGACAGCGAGCGTTCTACCAAACTACAAACGGAATGTGATTATATGCTACAAGGAATACAAGCCATCCATGTGGATAGAGATGTTTGGTCACAGAAACCAGTTCCTTAGGCAGCTTGCTTCTCTCTTCCAAGGCACACACCGTATGCAATCCGTTTACCTTCGCAATCTGGGAATGGAGATATTTGAAGTACCTCCTCTGTGGCGCATTGGAGAATTTGTTGCCAAGGTGTTGAAGCTGAAGAATTTCGTGAGCCACGTGTACACTGACCACATGGTAAGTGATTTTGATACCGAAGTGCAACTGCCTTTGCTTGATTCGGATCAATCTCATGAAGAGGGACAGGTGCGCGTGAGCCAGGAGCGTGACAGCCCAACCGACTCGACGCAACATGGCACCGATAGCCAGAACCGCGCGCCTAACCGCCGGCTGGAGGTCATGACAAATGATCCCTATACGTGGCAACAGTGGGCCATTGTGGATAGTGGACCAACAAGGTGGGGGATCGAAGCTCCTAATGCCTGGGATGTTTGGACAGGTAGGATTTCGGGCAAACTGTGCTCAGCACGTTGGGCAGGATTTCACATGCGCAGGCCGACTGGACACGTTGTGAAAAGGCACGGTAGGTATCAACATCTGAACTTAGCGTGCTATGGATTGCTAAAGCTGTGTGCGCGCTGTAAAAATCAGGCCTGGGAGTCAAACCCCGATTCACAGTGGCTGTCATAGACAGCGGCGTAGACTACGAGCATCCTGATTTAAAGAACCAAATATGGCGAAATCCTGAGGAGATATGTGGGAATGGCCTAGATGATGATTTTAATGGCTTCGTGGATGACTGTGTTGGATGGGTAAGCTGAACTAATACATTGGTGTGCTCACACTGAAGCTACTGGAACTATGAAAGTTAGTCTTCAGTTTCTTGAATACGTCAGAAAACGCGTTGTACCGTGCACAGATATGCGTTTCTGCCACAGGATTTTGTAAACGGAACAAATTTGCCGATGGATGAAAACGGTCATGGTACAGCCTCTGCAGGCATCATTGCTTCCGAGCCGAATAACGGCATTGGGCTAACTGGCGTATGCTGGGGGTGCGATATTCTGGTCCTTAAGGCTCTCAACGAGGAAATAAAAGGAACCATAAGCGCATTTGCCAGGTCGCTCGACTACGCTATTGGTAAAGGAATTAAGCTTTCAAACAACAGTTACGGAGGGAGAGGTAGTGGCTTCAAGGGCCTACAAGAGGCAGTTCAGCGAGCCCGACAAGCAGGGATGATTGTGGTAGCGGCTGCAGGGAACTACAATGGCAATAATGACAACGACAAGTGAATCAGCGCCCTCATGGCAGACAGTAATCTCGGTCGCTTGTTGAACTGATTCCTAAGTGTATGATCACACGCGACAAAAACTCGTAATTCATATAATCTGTGGTGCTATTTGTGCAGGCAACCGGTTTTTCCAGCATCCTACGACCTCGATAACGTCGTATCTGTTGCTGCCATCAGTCGCAACGGGCAGCTAGCGCCTTTCAGTAGCTATGGCAGGAAGCAGGTGGACGTAGCAGCGCCAGGAGCCAACATCATGGCAACGTCAGCTAGGAGAAGCTACCGGTCCGTGAGTGGTACCAGCTTCGCTGTTCCAATGGTGACAGGCACCATCGCCCTTCTTTGGACCCGTCGACCCCACCTAAATTATCGACAGGTCATACAAAGACTGCTACGAAGCGTGAAGAAGAACCCTTACCTTGAAGGTAGGTAGAAAACTGCTATCCTTGGATTATCTGGAATATCAGCCGTAAAATAATTTCTTAAGGCATCAGGAGGACAAAGCGGCAGCAAACAAAAAAGCGCAACGAGCTCAATCTACCGCCATGATGAGTTTACTTAGGAGTACACACGGGATGCTGTCTCTATGCTCGCATACGAGTGCGTCAATATTTCATGATGAGCCATAGGCCAGACCGCATCTACGTGCTGCGCATTGCAGGGCTGATCGCTACTGGAGGCACTGTTGACGCATGGAGTACACTTGCAAAGGAAGACACACTAGACCCGTATGCAGCCCGCCCTGTTCTTCCCATGACGTGTGCTACAGCTTCATGCAGCCCGCACGCGACGTGTACAGATGCTCAAGGAAGAGCAAAATGTGTGTGCAATCGTGGATTCGAAGGGGACGGAAAGGTGTGCGTGGACATCGACGAGTGCATATTTAGTCCATGTGGGCCTGCATCCGTGTGCGTTAACACAGTGGGCAGCTATCAGTGCAAGTGCCGTCGGGGATTCCAGCAGACTCAGGAAACGTGTATAGATATCGACGAATGCAGCCTCGGCCTACAAAATCTAATCCCATCACCTTGTCCATTGCAAGCCCAATGCTGCAACTTCAGCGGAACTTTTGACTGCATATGCCCAATTGGCACCGTGTGGAATGGTGTATCTGGACCTTCTGCGCAATGCCTAAGAATAAGTAAGATGAAACCAAGTAGAGTGCCGATGAACAGGAAGAAACTCCTGCGCCTTTGTGTTTGGTGAATGAAAAACACAGTACCCCAAGAGAGCTAGGCGGCGCACGGACCAATTAATTCAAAACATGCGCTGTATGAGTATTACAAGTGCCTTCGACGATTGTTGCATCCAACTTCAATAGTGTAGTTGGGGCGGCACCTCCATAAGAGTGCCTTCCAACACATGCACGCGCTCATTCTCCCATATGTTTCCAACTTTGCACTGGCCAATTTCTCAGGCTCACCAAGCCGTGGTCCGTGTACAGGGAACGGGGGCTGTGGAGTCAACGCCCTGTGTCAAGCGCTCCTTACCCCGGAACCTCTGCGAACATGTAGCTGTACAAGTGGATTCAAGTCTTTGCGCTTAAATAGCAAGGAGATTGCCATGGCCATGGCAAAGTCCCACATGAGTTCCTTCGACAACACAGTATGCATTCGTGAGGATATTCTGCCGGAGGAACAAGCATATTATCTCGTAACTATGCACCGAGAGCGCCTGCGGCACTTGCGAGAGCCGACTGCAAGCCGCACTGTCACGGGACGCAGTGTGCAAACTACACCCCAATCTTTAGGATTGCCTGGGTCTGGACTACTTAACGAGCAGAATCTTACCCCGTCTTATGGTACATACATCCCAACTCCCCTTACATCCGGGTTGACTAACCGATCATGGTCTACGTCTACTCCTACCTCGTTACAGCCTGGGCCACATGCCAGCATGCCGTACCGTGGCTCTGCCCCGCAGTTCCCCGTTGTAGCACTTCCAACAACCGCAGGCACTAAAGCAAGTACTGCTCCAGAAAGACCGCGGATGGCATCCTTGGCAAGAGCTTCCTGTTTGCTGGGAGTGTGTTTTCCGTAGAACTACGCGTTGCATAGCGAGAAGTGGCTCCCCAACGTCCCATGAATCTTAAATGAGTCTGTGAGGTTGCGTCACTGGATAAAATGGCTTTATTTTGCAGCTGGTCGGCGAAATGACTGGCTCAGGCCACCCCCTACTCTCTGCGAAAGCGTCATTGACAACAGAAGCACCTGTCGGTCCCAGAGCGTCCAACGAATATTTCCGTTTTCCGCGTGGAGAGGTAGAGCAACATTCAGCTGCACTCATAGAATAATACATTCTGCTTCTTTGTGGCACCGTTGCACCTACCCTAGGCCCGTCCTCGGGATACCAGTGTATCGTCGCGCCATGCTGTTGAAGCGTCTGTTTGAAGGCTGGGTAATGTGATGTTTGTTCGTTTTTCCTCATGTACCCAAAGTAGAAAATATCGCACACACAGGAAAACTTATCGTGTCTCATTGCCAATGCTTTTATTCTTTCTGTTCCAAATGGAGTACATGTGCAAACGCTCGAGTACTGGCATTCGGGTTATCGGAGGCACCAGGTTGCCCAGTCGGTTTAATCGTGTGGTTCTTGCATAACAGCCCCAACAAAACTCTTTACATTGAGTTTTTCCGGAGCTTACCTGCCTACAACATTTTACTGCATTAGCCAATCCACAGCTACCTACGCCCTCACAAATTCTCGGCCAGTTTCTTTTCGTTCCGCGTCGAGACCGAACAAACCGCTTGTTCGTACGTTGCTAAGTATAGCCCTTTACCCTGCCTATCCACCTCTTGAAAGAATCAGTTGACTGATTGCAATCAAGCAGCTTGGTGGTGCCAACAAAGTGGTTGCGCTCCTCTAAGGAATCGGTTTGTAATGGCGCAACGGCGAACATCGAGGTCGGCTGCGGTACGCCCCAAACCCCAATCCATTGGCTAGACACACTTGCAATCTACTCTGCCATGATACAATCAAAAGCAACATGATGTCTTTTGCGTAACTTGTGGGGAAAGTGCTTCCCTCGACGCTGTCACGCAGCTTGGGGTCACCCTTTGGTGCCGGTCCGTGGAGCAGGAGGGCAGGGGTTTCATGTAAGATCTTGTCCCGCCTTGAAATGATTGTGTTTTCGTACTTCTTTATACATCACCAGGTATTTTTCTGCTGTGATAAGCAACAGAAACAAGGTGATTTGCCTCTAGGAAGCGAAAATTTCCTTCGTGCTAATTTCTTGCTGCTTCCCCTCCATCCACCAAAGGACAGTTACTGAAGCCAATTTCCTGAACTGGATGCACAAAAAGCCTTCAGGGAACAGTGATAATCTCATGCTTGCTCACATTGACTGTCTCAGCGGCAAAAGGTGCCACATTTCGAACCGGGCCTGTTTGTGGCCATTGGGACGCTGTGGGCGGCTTTCATAAAGCAACGGCTACTGCGCATTGAAACTCTTTGTAAAAAAGCCACCGGTAACACTATATGCAGTTAAATGTATAGCTAAATATGTCAGAGGCACGCGTGCAACACCTTCTACGCCTCATTGACGAGTGCCGTCCAGTCCAACAAGGATCTGACCATTATCTGGCCTCAAGGAGGCTGGAACTGGCATACCGCGAAATATGTTCGCTGGCAGAAACATCGTTGATCGACCTCAGTGCTGGTAAGCTCTCACTACTGGCACTGGAAAGAAACTCAACTAGTTTTTTTGTCAGTTTTCAGGAGGCCCCACATAATCCAGACTGTACGATTCCCACTCCCCATGTACTTTATCCACCACAGCAAGTCTCATAGGCAAATCAGATAGATTCTACACGCCATTTTCGTTCCAAAGTTCCTCCCAGGCGGGCAAAAGCAAGCCCTCAGTGCCGTTTCGTGGCTCTGGCTTTCCGTTTAACTTTCTCCAGAGATGGTACTTGCATTTTGCATGCACGCCTGCGGACAAGGCCACCTAGAAAAGGCAATAAGTGTTTTTCAGGTTAGCTACTTTAGTGATGCATTTTTGACAGAGATGAAAGCATAGCTAAGAGCTGCAGTAATTTGGAGTGGCGCCGCCGAGGATCATGTCACAAGCGTGTCCAATTTGTTATTTTTCTATTCATGGCCAGCTATTCGACAAAGTTGGAGGTCAAACGCTACACACACAAGCTTATGGACTGCTTGTTCGGTGCGTTATTATGTTCGTATGTTGGTTGACTGATTTTTTAATCTTGCAATATGACTCAGCTGAGTCTCTGGTATTCTTGTACTGGACAGCTAACTGTAAGATACGTAAATGTCTATCGTCAGTGCTTTCTCCAAGCTTGATCCTAGGTGATTGCGCTCCAGAAAAAGGCTTTGTTTGCGTCTCAGAGCGTTTCTAGGCACACGTTACTCTCACTTTGCAGGCGCCAGAGGGGTGGCGCTCTTGGAACAGCATGTCAATGCCCTCAGCTTCATAGAAAAGGCCCTTATGATTGCAAACGAAGAGCCAAATTTATTTCCGTATGAATATTTGCGTTAAACAAAATCAGTTCTCGTTGTTTGAACGCTCCCTTTGGCAGCTACATGGTATTCCACGGGTGAAAAAGCGCCCAAACGATCCATCCAGTGGCACACCAACTCCACTAATACCTTGTGGAGAAGCAAGCAGTACACTCTACATCTTACACGCGCATTAAATTTTTGCAGTGCGCAAAACATCACTAGAGACGCTTACTGAAGGCGTGCAACTCGTTTTCATGCAGTCTGAGGATTTTCAAACAGCATGCCCTGAAAGTGCTTCTCGCTCACGTACGGCCTTTCATGAGGTCATCCTGGGCTAGGAATTTCTGCACCATTTTGGAGAGAATAATGCCATTGATACAGTAAGCACTCACAGGGCTTTGGCATGTGAAGGCCAGCAGCATGTCGCCCTCGGATATCCATTTATGAAATTTCCTTCGTGGATGTAGATCGCTTTTGTGCGGTGGAACCACTGAGAGGCGTTGCAGAGTTCAACAGATAGCAGAGCCGAAAGTCTCAGATAAGGTCCAGAAAGCGCCCAAAGCTGCGCCTGCGAAGCCTATTCCAGTCCAAGGCTTAGGCACGTTTGATCGACCCAGCGATGCAATGGAACTACAACTGCTCACTTCATTCCTTCTTCATGCAGCCTTTTGCTTTGAGGATGGAGGCAAGCTCCATAAAGCGCAAAAGGTAATATCAAGGCACCCTGTTGTGCTTTGCTCGAAGGTCTTACAGTACACACTTAAATTTGTAGCCTATGAAGCTTTCAATCGGTGGCTTCTGCTTTTGATCAACGAGTAACAAACACACGAGAGCCTTGAAAAGTCCGAAGTGTGGAGTTAGCGCTTTAGGCAATTGAAGATGCAACTCAAGTGTATACTGATGCCAAAGCTTCTCACGGGCACGAGCCTCAGTGGTGGAAGTGCCTGAGGCCTTTGGAGCGCAAGCTGGCGGTGTGAGCAGCAGCCATTCAGCTAGTGACTTTTCCTCGTTAATAAAGCATCTCCATGGGAACTTGAAGAAAAAAAGGTGGCGACTGTGGCGGTGGGAACACGTTTGGTGAATGCACAGAAAGACATATATCTGTGTGGATATTTCAGAGTTCACGGAAAAATTAGAGCACAGCACGACATTGCCGACCCTGTTCCAACGAAAGTTGAATCCCCTCCATGGATGTCTGCAGTAGAGACGGCAGTGTCACTTTGTTGCCGTGCTGAAAAGTTCTCCCTACCCTCGGCCTCAACGAGGTCGACAAAAGAATATTCAAGCCAAGCCAAGTCGGATTGTGCATTTAATGAATTAATAGCTTCGTGGGAACTTCTCGATTCTCATCTGCCGCAAACTGTGCGTAATGCATCCATCGGCAAGGGCTCACCAACACAGGTTGACACCGAGCTCGACCGTTTACATAATTCTATTGGGGATCTTCGGAAGTTTGAAGAAAACGAAGTTTATGCAGCTTACTTGTTAGCTAAGGCAGCTTTGACGCAGCGACTCTGGCTTCTTGCTAGGGCAATGTCAAAGTGCTTGGCTAGGTAATCTCGTTGTCACATAGATCCAGCGTAGTCGCTCCCCTAGCTGTGTGTGGCTTGGCGTCGATACTAACAGCCAGTACATGTGAATCCAAGACCCCTACAGGTGAGAGGGCTTCTGCGCCCATTGGATCGGATCTTTTTTTCGTTCAGGTGGCACACTGCAAGTAGGACTGGCGCAGCCCTCCTTAAACAAATCCTGGATATTGAGACATCGCTGCACTTGCACGAATTTCTCGAGGAACTCCAGCTCGAAAGCAATACCGACTCCTGTTCTCCCATGAAGCTACAGTTTTCTGGTGCTTCTTTGAATGAGCCACGCCCATTTTCAGAAGCCCGTTTGCAGGCTATCGGCCGCCTTGGCGAGTGCCTCACTTCTATGGAACACTCTGGCGAAAGCAGAGACCTTGTGGAAATCTGTATAGCTACGATGTGGAATGTCGCCAGGCCGTGTCTTGGCTCGGAATTTCGACATCTGATTTACAGAAACATCAAAAAGGTAAGCCACACAACTGAAGAGAGATCTTCTGACACGCGCATATCGTACATATACGTATATCCCTACGCTGCCCTCACCATAAGCGATATGATCTTGCACAGGCCAGTGACATACTAGAATGCTACCAGTCAAGCCAAATATCAGTCCGAGTGCAGCTTGCTCACCAGCTGGCTCAGTACGAGGTGGAGCAAGGGTTAGTAAATGCGGCGCGAGCATCCCTTGATAAGGCGTTGGTAGCTGAATGCAGGAACGCTTCCTGCAACGCCCCCAAACGTGAGCGTGCCGTTACTGGAAAACAGGCTAATGTTTCTACAATGGCCACAGTCGTTGCCTCCGCGAGCTCTATGGGCCCTGATTCAAGCATGATAGAGACAGCGGAGCTGCATTCACTCACTGTGTGCTTAGAACGAATGCACGAAACTGTAAGCATACTGGCGGGTGCCCCCGAAAGTTGCATTCCGACACTGCAGCTCCAACATCTGGTCTTCAATGCCAGAGGCGAGCGGTCACTTGAGAAGGTGATAAATAATGCAGACGATCTTCGTAGAAAAGCGCTGGAGCAGTTGGCAGACGAAGCAAGCAAATCCGACAGTTGTGTGGCAAGTGATGATTGTCAAGGCTCAGCCAAAAGGGCGCTTGGATCTTCAGAGCAAACGCATGCATCTGTCGTGCAAAAGCAGCCGATTTCTTGCAAGGGCGAAAGTACAGTGAAAAAACTAATACTGGCGTTTGGTCACTTGGTCAGCCGTGCTGTACAGATGGGCGACAACAATGCAACAGAGAGAGCTGCAAGCGCGCTCCTGTCCATGGTTCATGGAACTGAAGAATACTTGGATCTTTCACCCGAGGACGCTCAGTTTTGTGGGGATACTTCAAAAGCGGATCTGCGCATACGATTAGATCCACCGTTTGAAACGGAGGTAGCCGTGAGCGCCGTAGAAGCTGCATACGCACTGGTTAGTGCCAGAATTAACCAGGGCTCGAGCGGCTGAAGGAAAAAAACGCTCAAATCTGATTGCAACAAAAGGGCCGTATTTTGTTCAATTCAATGTGGTGTTCCAGGCCGTTTGCAGGAGCGCGAAAAAGCATGCGAGCTCCTTAAGAACCAGAGAAGCCCGTCGCGTCATGGCAGCTGCTGGAGATGGAGCCATTGGGTCTGAAGGACTGCTTTCTCTTTCAAAGACGAGTACGAGTGACTTAGAAGTGCAGCACGACAACTGGAAGATGCCCGAAGAGGGCCGAATCCAAGGCTTGTTGCTGTTCGGTTGCCGTGTAAGGTATGGAGACACGTTCGCTATGAGCTAGTTGTTCAGTACTTTCGCTGCACGACTTCAGGGCGTTGTCTTTGCAGTTCTTTACGCCAACAGCCAGCTGCACTGACAAGCAGCCTCTAGGGAGGTAGCGGGGGTGTATTCCAAGAATGGAGTTCCGAGGCATTGCATGTCTTCAGCGCGGCCTTTGGCCAAAAGTGGCTTGTCGTCAACGCTGCAGTGCACTCATGGAATATACACAAGGGAGTGCTGGCACGCATCGAGACACGAGTCCAAGAAATTGTTCGGCTTATGCCTTTCTTAAAAGAGATCTTCTATCAGCTGGTGGAACAGGCACCCTGTTCGCATGCGAGTGCCCTACAAACGTTCACCACGTTTTGCGCTCGTGCTGCCCTGGTATGTCGTTTCGTCGTTTTTTCCAGCAACCGCCACTTGCCTCTGCTCCGCAACTCAAGGAAGAGGCGGGTGCTGCAAAGAACTGCTTTTTGCGCGGGGTGATGCATCGCAGGCTATTGGTGACTTCGCCCTAGTTCAAGAATTTTGTGGCCGAGCCATTCCGCTCTGCCACGCCTCAAGTAGGAGAGCCATATTAGGTGCGTTGCTCCAGGATGTCATGCAACAAGGGCGAGTTGCGCAGCCTGTTCTGTTGCGTTTGTTTAAGTCCACGTCCTCTGCGGCTGCGGATCATGGAGGCGCGTCTGAAAGGGTTGGAAAGGCAAAGCAAGTGCGAGGACAGGTAGCTGCAACGACCGAAGGGCCAGCACAGGCGGCGATAACTCCGGACGTTATGGTGCTCCTTCAGATTGAGGTGAGAGTGCTGTCTCACTACCTGTCAATAACTTGGGGTTCTTTTGCAGCAGCTAAATGTCGTGCGTCAAACGCGTCACGGAGGTCACTTCTCGCAGCCCCTCCTGCTGCTGCTGCACTGCTTGATTTTTCCCGAGATTCGGGTGTGCTGAACTTTCCTGCCCCTCAGAAGGCGATGCTGGAACAGGACCCTGCTACACAAGAGCAGGTGCTACTCCAGTGCGGAGACGCGCTCGCTGTGGCGACTGGCGCTGTGACGTCGGCTGCTGCTGAGTCAACGGAGAGCGCTGCTGCAGTGAACTGCGAGTTGTGGACGCGTCTCGCGGGGGCGTCGCTTTCCACCAGCTCCGGCACCTTGAAGTGGCTGGCTGTAGGGTATGCCTACCAAGCGCTTGGACAAAATCATTGGGAAGTCCCCTATAAAATCATTTCGACGCCAAACCACCGGCTGCAGCAATGGAGAGGCATGGCGCACGCTTTCGCAGGGCTGGGCCTTCTTGCCGCGGATCTCACGTCGTAAGCAGCGTCATTCCCTCAACATAAGGTTGCATGCGCATGATTCAGCTTTTAAATTGCAAGCTGGGATTTAGCAAGTGTCTGAGCAGTGACGGTACCTAGCCACATTATTGAGAGTGGTTATTTGCTGTGCTAGGCCGGGACGAGTATTGGCTATGCGCCACCTCCACCAGGCCTGCAGATACGGGAAAGAGACACAGTGCACGCAGCTCCTTCTTTTTTCAGCGAAAGGATTATGTAACGTAGCCCTTTCAGGGGTACACGGTGAAATCGACAGGGAGGAGACATGCTCGGCTCTAAAAGACGTCCTCGACATGATTCCTGCCAGCTGCCGACCAGCCTCGATGCCTTTGCTGAGTCGCATGTACATGGGGCTGCTTTGGATCCTTTGTGCGAGCAAACGATGGGACGAGCTACTGCGCACAGCAAAGGCGGCAATGCTGCTGCTTCCCAAGGCTCTGCATGAGGCAATAGTGAAGCTGCAGATTTTCTCGCTTACCCGTACAGAACCACCCCATCTGCTTTCCGCGGTACGCGCCCTTATCAAGGGCGAAGCTTCCAGAGAAGCCGACTTGCTTCTTTGGTTTGCTCGGCTTGCACGCAAAAAATGCACCATGCAATCCATTGCACTGGAGGCGTACGACGGTGCCCTGAAGCTGCTCCAAGCAAACAAGGACCCCCAGGCGGTTTTAGTTCACCTAGAACTTGCAAAATGGTTCTTCAGCATGCGGCCCCCTCAATACCTAGCGAGCTCACACGTTTCGGCTGCAGCAAAACTAATAGAACTCTGTGCTAACAGCAGACACGTAAGGAAAAGACCCACACGAAACGGTCTGTAGCCAACCGCCTAGTTATTCTTAAGCCCTGGCTGGATACAAAATGCATCCTTTGGACACATTTGCTTGATACGCTTGTTTTACGAGCAGAGCTTGCTTCTATCACCCAGCCGGGATGCAGATAGTGAAGTTCAAAAGGCGTGGGAAGAGTCCGCAGCCGGCGTATTACGTCTTGAAGGGGTGTCGATACGGCTGGATCACTTGTTGCTCTTGCATACACAAACTGTTAGACTCCTTTCTTGTTCTGATGCCCCAACTACAGCAGAGGCACTGCGCCAAATCTTGGACGTATCCTCCCAAATGCTGACGCAATTTTCGCAGCAGACGCGAAACGCGGATAGCCAGTCCGAAGACCTCGTACAACAAGAAGGAGATGGCGGTGCTGAACGTGGTACTATGCTCAAAGAGGCAAGTGCCAGCCTGGTCGCATGCAAAGAGAGGAGCTTTTTACATAAATGCATATATAGTGCCCGTATCATCGGGCTGCTATGTGCTACATTGGATGGGCTGCATAAGGGACTTTAGGGCCTTGATCAGCAAACGATCAGCCCTACTTGCCCCATGGTATGATGGCCACACCCCAATGAATATGTGAGTTTGTGTATATGCAGCAAGACTCCCAAAACATGAATGCCGGAGTGGCTGCTGCCAGCCTATGCAACCCAATTTGCCTTAAGCGAGTTGATTCCACAGCTAAGTCAGTGACTCCTGCAGAATGTAGTACGCCAAACCAGCTACCCACTGCGCCTCCTGGTGAGGCATGTATGAGCAATCTCTTGGCATCCTGCATGCACTCTGACAGTGGAGAAACTCGAAAAGTGTCTCTCTGTTCCAATATCCTCGTCCTAGCCTTCCGCTCATTAGCAGAGCTGGAGGCCTTGCTTTTTGAGCTCGGGATGGAGGGCTGTGCTCTGCGGCTCACGCAATTACGCGCTCGAGTCACTGAAGCATTCTTAAAACTGTCCTTAGGATCGGCTGGTGGCAGTAGTGCAGCCAATGATATTGAAACCGTGCATCCAGCATTGTGCCTCCTCGAGGCGTCACTGAATATACAGCTCTTCAGAGCTGCTGTCGCTTGTGGGTGCCTGAGTGAGGCCCGAACATTGCGGTCGTACTTTTCGCCGCTGGCCATCCGCACATGGATAGCAAAGCTCGCTTCAGCAAGAGAAGGCAATATGGGGATATCAAGCATGCATGAACGGCAGGAACGCTGCTTCTCTGTGGTTACTGTAGACTGCACGTGCAGTCTTATTTCCCTTGGTGAGCTTCTGGTCACCCTTGGGGAACAATGTCTGCTCATTGGGGAGGTAGGCCTGAGTTCCTTATTGGGCCGCACTGCCTCTCTGTACATACCAAGGTCTGCCCGAGTCTTGAGACAGAGCAGCGATAGCCTCTTCGCTCGCAACGTTTCGCTACTGGCGCGATCACGGCTTCGCCAGGGGGACGTGAACGGCCCGCTGCCGTTGTTAGACACGATTGTTAGTGACGCGAACGAGTCCGAGCTTGAAGTGCCGCTAGCGCTCAATATTGCCGAAACACTTTGGGTAGGTTGCATCCTTTTTAATGCATTCAATCGAACCCACGAACACTGACGCACAAGGAGGCGCAACGCAAGTTATTGGGTTCCTTTAATTTCAATGCGTTCTATAGTGAAGGTGGGCAACACATTGATTTGACCTTTACTTCTGCGGAAGCGGAATGTGCATAAGCTTCGCACATAGTGCTAAATAAGAATGCGATTTTTGCCTGTAGATGTTCCATGTTGCCAAAGGCAGCTTGTCAAAAGCTCTGTTTATAGTCCGGCAGATCGAAACAGCCCTTCGCGAGCTGGCAACTGCCTCCTCCACAAGCACTGGTTTGGACACGAAAAATCTATGCCTAGACCTCGAAGCCGGCTCACAACCAGAATCGCCGCATTCCTCCCAGCCTGATACTACCAAAGCTAAATGTGCCAGCAGTGCTACGCCGCCAGTTATTCGGTCTCACGAGTTACCCTGTGGGAGACGCAGCTCACCTAAGGGGGCCCCTCAGTATCTTTTGCCTATACGAGTCTGCAAGCACCGTCTTACGGAGCTACAAGTAGAGCATATATTTTCACTGCATTGTCTTGGTTGGACTACTGAAGGAGGCGCCTTGCCGTTTAACTGGTTACCCGTGTTTCTGGAGGCTGTGGATCTATTAAATAGAGTATTAGATCCAACCGAAGACCCCGCATTGCCCTTGAAGCCATTACGGGCTTGTGCAGCGGGCTGCCTGCGAGGTACTCGGTTTCTAGGAGCTGCGATGCGATTTATGTGGTCATATAGAGAAAACTTTCATGCGAAGAGCTGGAAACGACGCAACATTGCCCTTGCACCAGCTCCAATGCCCCAGATTCCTCCACTTGTAACGCCGACGGACTTACAGAAGTGCATCGAAGCACTCCATCAACTTCTTGTAGTAAGCGCGTGAACTCGGTTTAATGCGTTGAGGCTACACACTGAATAGGAATCATCGATACAGGCGGAATGCTCATAAGGACACACTGTACAATCCAGCGTGCGCTACGACTTGGAGCTTCCTTGCTGGAATTGTATTCCATGCGTCTACAGAGAGCTCATCTGGAGTCAAAGATTGCTCTACAATTTATCGCTGCCCACAGCGACTTCAGTGGCGTTCAGCAGTCTGCCTTAGTATGGGCTGATATGATTGCTGTGGCACGTGCCCACTTGGTGTGCCTACGCCACCAACTTCAGCTGGCGACGCTGGAGTTGTCGCGAGCAGACCTGCATGAAGCACTTGAATGCTCAAGTCTCCAAACTCCAATTCCAAATGAGGCAGAACCAATCGCCGATAGTGGTGTGCTCATACTTGCAAGCACTTCAGCAGGGGGCAGGCCGCGCGAATTGCAGCAGTGGCTTTACGACAGCCAGTGCGAAGAAACTTTCTCGCCAGCCTACTGGAAGTCTGAGGAAGGGCGACTTACTGATGTGATCCAGGAACTGGAAGCTCTCGGCACGGTAGGCTTGAGTCGTTGCCTGCTTGACAAGCCGAGCAGATTCGGCGATGTGTGCAGCATGCCCTTACTCGACCTGCAGTGGCTATGCCAATATGCAATGGCAAAGCACAACCACCTCTCCCTACAAGGACGCAAAAGAATGCTTGACCAAGGGAAGAACTTGAATGAGGTGAGGATACACTACCTCAATCGTGGCTCGTTATGCGCCGTCGCACTTAGTTATCAGCGGGGTCAGCGAATGCTAAGGGAGATTCAGACAGCACAATTTTCCCATGACTGCGCAGCTATGCCCGTGGAAACCAGACGGAACCGAGCAAGGGGAACATCGCGAAATGCAGGTTGAAGACATACGAAGTGCTGTGGCTTTCGTGAGGAGCGACACTAAAGACTAGAGGAGCAGGAACTTAATATTCACGTCAGCCTAATTAGAACGCTTGGGCCTTACGCATGTGCGTCTGAGAAATGATCACGGCAGCGATTTTTCACGCGCTCTGTTATATCCCTGTTTGCAACCATCTGCTTCTCGCTAGGTAGAAAAAAATGCAAAGGGACAATCAAGGGCTTCAAATTATCTAGCCTCCGTAACAGCACTAGATTCGCGACAAGGCATCCGCCACTCACTTTGTTCCCCCGAGCTAGAAGAAGCATTTGCAGCTTCTGTTGCTGGTGGGCATCTCACTGAAGCAACACTTCTTGGCGAAGAGCTTATTCTTCACGTTTCGGGCAACAGGAATGGCGAGCAGCTGGATCGAACTTTTGCTACCATCGCTACTCTGCAGGCAGCGCGAGTTGCGCAGATCGGAAAGCTCTTGCATCTTCAACACATGAATCCACAGCTGACTGAAAGTGTTGCGGCACAAGAGCTTCGGATCCTTGCTGATTCTTACAAACATGCAAATGCCTTACCCCAATTTCAACCGATGAAAGCGTGAGGCACACACTACGAGTGAACAACTTTAGTCGCAGTCGAGCTATTGCTAGGCTGAAAATTTGCTTGTGAACTAATTTACAATAAACCTGTCACTTTTGTCATAGCGGCTACAAAGCGTTGTTGCCCTTTGTGTTCCCTCTCGAGGTAGAGCCTCTCAGTTTTGTTGCTGTGCTGGCTTCAGGCTGCTTGAATCCCAAAGTTCCTTCGGGCGAATGACCAACATTGCTGCCCCGTCTCCTTTGGCGATCCTTAATACGTGGTTACCCACCAATTGCTGCGTTGTGGCTCTCTATTGTGCCCGTGGATTTATTTTCCTAGCTGCAGCCAACCCACCTGTCCATGCAGACGGCTCTGCGTCTGCATGGAGGTTCTTCGTGGAACGGCGTGCCCTTCCAGAATGCATCTTGCTCGATGCCGGCGAAGCGGGGCAGTGCCTTTCCCCTCTTTGCAGAGAGAGCAAGTCAACACAAGCAGTGGGAGCTCCATATTCGCACAACGCCCGAGTTCATGCGCTGCTCAACGAATTGTTTGAAGCAATGGAAACGCAGCTGTTGCAGTGGTCCCTTGAGGACATGCTTGCTCAAGGGCAATCAGGGCCATGTAGCGAGTTACGAAGCCACCTGTTGCTGCTCCCCGATATGCATCTGTCACATTTCGCCTTTGAATGCTTGCCTGCACTCAAGAGGGTTTTCGGCTGTCGTATATTCAGAGATTTCAGCTTGCACATGTTTGCGCTCCGCATGAAAACTCATGACTCGTCTTCTTCTGTAGCTGCCCAGCTGAAAAGGACGGTTGTCAAGATGCACACTGGTTTTGCCAGAGACAAGCTAGTCCTGCTGCCAGAAGCTGTCCATTATTCACCCCTGCACAGTGTGGTTACTGGTGGATATCACACTCAAGAAGGAAAAGTTCAGCAGCCCCCACTGGCTGCTGAGGCTGGCTGCGGGGCAGCTACAGGCCTTGAGGCCTCAAAATCATGTACACGAAAGAAAACAGTATCGCCTCAAGCAACGCAACAAGACCGATACATGCATGACTGGCGTTCTACCGTTGCTGCGGAGCTTGCGGGTTTCCCGAAGTCTGGTTCCACGGATGGGAGCCCTGAAACGCCGCCTCGCAGTAACATCATTCCAGAATTGCTGTGTTCGAAGAACCCGCAAGCTGCGTGGGCATTATCTTTGGACAAGTTGGTTCTAAGGTACGAAGACCTTAATAGGGCTCTTGCCGGAATGGACCTGACACACCTGTCTCTTCTTGGTTTGCTTTCCTTGAGAGGAGTAGAGTCTGCTGGCAGCTCTGTTTCAGCCTCTCCACATGGTGTCTATCATAAGCAAAAAGCAGCGCCTATCTCCAAAGAAGTCGAAACGTTACTTCTGCTAAGTTTTAGGGGTGAGAAGATTTCCCTGTTTAACAAGGCTCAGTAACTAATTGGTTTGTGGCATGCGGAGAACTGTCCGAAATGAAGACCTGATGCACCCCTTTTGCCTTCCAGATGCAGACAGCTCTTATCGTAGACACACGAACTCAGGTGAAGCTCTCAACCCTGGAATGCTGAGTGTTTGGGAATGTGAACAGGGGTGGGAACGATTGTGGTCGCTGACGAGGCCCTCAGCGACCAGCAAAAGGCGGATCTGGCCAAACGTTTTTTGACTGAGGTGGCGGGTAGTCAGACAACAGTGTGTGCTGCTCTGTAGGTCAAAACAACGTGCATGTGTTCAGTCATAACAACGGCAAATACTAGCGCCAACGCCTCATTACCACCTGACATGCTTAATAGCCACTTGGGTTACAAGTTGGCTTTCCGCTCGCCATAAATAGCAGTACGATGCTCAAGCGGAGTATTGAACTGCCTGATTTATCTTATAAGCTTCTTGATCTGCTCAGAGAATCTCTCTGGAGTTCGCATGAGGAGAGCGGCCGAGTGCATACCACTAGGAAGCCCAATTCATCCACCAAGATGGATCCAACCGCGCACCCTAGTTCCACCTCTACGTGGGGTCCTGGATACAGGTTTGCAAATAAAAGGTTTGATACAAATGAGTTGGCGAGAGGCGTACGGATCTACGGGCTCCCTTGGATCAACCGCTTGGAGCCTCAGAGGACCGCGGTGAAACAAGAAACCCAAAAACCTTCGATGAAGAAAGACAGAAAGTGATGCCTCAAGAAGTTCCCGAAAGGAAAACATGCCCGAAGGCCTTTTGAACCGATTTTGCACGCTCTTTTGCTAGTGGCAGGAACGGAAAATCGGCACTTGCAGTCCGTACTGTAAATCCTTTGCCTGCCCTAGAAGTACGTGGCGACGTTTGAAACAAACCACCCTTCAGCGAGACATGCTAGTACACAGGGTTGCTGATACTCAGCTTTACTGGAAGAACATTTTATTTTCTTAGTGTTAAAAGGTTCGGCAGTAAATGTACGTCTTGCCAGAACAGGGTACTTCGTAGAGAGCCGTGCACGCTGAGCTGCAAATACGCTACTCAGCACCCAAATCACGCAAAGCTATATGCATTCATGCTAATTAGCGCAAAGTTAAAGACTAAAAAGGGTATCAGTTGAGGTGCTTTCTCGGTCATGTTGAGGGCTTCGTTCGACCGCCAGCCATCGGGCGCAAAGCAGGGAGTGTGTTTGGAGTTCGTATTTTCCCGGATCAACAGATATTTTAGTTGTGTTTAGCTCCTAATTAGAGAATTTAAGAAGAATTCATCGATCGGTGGCGGTGGGTGCCGCGCTTTTGATACCGCAAGCACGCAATAGAGAGAGTGGTCACAAGGTGCCCGCCCACTGGTGCGAGGCCAGAGACAGTAGGCCTGCCCTTTCTGAATGACAGGCTGATGCTGTTCCTTGAATAATCCTTAGGAAACAGTGAAACGTGAGTCATGAGGACGTGTCCACGTAGGTTGCGTTGTTGCGCGCGATGGGATTTGCTGCTTTTAGCAGGGAGTGGATGCGACACTTGAAGGATGTGGCATGGCCGTGCATGCGCTCACTCTGTGTCATATCTATGAATCCGACGGCTTAATTCCTTAAAAACAATTACATGGAAAATTAAATTCTATTTTTAGTTCAATTAGCATGGATGCATCTCTTGGTTTTAAGCAAAAGTGCTGACATTCGTCTTGACAAGTGGCTCAGTCCGTGAGAGACTTGCGGCGGCGTGCCTAACTGCGGGCTGCATCATCGAAGCTTTCACAGTGTTTCGTAGACTTCTTAGTATACGTTTGTCAACATAGTTTCGATGTGCTGTATTCAGAATAAATAACTCCATGAATCTCATGCGGGTTGCGTGTACAGTGACCAGCGGTCAGCGGAGCAGATGGTGGTAGTCGGTTGAGTATCCGTCATCTGCCTTCACATATTGCAAAAGGCATGGGTGTTGCGCTGGATCCATAACGCAGGCTTTCTCAATAATACAGCAAGCCTGAATTCCAATTTATGGAAGCGTGTACAGCGCTATATCTAGCAACATCACTTTGAGTCCCTCCATCCTGTGGAGGGTAGAAATGCTGGGTGCCGCTTGGCAAACACTCTCCCAGTGCTGCACTCGCCGCCAGCTGCACGATACACTACGGCAGCGGCAATACTACCAACGGACTGACTGCGAGCAGATAGATGAGCTTGCGTATCTCCTTAGGCGTCTTCAACAACCGTGCCCTGCGAAAAATGAAAATAACCTCGACCCCGTATCAAAATCCTGCTCTACAGTAGGTGAATGTTCTCAACCAACAAAGGGATCCGTCGTCATCGTTGAACAAGCACCAAAGGCATCAACTGCGTATTCTCCTGTGAGAGGCTCAGGATCTGATAGTTGGACTCCGCGTGAATCAGCAGAGGATGCTGTGTTTGGTAGGAGGAAGCTAACCCCTGAAGAGCACGTGCCAGGGAACACTTCTGCTTCAAGGAGCAGCAACGTACTGCAGCCTGGAGATTTTGAATCCCCCGCAGGCAATATAGAAAACGCACTGAGTCCAAGCTTTCTGCCGAGAGGGAACTTGGTGGTGTCCATTAGCAGAGACTTGCAGAAAGGTTCCCCTTCCTGCAGTGCACTCGGCCTTGTTGATCCGATCACGACTTGTACTTCCACGGCATTAGGAGGCGTTACAGATATTGAACCTGGAGAATCTAGTTTTGATTGTCTGAGCGACGACTTTTCTCCAGCCACGCCGAGTATTCCTGCACGGCTGGGAGACGACAATCGGAATCCACAAAGACACAGCGCTCAGTATGTCATGGACGATGAACCGTCGTCTGTAAGCGGGGGAGTGCACCGACAATTTTCGCGCTTCTGTGCTGCAGTTTCCTGGGGTTTTGAACGGGCAAGAACGCATGCATTCCCAGCTTTGGAATGCTTGTGGCACGCTGAAGAGCAAGATCGCCAGAGGGATACAAGCGAGCTATTTGGCGGATTCAAAAAAGGCCTATTGGCTTGGGACCCCAAAGCATCTCTAGATTCCTTGTGTTCGTCTAAATGGCGAATTGGAAAAACAGGCAGCCAAAGCATGGCTCCACCTGCTTTCGAGGAACAACAGCCTACGCAGGAACTGCATCAACACAATGCCAGCAGCAGCAGAGTGAACACGATTAACGCGCGCACAGCGATTGTGGCAAAAGGTTCCAACGCAACTTCACGGGCACTTCGGGTGGTCTCTCCCCACGAAGTCGACGACCATGCGTCTTTGCGCTCCGCTAATTCATCAGACACAGGCCTCAATCCTGCGTCAGGAGGAACGTTCAAGTCTTTTTGCGTCTTGGGAGCAACAGGAGGCTGCGAAGGGAGCCCTAGTTTCAGACGCAGGCCTATGATTTCACGACCGTCCAGCATGTGTGTAAACAACATGAAGCGTTTGCTTGGCACTGCTTCGCTTACGGGTGACTCGTTAGGTCGAAAATCTCACTGGTGCTCAGTTCTTAGGTCGGCGGTGGAGTCTGGAATCAAGTCTGCGCAGCAACTGCCGGGGAAACCGAAACAGCAAAAGCACCTCGAATATGTGCTGTTGATGCAGCTACTGCAACAACAGCAAAGAATGGTGCTGCTTCCCAGTTCTCTTAACGGCACCCAGCAGATCGGCGTTTGTCGCTCCGGAAACATGTGGCTGGGAGTTGTGGCTCAGGGCATTGGCTTTGAAGCCCCAGCGGCAGCAAACTTTGTAGCAGGAGAATTACTGAAGGTATGCGCACAGAAAAAACCCTTAGAATTTATTCCACCCCCCTCATATCTGTTGTGCTTTGCCCAAGATGCTATCCAATTTGGAGGCCCCATGTTGAATGCGCTCAGGAACTGCTTGGTCGTTGTGCAACGAGCCGCACTCCATTGAACGTGAAGCGCCTGGATGCAGAGACGGCAGAGCAATACATGCTTGACTCTTTTCATGGTAATTTGGGTGCTTTTGCGTGCTGCGCGTCTAAAAGCTGAATACTCGACAATGAACAGTGTAGCGTTTCGCCAAGGTTCCAAGCTTCTAGTGGAGGCATTCAAGGGTGCACCAACGAAAATTTCAGTGCGCTTGACTCATTTGCCTTCTTGTATTCCATGACGCACTGTGTGCAGCCGTTTCTACGGAGCTTCAGCTACAGCAAGCCCATGTCGGAGCCAACGATGGCAGTCCTTTGATCCGATTCGAACCACAGCAGGAGAATTACGAAGCGCGTGAATTACTTGAGAGTGCTCTTGAAGCCCGCACTGATCTGCAAACGCAGAAGTGGCTCATGAGACAAAAACATCTCAACCTGTCGAAGCGAGGAGGCAAGAAGGCCATGAGGGATGCTGGCCACAAATTCCAGGCACGAGGCAGATCATGCGGATTTGATAGCACGAGGAGCGGCGCTGTGGCATGTCAGTTTCTGTGGGACGCTGAACAACAGTTGTTGCTCGTTTGTCATACAGGAGATGTTAAAGCAATTTTAGCACACCCTGTTCAGGAGCGGCTGACTGCAGAGCGAATGGTGTCAGAGCATGCGGGCAAGCACGATTTTACCCACTTCACTGCACCTGCAGTGGCTGCAAGTAGGCCGTTTTTCAAACACCAACAGCCCTCACCGAATTTTCGAGGGCCAAATTCCAGCAGCGGTATTCTCAGTCACTCCTATGACTGCATCGTGCTCACCCGCGAGCACTCAATCCTGGATCGCGATGAGTGCAGGCGCCTTCAAGGAGCAGGTCAGTCTATTCAGTGTGCCTTTTTAAATAGTCGGTGGTCAGAAACGTACAACGCGTGCTTGGGGGCTGAAAAGAATGCGCTGTATCGCCAACATTTCCCTGCCTTCTGCTCCCGGCCATGAATACTGTGGACAGCTCACCGCTGTAGAATATTCGCAAGTACTTTATGCGTTGGACCTGTTTTTGTACTAAATTGAGTAATATGTGCCAGCCTCACACGGGCCCTGGACTGTTGCTATTGCTGATCTGTGCACGTGGTTGCGCTCTACCTCAGGAGTTTTCATGACTGCATTCCCAGCCAGCAGCGCCACCAGTTGTAATGAGGTCGCATTAGAGACTTCCTCTGCAGCTCAGTCCTCTCAATATCTTACTTTAAATGGATCTGCCTGTGACAATTCAAGCGAAAAGCCTGTAGAAGAGGGCCCATCGTTCTTCTGTCCTTGTCTACTAACTCCTCCATTATCAGTTACCAGAGCCTTAGGGCTCTGCGGTGGTCAACAGTTCGGGATAGCCACTACTCCGGATATAGCTACTGTTACATTAGGTGGGCCTCTCTACTCCATTAGCTTTTGTTTCCCTTGCAACAGACAACAGAATTACACGTACAGGTGAAACACGCAATAGCGCACACAGGTAGGGCAGGACTGGCGTGGGTGTTTTCTGCAGAGAATACCTTTGGACTTTCTTTTCTGATTGTGGCTACCAGCAGTTTCTGGAAGGTTGTTTCACCTCGAGAGGCAGTGAGATTGGTGGTGGCAGAGCTCTGGCAGCAGGAGAGTGAGCATCACGGTGAGAAGCCGCGACAAAGGCAGCGCGTGACTGGCTCCGAAAGGGCCAGTCATCATTGTGTGGGGCCCCAGACTGTTACACCACAACATGCACAGCAGTATGCGCGGGGGCATACGGAAGGTGGATACAGCTTCGATAGTTTGAACACTTCTAGATTTGGCCGCCGGGGCTCTCGGCAAGTTATTACTGAACAGCAAGAGCGCTCGGCTAGCCCTTCTGGATCAGCAGAAACAGGATCTTTGCTAGAAAGTGATGCCCCTCAAGTGCCAACTTCAGAGGTTAGACATTTAAACCTGCAAATGGCTGCAGACGTGCTGGAACGGCGTTTCTGCGAGGAGTGGCAAGTGCAACGGGAGTCGGAACCCCTTGCTGACCTGGGGCTCATTGTTTTGCCCCTAGAGCCCCGATATCTCATTGACTATCAGAATGGCACCATTAGTGAGTCTAGCGTAGCGGGGGGAGCAGGCGTGTACCAGAGAAACAAAGTGGCAAAGGCCGAAAGTCAATAAAATCGCATTTCATTGACAGCAGGCGCACTCGACAAGTAAGCCACTGCGCTGCATTTTTAACAGCCACACACTTCCATAAGGCGTTTCAATCCTTGTGCGTAGTGCATCCCCGGCAAATTTCGACTCTGTGCTCCACATCAAAAGAGTGTAACAGGCCAAGCAGCACTTGGGCACTCTTTACTATGAGTCACGTCTAACTAAGAATTAGTAAACACTTGGAGTTTTGGCTTGGCTGTCGATATACCATGGTTATTGCAGAGTAGCTTTAGCTCAATACAAGAAGATGCAGGGGTGTCTGATTGCGTATGCTAGCTGCTGTGTGCAAAGAACGGTGAACTCTCGGAATGTTTAGAGGATGCAGGTACGCGTACCCTGGATGTCCTCCCCCCGTGTTTGAAAATCGAAAGGCGAAGGCCCTTTCAGAAGTATTTTTGAAAGGTGCTCAATGACTGTTTATTAAGTGTGTATTGAGTCTGAATTTAAGTGTCTCTTTTCAGAGACCCTGCATAGGAAGCCTCAAAGCTTTGCTGGTGTGCTTCTCATGAACGTAAGGCAGTGAGCCAGCTTGCTGGCCTATTGCCTACAGCAGGCACTTTGTCAGTTGTTCAAGGAATTGCTCTAGCTGACTGGTATGCATCTGAAATAGAATGGGTGCGACTTCGGTTCGCAGAGCACGTTATGCGACCATGTAACTCCTGAGAGCGGGCACCAGACGCGAAGCTTTAGAGCAGTACCAGGGTTTTGTGACGCTTGCTCTGCGCCTTACATACTACAGTGAAGAGTGAAAGATGCAGGCATTTTGCCCGTGAACCCTTGCAGCGGCACCAAGTTTTCATTCCTTCGTTGCTGGCCAGGCTGGATATAACAGACTTAGGAGGTGCTTCGCGTTTGGGGGCAGACGAGGCGACCCTTTGATTGTGTGGATCCAAATAGATGTGAAAGCTGAGGTATAAACATTACAGCTTACCTAGTGCAGGAATTAGTTTGTGCATACTTCGCACTGCCGATGGTACAGTTTGCTGGCGCGCAGAGCCTAATCATCGTGAGGTGTCAGCTCAATTCCCGAAGTATTTCTCCTGACAATACCATATCCAAAGTGTGAAAGTGCCTTTTTCTTTTTTCCTCTAGTTCGGGGCTCAACGGCTCTCTGTCGCATCCAACAGCAACGCCGATGCTCGAGTTTCGTACGAGGCCAATCGAAGGCAGATGAAGCCTTTGCCACATCTACCGCTTTCCAGTCATGCCATTATTCTTTGGAGGCATAATTCGAATGCAGTTTTTGTTTTACACTCATTAAAATTGGGTTAAAAATGTGGCGAAGAATCCCAGTAACCACTACACAACCCCACCAGGGGCTACGAGCAGAAGGGCTTTCTAAGGGCGTGTTGTGAGACCTATGCGGGTATTGGCTCGAAAATACACACTATTTAATGAGGTTTCTGTATTTACAACAACAGGCACTAAACTTGTGGGCGCATTGAGGCGGGGGAGCAGCACCGTAGTAGTTGCACTGGCCCGGACCCCGTTGTCTGGCTTTCTGCAGTGGAGGCCATGAATGATTGCACAAACAATGGACGGCTTCGGAAATTCGAGGCCGGATCTGTTTGATTTCAGGCAGCTACTGCGGTGGACGGGCTTCGGGGGCGTCTAGCCGCCTGCAGGCACCTTGCACAGTCAGAGCGAAACGAGAAAGTGGAAGCGAGCAATGCTGCACGGCCATGAGAGCCCTAAGCCCTCCGCAGATGCACTGCGCTTCGCCGCGCTCGTGCGGTGCACCCCGGAGGAGGCGCAAGAGTGGCTAACTCGCAAGAAGGGTTCCATGGAAGCCGCGCTGGACGGCTTTCTAGCGCAACAGGCGCCCGACTCAAAGCGGCAGAAGATAGGCACGCAGCATGCGCATCCCTGTCGCAGGCCTCTTTCGAGTGTTTCAGCCTCTCAGAAGCAGCCTGTGCGCCCCTCTAGAGACTCAGACAGCGAGGGGGTCCAAAAAAATGACGCGAAGGAGAGCGGCTCACGGAGTCGTGCAGAGGCACTTCGCACGCAGAGTAAGAATACACCTGCACCAGCAGCCACATCGACCTCTGTCACGCTGATAGACCTTGCAGAAGACTCGGAAGCCGAAGAAGCGCTTCCCTCGGCGCACTTGCACGGCGCCGCAGCCTCTGGTCTGCCACTGCCGAGCGGTAAGCGTCTTCGCTGCACAGGGGTGCTGTGCGTGTTGTTGAGTGTTGATTTGCATGCGCGTTGCGTCTTCCGCCCTTCTGCTTTCTCTGTGCCCTCGAAGTTCCCTCTCGGGAGGAGGTTGACTGCTGCGAACCCAAGGGTAGAGAGAGGGGCAGTGACTCCGGCTACTGCCAGGTGTCTGTTGAGGTGGGGGTAGCCGTGAGAAAGCTCTCTTTTCACAAAGCCCCAAAATCGGCGCTGTGAAAAGATGACAACTTTCCTTCAGGGATGCCGCTGGTGCCTGAAAAAAATACTGCTGCGGCTGTTGGTGCGGTCTGTGGCATAGGTCGCCCCCCCGTGTCACCCCAGCATCCGGCAGAAGCTCTCGAGCGCTATCCAGACGATTTCTCCGTTTACTTGGGGGATTGCGTTGCCACTGGCACGGTTACCAGCGGCACGATTACCAGACTGAGCCTCACGGTGAGTGCGTCGGTGCGAAAAAAGCCGTCCCCCAGGCTCCCGCCTCCTGCAAAAAATAAACGCGTCGATTCTTAAACCCCTCGTCTCGAGCATCACACTGCTACGCATGAGCGCTTTTCACGTTTTGCATGCCTGTGCGTGAGCCACGATCTTCTTGCTGCAAAAATCGAAGGGCGGCTTCGCGCATGTTGCGCTTCATCCTTCGTTTGCCGCGCCGAACTGCGTCGAAAGGAAGCGTCTGCGGGGGTGCTTTGCTGTTGCCTTTTGTTCGTAGGATCCCTTATCCTTGAGAGTGGAGGTATGGATGCCGCACACATTCAAATCGAATCCCCAGCAGGGCATGCGCAAGTCCAAAGTTTCCAATAGCGGGTACAAGATCGTGTACGTACACCTGAACGATCCGCTTCTCCTTCACCACCAGAAACGGCTGGTTAATCCGGAGCTGCATGCTCCGATGCTTCATCATAGGATGCCGCAACAGTGTCCAGACACTCCTGCCGGCACTTGGGGAGAGGCGCAGGGGGCTTTCGCTGCAAGGTCTAAGGGGAGCAGCTCCCTCGCAGGCATAGACTTCTACAGCCTCCTCGCGAGCATTTCAGAACAGACAACCTTCTTGAGACTCCTCATCAACGGGCGGGAAGCCGTGCGGTTGGACAGGCACGTGGCAAACTCCCTCGCGGCGCTGCTCCTCGTAGGAGCTGTCAAAGTGAGATTCAGCTTCTTGCGAAAGAGAGAGAGAAAGAGATATATATATATATATATCGCCGAAGTGAACGCTCCGTGGGGGCTCTGCATGCATGGCATGGTGTGCACTGGGTGTTTGTATGGAGATTCTAGTCATTCGGCACACCTCCATGTGTGGTTGTGTGTATATGCATACATGCATTTGTATGTGGTGTGTGTACTACGTGTATGCATCCCGATCGCCTTGACCAGCTGACTGGCTAGCTACAGCCAAGCCGCTTGGTAAGAACTCGTGAAGGCGCATTGACATGCTTTTCGTAAGGTGTGTTCTGTTTGCTGATGGTATTATCCTCCCGCGTTTGCATCGTTCCTCTTTCAAGCAACGTGAAGCCTCTCTCTGAGCTACAGTCTGTGGGTGGCTGCTGAGAGCGTGCTGCGTCTTTGAAGATGCAGGTGTACGTGAGCAATCGGAGCTTGTGGGGGCTGCGGCAACAACCTTAGAACGCATGTCTCTGGTGCTTCGCGGGAAAACCGTATAGCAGACGGAGGTTATACATGTATATGTGTGTGTGTATGTATATGTATGTGTGTATGTATGTGTATGTGTGTATGTATATGTGTATGTATGTGTATGTGTATTTGTGTATGTATGTGTATGTATGTATGTGTGTGCATGTATGTGTATTTGTGTATGTAGTTATGCGTGTATGCATGTGTCTATGTTTGTGTATGTGTGTATATGTGTATGTGCATGTGTATGTATGTATGTATGTATGCATGTGTATATGTATGTATGTATGTATGCATGCATGTGTGTATGTGTATGTGTATATCTGTGTATTAGTGTATGTATATATGTATGTATGTGTATTTGTGTATGTATGTGTATTTGTGTATGTATGTGTTTGCATGTGTGTATATGTGTGTGCGATCTGCAGGTCGATGTGTGCTGGCTTCCTGAAAGCCTTCCTCCACGTCGCCTCGCCATCAACAGTACTCTGCGTGTTCGCATGCGCGTGCGCTTGACCGCTCAGGCTCTCCGTATGAGCGCATTAAGGCAAAGGTGATGCCCTCTAAGCCCCTCAGTGTTCAAACGTAGTAGTATTAGTATTATTATTATTAGTAGTAGTAGTAGTAGCAGTAGCACTAGAGTATGTGTAGGCAAAGGGGGTTATTGCCTGTGCAAGAGGAGATCATCCTGGTGTCGCAGTGTGTAAAGCTGTTGTACAGTGCTGCTTCCTTAAAATTAGGCTCATGCAGAGACGCTGCATCCCTTCCTAGATCTTCTCCCCCTCTAAAGGCGATGCTTCACATGCGGAAGGGGTGCTGCATCTGCAGAGTTGGTGGTGTGTTGGTGATTTCCAGCATATGTACATCTGTGCTTCGGCTGACAGCCGAATCCGCCGGCTCTTGACACGCTCAATGTATCGTTCTGTATGTGTATGTGCATGTGCATGTGTATGTCTATGTGTATGTGCATGTATATGTGTGTGTGTATGTGTGTGTGTGTATGTGTGTGTGTGTGGCTAGCCATGTGTATCCATGTGGAGTGTATCCATATGTGTCCCTGTGTGTGTGTATCCATGTGTATGTATATGTGTATATGCTTGTACTTATGTATATGTATATGTATATGTGTATGCATATGTATATGTCTATTAATGTGTATGTGTATGTCTATCCATGTGTATGAGTGTATCCATTTGTAGTGTATCCATGTGCATCTATGTGTAGTGTATTCATGTGCATTCATGTGTATATCTGTGTGTGTGTGTGGCTAGCCATGTGTATCCATGTGGAGTGTATCCATATGTGTCCCTGTGTGTGTGTATCCATGTGTATGTATATGTGTGTATGCGTGTATTTATGTATATGTATATGTGTATGCATATGTATATGTATATGTATATGCATATGTGTATCCATGTGCATAAGTGCATCCATTTGTAGTGTATCCATGTGTATCCATGTGTATGTCTATGTGTGTATCCATGTGTATGTCTATGTGTGTAGGTGTATGTATGTATGTGTATATAGCGCTATGTCTGTTTAGCGTGACTTGTGCGTGTTTCTTTCGCAGGCAGCATGATGCGAATTTGTGTTCGGCGACACACTTTTCGTCGTTGATGGGCCATGCGTTTGCCTCTCTGATGGAGCTGTTGAACTTGAAGCCTCTTCGCCTCCCTGTCGCCTCGGAAAAAGCGCGGCGAAGCTCCTCTGTGGGGAGCTCTAGCGAGGAAGCGGCGGCCTTGCGCAAGTGTTTGGAAGTTCTTAAAAAGGCGCATGCATCGACGGCAGCTGCTGATGTGCCTGCGTGGCAAGGAGCTGCACAGGCTGGCGAGGACGTCTCAGCCGCGGGAGCAGTGTTGAGGGCAGGCACTGGAGAAGGCAGCGACATGCGACAAAGCAGCAGCAGCTTTAGCCCGTTTGAAGAGGAGGAAGACGCTTCCGAGAGCTTCAGCGTCACGTTGTGTCAGTTGGTTTTAGGTGAGCAGGTGTCAAGCGCAGCAGCAGTCCTCCAGGAGAGGGAGAGGCAGCAGCAGCAGGAGCAAGGGCAGCAGCAACAACAAAAGCAGCAGCAGCAGGAGCAAGGGCAGCAGCAACAACAAAAGCAGCAGCAGGAGCAGCAGCAGCAACAACAAAAACAGCAGCAACGACAGCAACAACAACAAAAACAGCAGCAACGACAGCAACAACAACAAAAACAGCAGCAACGACAGCAGCAACAGCAGCGGTCTTTAGGTTACCTGTACCCTCCATCGAGTCTTTTTACATCCCGCCTGCGCCCCTACCAGGCACAGGGTGTGTGGTGGATGGTGCAGTGTGAGTCGGAGAATGCTGCCGTTTCGAGCGGCGAGCAGGAAGCGTTGGATCCGTTGTGGACTGTGTATGCTCTTCCTGCTGGAGGCAGTAGTAGCGGCGAGTTCTCTGCGCTGGCGAATGCGGCGTCTCTCGTCGAGGAGCAGCGAGAAGACTCCAGGGGAATGAGAGCTTGCCTGTACCTCAATGCTTCCGCAGGTGTTGTCACCTTGCAGAAGCCGTCTACGACGGGGAGAGTGAAGGGCGGCATTCTCGCGGACTGCATGGGATTGGGCAAGACAGTGCAGGTGCTCGCTCTCATCGCTGTCAGCCTTCTGCAAGAGCGCGACGCTTCCGAGCGTGCAGCTGTCTCGCAGCCTGCCCCACGCTCAGGCGACGGCAGACGCAAGCTGGAGAGAACAGCCGCGGAAGAAGGATCTCCTCTCGAAGTCTCCACTGCCACAGGTGAGGCTCCCCGAAACGAAGCCGCTGTGTGTAGAGTTTCCCTGGAAGCTGCAGTGGCAGCAGGGGCACCCAGTTGTTTCTCTTCTACTGATAACTGCTGCTTCTCCCTCCAAGTCTCCCAAGACTCTCCCTCCTCCCGCCATCCCTCCTCCCGCCAGTGGAGTTCGTCATCTCAGACGGTGAGGGGCCTCCGGGAAGAAACAGCGGCGATGCGGCTGCGAGTCTTCTCAGGAAGCGAGAAAAAAATTCGACTCCCTCCCTCCCTGTTAGCGCCAGACGTGCGTCGTGTGCAGCGTCATTTGAAGCGAAACAGGGATCACCTCTTCCCCGGAGGCACTTTGATAGTCGTGCCGCTGTCGCTCATAGGACAGTGGGAGTGTGAGGTGTCTAGACACCTCGCAAAGGGTGCAGCAACAGTCTTGCAGTATTACGGGTCTGCGCGCTCTAAAGACCCCACATTCATAGCCGCACACTCTATCGTCCTCACAAGCTACCAAACGCTTGCCTCGGATTTCAGACATCTCGCCAAGATGCCAACCTTCCCGGAAAGCGCACGACTTGCTCCTGAACAGATACACCCCAACGCATGCCCCCTCGCAAGCATCCGCTTTCGCCGCATCATTTTAGACGAAGGCCACGTCATTCGAAACACCAATGCCCTCGTCAATCGCGCTTGCAACGCGATAAAGGCTGAAGCACGGTAATTCTACGCAGGAGGAGGCACACCTCCCTTCCTCTCCTCCCCCCTCCGTTGCAAATATAGAGGCCGTCCGCGTCTTCTACTGTCACCTGATGACTGCCGTCCTGTAAAAGTATATCCATGGAGAAGGCACTGGCCAAAAAGGAGCTTTCCTCCTGTTACTGAGCTTGTTACTGAGCTTATTACTGAGCTTGTTACTGAGCTTGTTACGGAGCTTGTTACTGCAATTGTTACTGCACTTGTTGCTGCAATCGGTACTGAGCTTGTTACTGCAATTGTTACTGCACTTGTCGCTGCAATTGTTACTAAGCTTGTTACTGCAATTGTTACTAAGCTTGTTACTGAGCTTATTACTGCACCTGCTGCAATGCCCATGCGTGCGCGATTGATGCTTTCCCCCCTCGCCCTTTTGGGCTGTATCCGTTCTTGTGTATGTATGCGTCCTTATACAGGTGGATTCTTACAGGAACCCCTCTACAAAATGATTTGTCAGATGCTTTTGCTCTCGTAGAATTTCTTAGAGTGTCTCCCATGGGCAGTCGGCGATGGTGGCGAGCCAATGTCACGCAACCCATGGAGAAGGGTCAGTTCGATTTTCTCACGATCGATCATTTTGAGTTTCCGTCTAGATCCTTCCCTGCGACAGACGAAACAGAGCACTTACCCGCAGATCCTTGAAAAGCTTCCAGCCGTTTTTTCGCGTTTCTAACTCTTCTTTTTTGCGGCTGCCTGCGATTCGCCCATTTTTTTCTGTCCAACGCGCATGTATGTGTCTATCTGTAGGCATGTATGGCATGTATGTCTGCGGGAGTGTGTGTTGCTGCTCTGAAGGCTGCATGCATGGCGGCCCTTGTCTTCCCACTTGCTGATTGCATTCAGATTGGATCGAGGGCAGCGAAGGGGGGGAGTCGCTCTACATGCCGTGCAGACATTCGATCACCTTCGGGCGAGCGAAGAAAGTAAATAGACAGAAAAAGCGGAAATGCTGCTGTCTCAAGGTTGCTTGAGCCGCTGCTGTGTTTGGCCTACTCTTTGCAGGCATGTTGCATGGAGCTGTGGAAACTGTAAGGAGAACGCTAGTGCCCTTGATGCTTCGACGACATGGAGATCAACTTGGAGAGGACGACAAGCCCCTCCTTCCGCTACCGCCGCTCTCAATCCACACTTTTAAACTGCAGCTGACGTATGAAGAGAGGCTCTACTACCAGGTTCGTAGTGCAAGGGGTGTTGACGAATGGGTGGGAGGTTGGCTGTCCGTCTATCTGGCTATCTAGCTGTCTGTCCTCCTAGGTGTCTTTCTAGCTATCTAGCAGTCTGTTTGTTGACGAATAGGTGGGAGGTTGGCTGTCCGTCTATCTGGCTATCTAGCTGTCTGTCCTCCTAGGTGTCTTTCTAGCTATCTAGCAGTCTGTTTGTTGACGACTAGGTGGGAGGTTGGCTGTCCGTCTATCTGGCTATCTAGCTGTCTGTCCTCCTAGATGTCTTTCTAGCTATCTAGCAGTCTGTCTTCCTGGATGTCTGCCTGTCTTCCTAGATGTCTGTCTGTCTAGCTGTCTAGTTCTCTGTCTTCTTGGATATCTGTCTGTCTTCCTAGATGTGTAGCTATCTAGCTGTCTGTTTATCTAGCTGTCGAGCTTTCTGTTTTCTTAGATATCTGTCTGTCTTCCTAGATGTGTAGCTATCTAGCTGTCTGTTTTTCTAGCTGTCCAGCTTTCTGGCTTTCTAGATGCCTGTCTGTCTGTGTGTCTAGCTAGCTAGCTATCTAGCTGTTTGTCTTCTTAGATGTCTGTCTGTCTAGCTGTTTCCGTCCTAGATGCCTCTCTGTCTTTCTAGATGTCTGTCTGCATTCCTACTTGTCTGTCTGTCGAGCTGTTTGCCGTTCTAGATGCCTCTCTGTCCTTCTTTCTAGCTATCTAGCTGTCTGTCTCTCTCGCTATCTAGCCATCTGTCTTCCTAGATGCCCGTGCGTCTGTCTGTCTGTCTTTCTGTCTGTCTGTCTGTTCCTCTGCGGTGCTGTTTGTCTGTCTTTGCGGCATGGGAAAAGCGGCGGTAAAGGGTCTTTCTTTGCCTCTGTCCCCTCCCTGCTGCCCTCTAAATCAAGCTGGCTGCTCTATTAATAAGCCCTTTGATGAGTTAGTCTTTGAGTAGCCTGGAACCGTCCACGCCGCTTAGAGGATTCTGCATCTTCGTCCTCCCTGGAGAGGAGGACAGCTAGCCGTCTCCGCTGTGGAGCAGACGATCCATAAGGCTCTCTCTGCCAAGTACTATCCAGCCGCGGCAATTTTCACAGATATTGCTGCAGGCAGAAACGTCTCCAGCGTTTGACCCGCAAGGTCCATATGCATCAAATGCATGCATTTGCATGTGCATGCAGACGGTATTCGAGAAGAGCAAGGCCAAGTTCGAGCAGCTGCTGCGGAGTGGGCAAGTCCAGCATCACTATACACACGTTCTGCAGCTGCTTTTGCGACTGCGGCAAGCATGCAATCACCCCCTTCTCCCGACATACCGGGAAGATTATCGACACCAGCAGCTCGCAGAAGCTGTCTGCCGAACGGCGGAGGCCCCATCCGTGACTTCAGCGGCGATCAATTCTCGAAGCCAACGCTTTGCACAGGTGCGTTGTTTCAACACGTCTTGGACTTGTCCTCTCCGGAGAAACGGCATGTCTGCCACACCTGCCAAAGACACCAAAACCTCCGTGCAGTCGTTCGTTAGAAGGAAACGGTCTGCACAGCGGTGTCCTCTTAAGCCAGAGCATGCAACGTCTCAAAGAAAGCTGGCAGACTAAGCGGGGGTGTGGGTGGGAGGTGCCTTATCAGCAAGGCGATGATGGTAGTTTTTAGAACACTTCGCAAGCAGAGGCGTTCCTTCTTTCGCGGCGCTCTCCTGCCCCCTGACAAATTCACGCACGTCTTAGCAGAGGAGGGTGAGAGGAAACTCCTCAGCGTGCGGATTCTTCGCTCGTGGAAGTGGAGGAAGGGAGCAAGGGAGGCGGGGTGTGTGGAAGTAGTCGGAAGAGGCTTTGGAAGAAGGGGGGGTCTGGCCGAAGCAGGGTTGCCGAGGCCAGGAACACATATGCACAAGATACATAGATTGATAAAAGTAGATATAGATAAAAATAGATAGAAAGATGCATGGAGATACATACATAGATAGATATACAGAGATACATAGATATATATATATATATATGTATGTATAGATATATATATATGTATAGAGAGAGAGAGAAAAGACCCGTATGAATACCTTCTTCTGGAGGTTTTTGAGGGTTATGCCTTTTTCTTAGGCCTTTTCTTGAATGGGGCGTTAAGGCGTTTTTGCTCTTTTTTTTATTCATCGCGGCAGCAAAAGGCCAGCCTATCTGCTTTTCCGTTTTCTGTGTGTACATACGTGTGTACGTAAATGTAAATATATACATATATATGTATATGTATCTGGATACACGTATGTATGTGTAAATATATATCTATATATACGTATCTAGATACACGTATGTATGTGTAACTATATATCTATATATACGTATCTAGATACACGTATGTATGTGTAACTATATATCTATGTATGTATACATACATATATGCGTGTCTGTGGGGGCATGATGTGCAGGTGCCATGGAGTTCGCCAGATCCGCAGCTGTCCAAGTGTGTGCAGGATGCTTTGAATGGCAATTTGGGGAATTGCCCAGTGTGTTTTGAGTCTCTGGGAGAGGCGGCTGTGGTATTGACTACCTGTTGGCACGTCTTCTGCCTGACATGCGTCTTGCTGGTGCAGAGCAGCAGCAAGACAGCGGCAGCGGCGTGTCCTACATGCAGAGAGAAGTTTCTTCCCCAGCATGTGCGGCAGCTGCCAGCAGCCACCCACAAGGCTGGCTCGCTGACAGCGTGGCGAGAAGTTGTTCTTGAGAAGCACAGGGCAAGCGTCGCAGCCGCTGATAGCAGACGGCTAGACGTACAGCTGCAGCGGCGCTCGTCAGAGCAGACAGTTGAGCGCATCCCCGCTGCTGCATGTACTACATCGGACGAGACATCGCAAAGGGCGCCTCTGCTGCCGCTGCTGGAGAACGCTTCTGAGGAGGCGTTCTTCTTCAGCACGAAGATGCGAGTGCTCTTGGCTCTCCTAGAGGCGGATGTTCTTGCCGGGAGGTTCTGTGTTGTTTTCTCGCAGTGGACGTCGATGCTCGACCTCATTGAGGATGCCTTTCAGCGGGCAGAGGCTGCAGCTTTGGGCAGAGGCACCCTGCCCTCTGCGAAAAGCGGTTCAGCGCGGGAAGCCTCGCCCTCGAAAACGGTCTCTTTGCAGCAGCGGCAGCGGCAGCAGCGTGAATTCGACCAGCAAGAAGAGGCGCAGCGGCGAGGGGATACTCCGGAAGTCGTCTCCATACAAGAGGAAGACGCAGCAGCAGAGGAGGCCGCTTCTCAGGGAGTCTCCAAGAGCGACGCTCCGGAGGAGGCTCAAGGCGTCCTCCTTGTAGAGAAGGAGAACGAGTATGTGCAAGTTGACGAGGACGACACAGATGCCGACGAAGTCATCGAAATCGGCATGTGCCTCGCTGGAGGCAACAGAATGGCAGCACCCCCGCAGGCAAAGCGGCCAGCTGATTCTTCGAAACGGCCTTTATTTGACTATCGGCGAGTCGACGGAACCCTGAGTCTTGATGCTCGACAACGCGTCATTCGGTGGTTCCTAGAGCCTTTGCCGCGGCAGGCAACGGACAGTGCAGGAAAAGCAGCTGCAGGAGTCTCCCCAGCTGCAGAGGAGGCAAATGAAGATCCCTTCATGGGAGTCTGCAAGTTGCAGCCATTCAGCTGCTCGACGTCGAACGCTTCCTTGGGAACGTCTTCCGCATCCTCGTTCTGCAGCAGGGAGCACGCTGGCGACAACAGAGACAGCGGCACCACGGGAAAGATTCTTCTCCTCTCGCTCAAAACTGGCAATGTGGGCCTGAATCTGACAAAGGCCACGCGCTGCTATCTCGTAGATGGCTGGTGGAATCCGCAAGTCGAGTCGCAAGCCATGCGACGCCTCTGGAGATATGGCCAGGTAAACGTCAGGAAAAGAGGATTTGGGAGCTGTTTCACAAGAGCGCTAAGAACTCTGGTAATCCTCCTCCCTCAGCTGGGTGTATATGTAGGTTTGTGCATATATATGTATGTATATACATGTGTGAATATGTATGTGTATATATATGTGAAAATATATATATGTGAATATGTATGTGTATACATATGTCAATATATGTGTCAATACATATACATATATGTGAATAGATATGCGTATATATCTGTGTGTGGAGGTATGTTTATCTATGTGTGTATATGTACATACAGTTATACATACATATATACGCATGTGAAAATATGCATATATATATACATGTATATATATATATCTACGTGCATATGTGTGTGCCTCCGAAAAGTGTCGGTGGGACGTGTCTCTTTTTGCAGCTCTTTGTTTGTACCGCACGCCCTCTCTGTCCGCCGTTGGGATCCCGGCCTTCTTAACGGCTTTTTTGTTGTTTTTGCACCTCAGGAGAAGGCAGTATCTGTCTTTCGGTTCGTCTGCCTTCGCACTGTTGAGGAACGCATGGAAGAGCTGCTCAAGTGGAAGGGTCGTCTCTCGGAGAACACGCTTCGTCCTGATGAAGCCTCTGATTCTGAAGCAAAACTCTCTTGGACGCCGGGAGAAGGCGACGAGGACGCAAAGAGGAAGGGTCGTCTGTCCATCCTAGACCTCAAACGGTTGTTTGAAGGATGGGAAGAGCCAGTTGGCAAGGCGCCTTAGGCACTCTCTTCCTCGTTTGCGCTCTTTTGTCAACAGGGATATCCGTTTCAGACCGTGGAGAGCGCTAGGAAGAGGGATTCCGCCCTTGTCTCTTGAGACGCGGCATTCCCAGAGCCTGTCTAGCTGCCCAAAACAGGCTGTTTCCACTTCTGTTGCTCAGCCTTGTAGAGCCACTGCACATCCTCGTCAGGCCTTCTGCACAGCTCTGCAAGAAAGAGCGGCGTACGTTCCGCACAGAAGGCGTGGGGCTGTCGACCCTTGTACAGCGCAGCCGCGCGAGAAAGGCAAGCAGACAGAGAGGCAGCTAGCTAGCTAGCCACGTTGCAAAACCATAGCGCCATACGTAGGCACGCCGTCATAGGCAGCAGCTGACACACGGCCCCACCTGCTGAGAGCCGCCGCTTCCCCGATAAACGGGGAGCTCATCCCTTTCCCTGACATTCCATCGTAACTTGGAGGAGCTTTGAAGGAACGCACGGAGGGAGAGGCTGAAAATGCCTCTCCCTCCGTGCGTTGGTTTAAGTCTCGCGTGTTGCGCCTCACGAGCCTTGAGAACCGTTCCATCGAAGGTTCCGCAGGCGGAAAGAAAGAGACGTCACTCGAGACGATCCAGACACAACTTTAAAACAGGAAAGCCATTGTTTCCAAACATGCGAACTCGCAAAGCCTCCCGTACACCCCCTCGAGCTCCTCCGAGAACCGACGCAGGGCAAGAAAGATGACAGCCAGGATGTGCGTTGTCTCACCCTCGCATGCATTCCGAGCCATTTGCACAGAGCCTCTAGCGCACACGCGTGTTACATCGCAGCAGCACGAGCATGCAATGAATGAGAGTCGCAGGTGGACACTGCCAAGCTGTATTTTGGCAGTAGTTGTACCACTGCGCTAACGCAGTACAAATACTGCCAAGATACAGCCCAGTACAAATCGTCCTTCCCCCTCTCCCCCTCGCAGCGCCTGGGGTTTCCACCCCCCGTCGTGTCAGGCGAATTTTCGCGCAGAGTGGCTGCACAAAAAACAGCCGGCTTCTGTGTGGACTTGCATGCGGTCAGAGCGACTTTTGCAAGGTGGCAGCCTCTAGAGGAACGCAGGAGCGGCCATTAAGGGCAACAGCGGAGCAAAGACTCGCCCCCAACACGCGTAAATCGTGCCCTTACACAGCGTGACAGCAGGCTGCCAAAATATGCCATTTGTAACGCACTAAATGCTATCTGTCCTTCCTTCCCCCGCCCCCCCCTCCTCTTTCTCCATTGGCCGCTCTGTGACGCCTCCCCTTTTTTGCCGCAGTCATGCGACGATCTGCAGAGGGCGCTGAAGCAGCGCTCAACAGGCGCTTGAGCGAGGCGTGAGCATTGCCTCTTTCCGTCCATGGCAAGACTTGCTCTACCAGTGTGTGGGGGTGCCCATGTGCGCTTATAGAGGGATGCGCGTGAGCTTGTGTGACTCGGTAGGCACAGCAGGGCGTCCTCTGGCCTTTACCCCCGTGTTTTCCTCTCCTTTTGAGCTTCTCTATAAACCTGCACACTTTCAAGACTCAAAACTATGAAGCACGCCGTCTATCGGGAGCCTCGAGAGGGAGGGCACCCCATACACCCCTGCCTGTGACAGTGGTTCTGCAGGCAACAGCATGCTATCCTAAGGGTGCTCTGGAAGGCGAGAGAGAGAGTGTGTCTTTTTTTTGCTCGTAGTTGCTCCCTGGTGTCATTAGCGAGTCCAAGGGGTGGTGTCTGGCTGCTGCTGGGGGGCCCCTGCAGGGGCCCCCCAGCAGCAGCCAGACACCAGCGCTACCCCGTGGTATGCTGCGCTTTGGCAATCTCCATTTCTAGCAGGCCAAAACACCACTATTCACGCCCACAGGGGGCCCCTAAGCTCCACGGAGTTACCCTCCTTCCTGCCACAGCGTTGTAGGGGCCCTATGAGGGCCCCCCCCCCCGCCTCGAGCCGCTACGCCGTATCCACCGAGCAGCAGGACGCCTTGAGGGCAGCTGTTAGCTGCTGCCTGTCCGTCTTCGAGGCGCATAGGTGCAGGGAGAGGGTTCCACTTTGCAGTTTGCTCGTCTTTTCCCCGGAAGCTGGCATTATGTCTACCCCGCGTAGACTCCGGGAAGAGGAGCTCCCGACAAAGCAGCAGCAGTAGAACCAGCAGCAGTAGCAGAACCAGTAGCAGAACCAGTAGCAGGAGGTCGCTCAACCGCAGCCACAGGGGACGGGTATATATATACATATATGTATCGAGGCACAGAGACTAGCGGCTTTCCCCTTTTCCCAAGACACCCCCTTCCCAGCACTAGGGGCCCCCAACGGCAGCGTCGATCCTCAGGGGCCCCCTCTATCGAGGCAGTGCCTGTGACAGTTTCTCGCAGCGCTATAGGCTGCGACGGCAGCATCCGCAAGAAGAAGCAGAAGAACAAGTGTCAGGGGCAGTAGCCTCCCCGTCATTGCCTGCATGCAAGAGCGATCTCCCTCGTTTTCCTGAGGCTGCTTCGCATACTCTGGCCTTCCTTCTCCCCCCTGGCTCCTGCTTGCTCCTTGACAGCGCGAAAGAAACAATCTTTTCCCAGCGCCGCTGCAGCTGCGCTCTCCCGCTGCGGCTGCAGTCGCCTCCGCCTTAGGGGCCCCCCCGCCGCAGACTGCTGCTTTCGAGGGGGCCCCCTTCTTCTCTCCCCCCATCCACTTCGGGGAAGGGGGGAGAGAAGAAGGAGGCACCGACTCCCTCCTCGAAACTTCCCGTCCCCTCGGGGAGGGGAGGGGAAGTTTCGAGCAAAGAGGGGCGTTGTTGCAAGGAGCAGGGAGGAGTTTCCAGCGTGTGAGGGAGCTCTCGAGCAGAGAGAAAGTGCCAGGTGGAGTCGTCTTCCCCCCTCGAAAGCTTCGCAGATGCCTCCCAGTCTCTCCCGACGGAGCACGCCTCTCATCACAGCCACGCTGAAGTCTGCAAGGCGTCTGCTGCTGCAGATCTCGCGACAGAAACAGCGCTCTCCCCTGCAGTCTTTTTGCACTACCCGCAGCAGCGAAGACGCAAGCACGACGCCACTCTTCCAGGAGGCCCTTTACAATACCAGCGAGCAACAGTAGCAGTAACAACATCGACGCCAACAACTGCAACAGCAGCAATCGCAACGACGACAATAGCAGCAGTTGCAGCAGCAGCGCTCTGCCGCCGGGTGCTCGCTGCCTTGCTCAACCAGGCAGAGGGCCCCTCATGACAGCGTCGGTGAGAAAAAAGACGACGAACTCACCTCGCTGCTGCCTGGCAACAACTCCCTTCGAACCTGCGTCGGAAACACCGCCTGCAACGACGGGCACAAGCTGCGACGACGTTCGTGCCACGTCTTTTTCCCCTCCGCAACAGAGCCTCTCAGGAGGAGTGCTCTCAGTGTCTCCCCTCGCAGGATCAGAAAAGCAGCCTTCAAAGGTAGCCAACATGCTCTTTGGCAGGGCCCCTCTCACACGGAGTCAGGCAGCCGCTGCCGCTCGGGCAGTTGTTGTTCCCATTGAAGACTCCTCCGACGAAGAGACACAAGCAGGCTGCGGCTTCTCAGCAGCGGAGACAGCGGAGACGGTGAACAAGCGTGCAAACGCCGTTGCAGCTGCTGACGGCTCGTCAGGCCGTCTAGAGAGCTCAGTATCAACTGTTTCGGAAGCCTCGTTTTTGTCAAAAAGTCACCAAGCCTCTTCTTCGTCTTCTTCGCAAGGCTGCCTGCCTACCTCGCGACTGCTGCAGGAGAGGGTGCCTTACGGGGAAGGCCACTCCAACCCACCTCCTGCACTTGTCATTTCTGCCGGATTCTTTCTCGAAAGAAACGGCTGCTGCTGCGTGCTGACGGCAGAAAAGCTTCTTGAGGCAGCTCTGCGTAGCCAGAACCTCCAAGGGCACTCCCGGCAAGACGTCGACTGCAACAACAGCAACAACAGCAACAGCAACAGCAGCAGCAACGCCACAGCAGCAACAGTAGCAGGAGAAGCTGAAGCAGTAGCAACAGCAGAAGCTGAAGGAGAAGCTGAAGCAGTAGCAACAGCAGAAGCTGAAGCAGAAGCAACAGCAGTAGCAACAGCAGATGCGAAGAGAGGCACATTGAACGAAGGAGGCGAGGCAGCCTCTCCAAATTGTGTGCTTGTGTTACATGCGCATCCTGAGGGTGGCTGTGTGTCATTGGATTTGTGGAAAATTCCCACGTCGACGTCTGCAGACAGCGGAGAGGCTTCAGTGTGTGATACAGAGCTGCACAGCGTCTTCAGCTTTCCTCCGCAGTCTATCTGCGGCTTGCGATGGTTGCATCTTCGAGGAGGGTCGTCCAATCGAACCTCTCTGCATGCAGACAACAGCAGCAAACACAGCAGCAACAGCAAACACAGCAGCAACAGCAAACACAGCAACAGCAGCAAACACAGCAGCAACAGTAAACCCAGCAGCAACAGCAAACCCAGCAGCAACAGCAAACACAGCAGCAACAGCAAACACAGCAACAGCAGCAAACACAGCAGCAACGAGAGGAAAGAAGAGCACTGCCACTGTCACATAAGCAGGCAGCGCGAAGGGATGCAGAGCGGCCTTGTCATAAACGACACCACAGGGATGTCGAAGGGGGGAAGAGCTGCTTTTTTTTCTTCACCAGAACAAAACTTCTGCGCTGTCTCCGCTGCGTCTGCTACTGCATGCACTGCCGCTGCGTCGCCAGCCTTCGCTGCTGCTTCAGCTGAAGAAAGTCAACGCTGGACAGGTGGGGGAAGTCTTGCGAGGACTAAGACGCTGAACTCTCCAGACGAGAAAAGAAGCCTTCGCACATCTTCCAAGGCTTCAACAGCGCAGAATAACCTTTGGGGGAGACACAAGTCAACACGGAAGGGCAGCTCCTCCAGCAGGAAGACGCATCGCAGCAGCAGCAGCAGGAGGAAGACGCATAGCAGCAGCAGCAGGAGGAAGACGCATAGCAGCAGCAGCAGCAGCAGGAAGATGCATAGCAGTAGCAGCAGTAGCAGCAGCAAGACGCATAGCAGTAGCAGCAGCAAGACGCATAGCAGTAGCAGCAGCAAGACGCATAGCAGTAGCAGCAGCAAGACGCATAGCAGTAGCAGCAGCAAGACGCATAGCAGTAGCAGCAGCAGCAGCAGCAGCAAGAGTAAGCGATCGAGCAGCAGCAGCAGCAAGGGTAAGCGATCGAGCAGCAGTAAGAGTGACAAATCCCACGGACGGAGGTTAAAGGCATCAAGCAGCAACAGCGACAGCGCTGCTGTGAGCGTGGTTTTGGATAGAAGTGCAGTCCATCCTTTCGAAGAGGAGGATGGCGTGTCGAAGACTGCAGTCGTTCCGAATGCTCTTAGGGTGACGAATGGCAAAACAATTCAAAGCGCTATGCTGCCTGTGTCTTTGCTTGAGGGTCCAGACGTCGCCACAGAAAAAGGCTCCTCAGCAAGTGTTGCTGGTGATGCTGACGCAGCAGCAGCAGCGCCTCACGCAGGGCACTCTGAGAAAGGCAGCAGCAGCAGCAGCAGCAGCAGCAGCAGCAGCAGCAGCAGCAGCAGTAGCTGTAGCAGCAGTAGCAATAGCAGCAATAGCAGCAACAGCAGCAGCGTGAGGGTGGAGAGTATCCCTGAGTCGAGAGAGCAGAGGCGTTGTCAGGAGCAGGAAGCCACACTTACCCAGCCTTTCTTTTCCTGCAACTCGAGCTGCGAACGAGATTGCCTCCTCCAGCCCATATCCCAATTCAGATGCATCAAGACTGACAGTTTCCCGCCCTCTGACACGCTGCTGACTGCAGAGACTCTTTCTGCAACGGCATCGCTCGAGCCGTCTGTACCGGTGCTGTTTCTGGAGCTGCAAGAGGATTCAGAGTCTGCCCTGCATTGCAGCAGCTTGCTGCAGCGCTTGTTGGAAGCCTCCTCTCAGCGGCTTGCTTCAAACTCCCCGCCGTCTAGACACAACACGCAAAAGAGGAGTATAGACTCTGAGGGATCTTCCCCGAGAGCCGCTCATGCCCCCCCACTCGCTCCGTCTCCGCATCAGGCAGGCGCTTCCGCATGCTCCGAGAAGGCACTTTATGCGCACAGGCTACCCAGCAGCAGCAGCAGCAGCAGCAGCAGCAGCAGCAGCAGCAGCAGCAATCGCAAGCCTCATTGTCACCGATCTGAGGAGCATGAGGGCCGAACGAGCAGAAAGGCCCTTCTCTTTGTCGAGGAAGCTCTCGATTGCATTTCACACGAGCACGGCAGTGCAGCGACGAAGTCGCATTACCACAGGAGCAATAGCAGTAGCAGCAGCAGCAGTAGCAGCAGTAGCAGCAGCAGCAGTAGGCGGAAAAGGCGGCGCGCGCACTCTGCAAATACATCGGGGGAGTCTCGCAGCCGCTGCTGTGACTGCAGCGGGAGAAGATCTCGTTGCAGCAGAGCAGACAGCGAGGCTTCCTGGGTGCACTGGGAGATGTCTAGCAAGACGGAGAGCACGACAAGCAGCAGCAGGAGGAGGACGTCTCCTCCTCCTCTGCCGCTTGCTCCTCTGGCAGATGGAGTTGAGAGCAGCGCGAGGGGAGAAGGCGGAGTGCAATCGGCAGTGACGCGAGAGGACGCAGAGGAAGACAGGAGTCATTCTGAAGGCGTAGCTGTCTGCCCGATATCCAGTGAAGGCTTCCCTGCTGCGACGTCTACGCAGGGGAAGCGTGTGGAGGGTGGAGATGTCTCCATGGGAGGACTGGGGAGGAGAGGATCTTGGCTGCTGCTGTATGTGCGGTGTGCTTTGGAAGTGCCTTCCTTGTCAGCAGAAGGCGCAAGGGAGGAGCGTGGAGGTGCTCCTCCTGAAGCTGGCGAAGCGTCTCCTCCTCGCCGCGTGGGGGAGGAAACGGCCACAGCACCCCCCTTGCCGCTGCTGCCGCTGGAGAAGGAAGAGGATCCACCGACAGACTTTCTTCTTCCTCTCGAGCAGAGGCGTGCAGGGGTGAGTGTGCAGTCGCAGCTGGAGAAAGCAAGCAGTCAAGGCTGTTCTACGGCTGGAGACGACGTCCAGGGTGCCTGTGTCTTGCTCTTTAGGAGAATGCTCGCAGTGCACTCAGATTTCTACGCAGATCCTAGTGGTGGCAGTAGCTGTGCAGGGGAGAACACGCTGCATGTGGAGAGGGGGGGGGTCGAAGTTGGAGCCCTTAAGCGTTTCTTCCTGGGCTGTGTTGGAGAGGGGTGGCAAGGAGGCACGAGTCAAGAAGGCACGAGTCGAGAAGGCACGAGTCGAGAAGGCACGAGTCAAGGAGGCACGAGTCAAGTGGAGGGGGAGGAGACGCAGCATCGCTCCCCTCTCTACTCTCCGAAGCAAAGAAGCTGCCTTTCTGCGATTCTGCAAGCGTTCGTGGAGCAGTGCTGCCGCGTGTGGATGGAGGGTGGTTCTCTGACTGTGGGTAGGTGTAGTGATCGCTTCTCCGTGGAGAGGCTGCGGCGTTTGTGGAGGGAAAGGAGCTTTGCAGGAGTGAGAGCTCTCGCGCATGCAGCGGTAAAACGCCTCCCCCACGCGAAGACGCCCGTGGATGCATGCGCTCCTCCTACTGCCTTTGAACAAGACGCATGCGGAGAGTCTGCGGCAGCACCTGTAGAGGCTTCAAAGCAGTCCCCTGCAGCTGCTGCTGCTGCAACAGCAGTCGCCTCCCCTCCCCCTCCCGCACTCCCTTCTTCCCCCGTCTACGATCTGCTGCTCGATGATAAAACACTCCGCCGCCTGAGCGAAAAAGAATTTCTCGACGATACCATCCTCGACTTTTGCTTGGGCTTCATTGTCGAACATGTGAGAGGCTTCGTCCCTCCCTTCCGGATGCTGTCTCACGTCTCCTCACGGGTGCCTCTAAAATTTCTTCTTCTTCAAAACGCCTCTTCATCTTCTCACGGGTGCCTCTAAAATTTCTTCTTCTTCAAAACGCCTCTTCATCTTCTCACGTCTCCTCACGTCAAATTTCTTCTTCAAAACGCCTCTTCATCTTCTCACGGGTGCCTCTAAAATTTCTTCTTCTTCAAAACGCCTCTTCATCTTCTCACGTCTCCTCACGTCAAATTTCTTCTTCTTCAAAACGCCTCTTCATCTTCTCACGTCTCCTCGCGTCAAATTTCTCCTTCTTCAAAACGCCTCTTCATCTTCTCACGTCTCCTCACGTCAAATTTCTTCTTCTTCAAAACGCCTCTTCATCTTCTCACGTCTCCTCACGTCAAATTTCTTCTTCTTCAAAACGCCTCTTCATCTTCTCACGTCTCCTCACGTCAAATTTCTTCTTCTTCAAAACGCCTCTTCATC